ACATATATGTTCGAAGAATACATAAAAGCATATTAATTAAAATATTATGTACTCATCTCTAATTGAATTATATTAAACCACTAGTCCACAAAACTTTTCACTATTCAAACAAAACCAAATCAATACGAATCTAGTAGTCCAACGTGTTCAACCGTAACATTAGAGTATAAAAAACATTAACAGACATTTGTCGAAGTGTAAAAACAATTTACCTTCACATTCCTGAGGGTGAAGGACCAGAGGACACACGGTACCACCCTCAGACCTTTACGTGTAAAGTTACTACAGTCGGCCTTTGGTGTAAGTTATAAACGTTTGAAGAGGAGAGAAATGGAAGGGCTTTGCTATTATTAAAACATAAAGAACTAGAAATCCAATAGAAAATGTGAAATCGATTTTTAATTATTATTATTTTTATGATAAACCAGAAGACGAATCACCTGATGGTAAGCAATTGGCGTCGCCCATGGACACTCGGAACACCAGAGGCGTTACAAGTGCGTTACCGGCCTTTTGGGGATTGGAAGTTTGAGGATCGTTGGGGATTCAGGGATTGGGGAGATTGGGGAAGGGCAGGGTAATTGGGCCTCCGGTAACCTCACTCACACGACGAAACACAACGCAAGCGGTGCTTCACGTTGGTTTTCTATGAGGCCGTGGTATCACTCCGGTCGAGCCGGCCCATTCGTGCCGAAGCATGGCTCTCCCAAACTTAATTATACTATTTATAATAAAAAATGAATAACCATTTGGTATTGTCTTCGCTCAACTATTAAAACTAGTTAGTTAATCAAAGGGTAATTAATAGATTAGTTTCATTTTAAGAGATATTTAAGTACGGAGCCGCTGAAGGTCTAACGGGTTGCCGGGGCTCCGGGTCGAAGAGCAGAAGTAAGAACGGGGTGGTTTTTAGTCAGTAAGTCTGACGTTCCCTCTTGCCTAACCCAAGGCGGAAAAAGTCATTGGATGATTTTCCCCTCTCAAACAAAAAGGTATATTTAAGTGCACTTGTATTCACCTATCTTCTATTTTTGGTTTGTATAAAACTTTTTAATTTTAAATTTTATTAATGGAATAATAAACTATAATCAGTTATGTTATTTTTCTCCATAATAAAAGTTACATATATAACATCACGCCTTTTTTATCCCCGAAGGGGTAGGCAGATGTACACATTACGGCACTTATGCCACTGTACAATGTTGTTCCACTTTTCACTATTTATGTTATGAGTCCCATGTAATAGGGGCGAGCCATTGCCATATACCGGGCACATTTCGAGACTCTGTGCTACTACTGAGGTTTTTACAAACACCGAGACCCCTTACCCGGCAGTCGCACTTGCAACCACTCGGCCAATGAGGCAGCCATAATAAAAGTTGTCTATGAACAAATATCGGAATTGTAATCTTCTTGCTATTGTTTAGAATAAGGAGAAGACTTAGGAATTGTGAAATCAAATTCTCATTTCATTAATAGCTTCTTCAGATTGTTTAGCACTAGTTATTTAGAGACTGAACAATAAATAGTGATTGTATCTAGTAACTTGATTTCCCAAACCCCGTTAATTTTTGCCAAAGAAAATATTCTCCAGCGATTCTAAGTTTTTAATCACACAAAACAAATTTGTTCTAACTCAAAATTGATTGGGAATCATGTAAAGTGACTGGATTGAAACGAAACCCGATCTAAAGTAAACAGAAGTCGTTTTGTTTTATTAATTAAATACTATTCATATTTATTCAAATTGATTTATTCATTGACTGCTAACAAGTTGGTTAAATAACAATTATTATTTGGCTTTGGCGAGATTTATTGGAAGGTTTCTTAGCTTTCTTTCATTAATGGAGAAAATATTGATAATGGACAATTATCATTGTATGGCTGTCTAGACATGAGCACACTTACGGCCGAATACTAAAAGGCTACTAAATTTAAAATTGTACTTATCATTTTATCTATTGAAACACCGGCTCCCGGTATAAAACACATTACACCCGCAACTTTTAACAGACAAGAGGTTAAATATAGTGCCATCTCAGACATTTTACAAATAATTCGTAGTGACAGAACTATAACTTAAGTCCGACTTAAAATTTAGTAGCGTTTGTGTATTTGGAAATGAACTACTTAATATTTTACTAGCGACCCGCTCCAGCTTCGCACGGGAGCAATATGCAATTTTTATACGTATAAACCTTCCTTAATAATCACTCTATCTATTTAAAAAAAACCGCATCAAAATCCGTTGCGTAGTTTTAAAGATCTAAGCATACTTAGGGACAGACAGACGGCGGATAGCGACTTAGTTTTATACTATGTAGTGATTGAGCCTATTCGAATAAACTATATGTTGACAGAGTAAAATATGTGATTTTGTCACTATCACTTCTTAATGCAGAGCCGAGTGTTTCAGAGCAAATGATGCAAGTTTAATTCCTCAAGATGTCTTAACAAACGTCTACTCATTGTCTTAAGTCCTGAATATGAAAGACCAAAGAATGGATGTCTGTTGATTATAAGATCATATCACTAGTTTATCAGGTGGAAGTTACATGTAAGATTGGATGCAGACAGATCTGTTGTTGTAGGTATATTCAGTGATGGTAGTTCACGATACCATTTTCTTGTATGAGCTGTATAGATTAAAATTATACATGTGTCATATACATAATTATAAAGTGTCGGCAAGGCGCATGTGTTACAAGCGTTCATCGGCCACGGTACCCACTTACCATCAGGTGGGGCATGTGCTTTTCTTACCACCGTCGTGGTATAAAAAAAATAGAAAAACTAAATTTAACTTTACTATAGCAATAATGGGCACTGCCATCGCCCTTGTAACTACTCCTTGAAAACATAATAAAAGAAATCAAAACATTAGAAAATCATCATCATCATCAACAGCCTATAAATGCCCACTGCTGACCAAATCAAAATATCCCCAAGCTTACTCTTCGCGGGTTAGTGATTTCAAATTTATAATTAGAAATTGTAAGTCCATGTTTCCTCACGATGTTTTCCTTCACCGTGTGTCAGTGGAGTCCAAATAATCTTAGATAGTACATTAGAAAATGGAAGACACATAACAAACTCTTTAAAATCGAATCACCAATAAAACTAAGCGGATTCACATACGAACCAACCAAATTACACATTAAGAGATTAATGTTTAGCTTTTTGAGTCGTTCACAATGAAAGATGGAGACTGCCGTCCATTTTATTGACGATAAACGTAGAATACCTCATAAAAGAAGCCGCTCGAGGATCCTTTGTACGTTTTGCATTTTATTTTTAACTACATCCCTTCTTACAAGTAGTTGTTGGGAGAAAGCTTTGTGTGGTACGTTGCAATAGCGTTGCTAATATTTGCTTACAAAATTAGCATCTATTGCAGTCTAAAAAATATGTGTACGATATAGGTATTATATTCAGTCAATATAGAGTTTGCATGAAATTGAAAACCATCTGCCCTTCCAACGACTGTAGGACCAATCCAGTCCATCTTCATTTACACCTCTTAGAGTTCCTCAATTCCTCACCATACTCCTCTTATCTCCCCCATCCGTTCAAACGTAAACAATCAACGTTTTACACACGGGATTACTTTCACGAGCAACAGCACTCTTAATTAGTTCAGACAATTATCCGCTGGTTGATTGAGGGCGCCACTTGCGACTAATGGCGATATAATGAATACAGGCAGATTGAGGATTGATCTTAATGTGAGAAGAGTAGCTCGTAATTCAATCAGTTGCTTGTGGTTTAAGATTTTATAGGATTTATTTTCTCGAACGTTTCTTCGCATTTCCTACGTAACTTTTATTTATTTTGATGAAGTATGTAAGCAATGTAATATGGCTACGCAGTACAAAGTTTTTGTTTTTATTACTTTTCGGAAAAATATATCATTGGACTTATAATATTTATGAAAACAAATTCAATAACAGGCAAATTTATTCAATAAAGAATTATTGTAACTGTTATTTGATTACACACCAGGACGTTTAAAAACAGGCGGATATAGACTTATACGTAGAACACACATATTGACGCAAAGGACATCTGTCGCGTAACATGGCCCGTCATTACACTTCATATATTACGGTGTTGCAAATACACGCATACATAAATACACCACTGACATTTTGGTGCTTCAATCGTCTAAGTGTGTGTAGTCCTTGATAAAACACCCACACACACAGTGACACAATCTAACAAAATAAATTACAAGTAGAATAATTCAAAATTGGGCTAGAAGAAAAATATTTCAGTTTATTTGAGGCAGTGTGTTTACCGAACGTAATCTTCTATTTCGTCGTCAATAATGAGCTGGTACCGCAGCCTCTCAGGCGAGGGTCACTGTTCATTATTTCTATTTGCCCAGCAATCTGGCTGGCCCGCCGCGTGTTTGCTCGCGCCATCTCTGTAAATACAACAAATTGTTCGAACACACATAAATACAGTACTTTACAACTTGTTGGTTGGTACCAGAGCCGATTTTCGTTAAACAAAAATTTAATGAGAATTTTGTTTATGACTTTTTCTGAGTAAATTATTATTATGGAGTGACTAAGGAAGTTTTTGAGCAAAATGTGATTCGGTTTTCTATTGTAAAATAAGTAGTTTTAAAATTATATGCAGCATTGTTAGCTCGTGTTGACATACGTTAGACATTACTAAACTTAGTGCTAATTCAGATTTCGTCAAACATCTTCTAGCCTTGAAATGAGCTATTCAAAATGCAAACGAATATGATATGGGTGGGTATCAAGGTACATACATTAATGGAAATTTACGATAATAGATAATATGCATGGTGCATAAGGTTATTCCCCCGTCCAATTTGGATTTACTTTTTTATTTTTTGATGTTTTTGACTCCCACAGAGTTCCTCCAGATATTGAAATTTCTCCTAAATCCAGTTGTTTCATAATTGTTTGATGCAGGGCGAGAGCCCCGGGCCGGAGCGGCGCAACGGCGAGTGCGAGCCGTCAGAGATGCCGGCTTCGGACGCGCCGCCCGCGCCCACCGCGCCACCCCCCGACCCGCCTGCCACCACCAACAATGTTAGTATCATCACCAGCATTAGGGACAGAATCAACACATTATTATCATCAGTGATATAAAAAAGTAACTTAGACATTGCTACTTAAAAGGACTGAAATAGCATACGAGGGTTAGGATATTCAACTAGATCAACTCAATTGGAAGTATCACTTAGTTGCAAATGGCGTCTATATTAGTAGCTAATGCTTGATAGAGCTATTTAATAAGTACTTATACATTTTGGGAATTAGTCACACAGTTAAATAGTATCATATTTCACGTATAATTGTAATCTAATGCGTGAAATAAATTGGGAAGACCTACGAGAAACCGGGATAACCTTCAATACCACCTGGATTAATTAGACCTCGATGATACTTTATGGTAAGCTACTTTCCAGCAGTCCCAGAAAACCCGTTCACTAGTGGTGTCCTTGACTCCGCCCCGGGAGCGCGAGACCTGGGCCAAGAAGGCGGAGTTCCTGCTGGCTGTGGTGGGGTTCGCGGTGGACCTCGGCAATGTCTGGCGGTTTCCCTACATCTGCTATCAAAATGGCGGCGGTAAGTATGTGTGGAAGCAAGTGTTGTTAGACCAAGAAGATTAGTTCAGCAGCTTACGTAGTAGAATAAATGTATATTTATGAAATTAAAAATTAATTAAGATGAATTCCTTTAGAAGTACATAGTTTTGTTTTTCTTTAAAAACTTTCCCTAGATAGGCATCACATTCAAATCCAGAACAACAATTATTGGATCACATTTGGGAATCGAACTTGTGATGACTTCACCACTATGCTAGAGCCGTGGGGTTACCTTCAGCTTTCTTAAACTCTATCTAAGGTATCAGCTCAACAGTTAAAGTAACACAAGTTATTATCATCAGGTGCGTTCCTCATCCCTTACTGTGTGATGCTGCTGTTCGGCGGGATGCCGTTATTCTTCATGGAGTTGGCGCTGGGCCAATACCATCGCTGCGGCTGTCTCACGCTGTGGAAGAGGATCTGTCCCGCGCTGAAGGGTGAGTGAAACCATAACTATCTAACCCAATTTTTCTTATAGTTGGATTATTTGTTACGTTGGAAGTTAATTACAAAGTATCAAAGCTGTTTCTACTGTTACTGTACGTACGTACTGTACTTAAAAGTTTTGTACGACAGTGTTTTTAAAAATTTCGTCAAAATAAGTGTCAATAGAAAAGATTACCACACACAGACTTCAAACCCCATAAAATATCTCGCTAATAACAAAACGAGAAGTAATGAACGACCAATCAAAGATATTGGCAATCGAACAATATAGTTGGTGGGAACGCAACAACGCCGCTCTCTCGGGACTGTCGTCAACAATCACTGTTCAGAGCCTAAAGTGTTCTTTACACTTTGTATTTGAATGAGAATATTTTGTATTCTGCAAACCAATTGTATAGACGATTATTTGATCCAAAATTTATTTATTTCTTTGATCATAGTTACAGAGCAAAAAATAATTAAACTGATATTAGCAATTCATGCTCTGTCTGTGAACCATAGACAAGACATCATTTGACTTAGTTAAGGTTTAAGGTTTTAAGGTATTTTAAGGTTTTTTTTTCTTTTATTTTCCGTTTACCTTTGCTTTCCATATTAATATATTATTATTTTTGTAGTTGTTAAGTTTATGTGTGTTCTGCGGAATAGATAGAAATAGATTTTCACTAGAGTAGGCAGAAATAAATAGATTTTCTTATTTCCTTCTTTCTATATTTGTCGTAACTTCTGTCCTACAAATATATGTTACATATATCATTCGATGATTTATGAATTTTAGGTTACTTTATCATCTAAACTGACCTAATTTCAACCCCACATAACTCTTCATCTTGTCACAAGAACAAAAGCCTACAAGTCCACCACTTACCTATATTGTTCCTCCCAAAGTCAATATAAAGTCAAAATCTGGCATTCGTGTGTAAACGGAGTGTCGGAGAGTCCGGACCGTGTGGGGTTGTCCGGCCACTATCCGGCATTACTAACGTCTTATAAATATACAGGAGGCAATGCTTTTAACACCGAACAAATGGTGGGACCAAGTGGATGCCTAGTTAAAATGGATGAAATGGATCCAAAGTCGACCACTGTTTGGTGGATTGACTTTTGATTGAGTGGTCGGTGATAGCTTATCAGTAGAGCGAAGTAGAGAGAAAGAGAGAGAAGTAGGGTTCGTTGTTTAGTAGAAAATCAAACAGATCAATTTTTTCCTGTATCGCACTGTACCGTGTAATTATAGGTGTTAACAATAGCAAATACTGACCATTCAGTTGCACTAAGCAAGGTTCAAATGTGAACTCTTAGTTACACATATAATCATAAGACATGATATATGAAATTAAATAACCCAGTTTGTAATGAGTAGTTTAACGTTTACTCATATAAAGATGTTATATTATACTCTATAGTTTAAAAAATACCTTAAAAATATCTCCAATTTCAAAACATTCTAAGCTAACGTGGGTCGCGAATACGAGTTAGTTATTTTCCGACTGACATTGATATAAGTTGGAACGAGCCGATGAAGGGCACCGCAAATGTTTGCCGAGCGGATCATGCAGCGGTAGCGTTCAGATTTCAGACTAGGCTGGCTCGATACCAATAGGTAGTCGCTAAGTTAAAAATATAGACGATCAAACTATATTTCGAATATGTTAACTTAGATACTTTTACTTGTCGAATAGTTCGTAGCACGGCTACGAAATCCTGCTACGTACGTAGCACTGTACTACGAGCTCCTGCTACGTACGTAGGGCTAGCGCTGTACTACGATTTTAATTATTGACCGCTACGCTAATTTTAGTTAAGGATTATTATGTGAGGTTGTCATAGAGGCTATGAGGAAGAGACAGAGAGTTATCTAAATTGCTATTAACAATCTAGATAAATTTGTGTACTGGAAAAACATTTCTTTTCTCAAAAACATAATACACATTTAAAAACAACTCGCATACTAAACATTTGTAAGATATTATAATAATCTCTCCGCTAATATCAATCATCACATCTGAATCCATCTACAGTAGGTGCTAAGAATGATTTTTAATACATTTTAAAGTCACTTACAAACAGTTTTAAAGTTAATAACAAAAATCCAAGTTATTTCGTGTGAAAGTATCTGCCAGAGTATTTTTGATCCGTGTCGTATTGGCCGCATCAAAGTTCGGATCCCGGTAGATGCTCAGTAGTGATAATTTGACCAATCACGTAACTTACAAAAGAAGTTGGAAGTCTCAAGCTTCGATATCTTTTGCCAAACCGAAATCTGTTACCGATATCTGATTCAATTATAAATTTTGACTGGTTTAAAAGTTACGTTTTAAAAGATTTATATACTCTCTTTTGATTGATAAAAATATATATTTGTAATACAATTTTAGACAGAATCGAATACAAAATATAAAATCTAATTACCATTTACTTGTGAAGGTATATAAAACACATCATCAACAGCCTGTTTTCGTCCACTTCAGCTCTGTGCATCCAACCAACCAGCCACTTTACGTATATCGTCACTCCACCTAGCTAGAGGGCGTCCTACACTACGTTTGCCTAAAAATAAAACAAAATAAAAATAAAATAAAACACATAACATGCATATATATTTATATAACTAAGAGGTGTGTGTGTTTATCATAAAGGACCACCTCTGCTTACTAGATTCAATATAAACAGCGTGAATCTTGTAAGTGGAAGATAGATAAAAGATACAACAAAACACAGTAAAATGCACTTTCTTATAAATCCTTAACTGTGTGACCAAAAGACATTAATTAGTGAGCGATCCAATTAACGCATAGTTTACGATATAACGACATATCTTTGATATTGATACGTTTTTGTTTGGGACACCACCCCCCTCACTGCTTACACACACTGATATGAAAAGATGCTAAAGACAAGATTACGTCTTGGACTTCAAAACACAAGGTTTTGTGTTGAATGCACAGTGAAAGAAATTAGATTTAAAACATTAACAGTTCTGAAAATCTGTCACTGTCATAAAACTTACTAACTTCAAAGCAGGTGAACTGTTTTGAACACTTTTGCCCAATCCCATTGAGAAATTACTTAACTGTGTTTCAATTCGACTTTCATCTAGTGATCTAATATAAGGGAATTCGATGCATGATTACTCATTAAATTCGAGGACTAACTCCTATATTAAGTTCTGAATAGTTTGCAGGGAATTTCAACAGGTACACGACATATTTCCCTCCGGTGCAGTGGACTATATTTAAAAAAATTACATTACATAACATCACGCCTTTTATCCCCGAAGGGGTAAGCAGAAGTGCGCATTATGGCACTGTACAATGTAACACTCACTTTTCACGATTTATGTTATGAGTCCCATGTAATAGGGGGTGAGCCTATTGCCATACACCGGGCACAATTCTAGGCTCCGTGCTACTACTGAGATTTTTTTTAAAACCCAGTAATACTTTGCCCGACCCGGGAATCGAACCCGAAACCCCTTGCCCGGCAGTCGCACTTGCCACCACTCGGCTAACGAGACAGTCGATTTTAAAAAATTGTATGACTATAAAGTACCCTTCTATCTTCTATACCTATATATAGGTGATAATTCACTTAGCCAAAAACATATGAAAAATTATGTACCCATTACAAAGTCATCAAAGATTTTTCTATGGAAATCTCAACAAAAGTGACCTAATATTTTAAAGATTCACATACTATACCAGTTTACGACTTGGTTTTATCACATGTGGCGGTAGATCACCGCTATCGGCAGAAGGGCCGTCCTCTGATAACACAGGGATCCCGGCGCCGTTTATGGCAATATTCCCTCCCGATTGATTGCGTGTCAAAATACGGAATGAGACGGTACAAGAATTGGGGAACGGGAGGATTTTATTGTACCGGGAAGTTGTGGTGTTGATTAATGTGTGTATTTATGCACATTAGGTATATTTTGTTATGATTTTATTTTATGAACTCGTATATTATGTCTATGTATTATGAGTACGTCGATTTCGTTTGAGAAGAAACTTTTCTAGCATTTACTGAAGGTAAATTATTATTGATCGTACGCGTATTGTTTATATTCTTTACTCTAGAACTTTAATGGCTGTTGTTTAAAAGAGTTTTGTGATATAGTATGGGAAAAGTAACCCTTTACTCTAGCTGAATATAAAAGTAAACGGAGACTCGATATCCAAAATTAGATTTCCTCCGTCTAACAACGTTGCCCTATTTGTGTGTCGTATAACAAACCGATTCAACAGTGCAGTAGATCCGAGCTAAGATTGTGAATAACGCCATCTTGTATCGAGTAAACTAATTAGTGGAGGCGATGCGATATCATTTGATTACCCGCGACGACAGATGGCAGTGATTTGATTTCTACAAGTTGGACTAACTTTGTGTCGTGGAAATTGACGCTCGCTGCACTGATTAATTTGATTTCGAATGTTTGAAGATTTATTATGAGATGATAAATGGATGAATACTGTTTTATTGGCAGTTTGCGAAGATGCGAGGACGATTGCTTTAATTTGGTTTTAGTACCGTTTTAGTTTTAACTTTTAGTGAAGGGTGTTAATTATAGTTGGTATTATTGAATTCGTTCGACTTTCTGTAAAGTTGATCTCTCTATTAATTCTGAACTTTGTAGAAGTTATTGATAGCAAGGCACTGGTTTAAACTATCAAATACCGCGAGGGCACCGGTGACCGCAACCTATTCTTCTTTAATTGTGTCTATAATGACGGTACTCAAAGGGTTAATTATAAAAACATGCCCTTAAATGTTTCAATATTTTTCCTTAGGCGTCGGCTACGCAATCTGCATGATCGACATCTACATGGGCATGTACTACAACACGATCATCGGTTGGGCGGTGTACTACCTGGTGGCTTCCATCTCCTCCATCAACTCCGTGCTGCCCTGGACCAGCTGCAACAACGAGTGGAACACTCCGCTCTGCACACCAGTTACATCTCCTCAGATCAATCCTAATGCTTCCACACCTGCTAAGGAGTTCTTTGAGTAAGAATTTATTTGAGATAGTGTTAAACTGATCATATAATCGATGTAGCATTTGCTAATCAGGCCTAACTCTATGTATGAACCCTTAACAATTAAAAAAAATAATTAATTACTCTTTATCCTGTATCAAGCCCCGTCTAACCCGCCAGTTGCTATTCGGGCCGATTTCAATCCAGCCTTGACTTTAAACATCCCATTAAACTTTCATCATTACATGATCTTGCCCTTTCAATGCTCGTCAACTTACTTATAGAAACGTTAATCTCAGTCTAAATGAAAGATGTACAGTTAAATCTGTGACTTTACCTATAGACGCAACGTGTTGGAGCAACATAAATCTAATGGGCTGGACTACATGGGTCCTATCAAGCCGTCGCTGGCAGTCTGTGTGTTCGGGGTCTTTGTTCTCGTCTACTTCTCCCTGTGGAAGGGAGTCAGGAGTGCTGGCAAGGTAAGCACACTGAGTAAAACAATAGAATGAAACTCAGATTTTTTTTTAATCACAACCTCTTATATTTCATATCATCACTAATACATAGGTATTAGTACTTATAAAATTATGGTTATGAATCAGTGATATAGATACGCACTCAAAAGTTGAAGAAAATCAGATAAGATCATCGAATCAATTAAGAATTAATGGTGTCGAATCGGACTCAACATACATACAGCTACCTATTTAAATTGATTAAAGAATACCTACCGAAAGTTTCAAAGTCACAAAAAACTTGATAAAAGACTTCAACTCGGCGAAGTTTTTCTAAATTGATACTAACACTTCTCCAAGTCTGTCATATCTCATTTATCATGAACGTAATCTTTTCATGGGAATGCGTAAAAGATGACGGATTTCTACGAGAATTTCGGCACGTTTAAGAATGTATTTTAGTTTCCTCTTAGGTAACTTAGGTTTGACTTACACCAAAATAGGATTTGTTATCAAGTAGATTGATATTTTGTTTTATTTAAACACTAAGCCAAATGATGCGCAATTTTCATTGATAATTTCATTATAATCTTCCTTTATTAAATGGCTAGGTTTTTATAACTGTAGCTAGAATATTCTCTATGCGATATAGGTGGTATGGGTGACTGCACTGGCTCCGTATGCTGTGCTGCTGATTCTGCTGGCGCGAGGAGTGACGCTACCGGGAGCTACGGAGGGCATCCGATATTACCTCACCCCGGAGTGGCACAAGCTGCAGAACTCGAAGGTAAACTAATAAATATCACTGCTTCGTTTTCTCATTCTTTAAATACCCTGTGTAATCCATCTTTCGATACCCAGGTGTGGATAGACGCAGCCTCTCAAATCTTCTTCTCGCTGGGTCCCGGGTTCGGCACCCTACTGGCGCTGTCCAGCTACAATAAGTTTAACAACAATTGCTACCGGGATGCTCTCATCACGTCATCTATCAACTGCCTCACCAGTTTCCTCGCTGGCTTCGTCATATTTTCCGTTTTGGGGTACGTATACCATATAGTTATACATGTTTGTACAAATAGGTATTCGTTGGTTGAAGTTGAAAAATCAGAAAATGCTTAGTAAAATGCAATTAGGTACTCCTACAAATTGGCACCAACTTTTTGAATTTTGATTACCATTTAAACATTTCGTAAATATTTGATTATCAACTAAATTACTAGCATTTTTTCTAGGTATATGGCACACGTTCAAAATAAGAGCATCGAGGAGGTAGGTCTGGAAGGTCCGGGGCTGGTGTTCATCGTGTACCCTGAAGCCATCGCCACCATGACCGGCTCCGTCTTCTGGGCCATCATATTCTTCCTGATGCTTATCACACTTGGATTGGATAGCACCTTTGGAGGTGAGCAGACTTAAAAGACAATCATATATCACTTTTCTTCGATTTCACTTCAGGTCTTCAGCTTTAATGATTCTCTTTTAACTATAAACGATATTATATTTTGCCCTATATCTTAACCTTGGCAACCTCTATAGGTCTGGAGGCTGTAACTACGGCTCTGTGTGACGAATACCCTCGTGTGTTGGGCCGACACCGAGAAGCATTCGTAGCTGTACTTCTGCTGTTCATCTACATCTGTGCCCTGCCAACTACCACCTATGTAAGTTCTTACGACCTTGATAAAATTGTTACTTGTCTGTGCATCTTTACTTTTGCAGAATTCCCGATACTTTTACGTACATTCATGTTACCTTTTATCGAAACTATTCTAAATGTCTTAGTTTGTCCTATAAGCTTCTTAGTAGACCCTACAGTCACTTCGCAAGATCGTTGTTTTTCTGCTTGATCGACTTCATGTACTACATTATGTTTCATTGAACAAAACAATGTTACTTGTGATGGTACTCCGAACCTTTCCGAGCCATTGCATTTTATTACTGTCAGTGTATTCTGAAGTGTACTAGAACCGATGACTGCGGAGTTTGTGATCTTAGGGAGTTTGTGCTTGACTAGACTATAGGAAAGAACTATAAAATATTGCAAAGGTGGTCAGCTATTCAAAAATGATACATCATGGTTTGGTTTCACGAGGAGAGAGATCATAGAATATTTTAGTGCTCCAATTGAAAACTTTAAAACTTAACCTTCACAAAGGCTGTTGTCTTTGCAAACGAGTAGCATTTCTATTGGCTAAACACGTAGATAGGTACTATGGAGTCTTTCCAGGACCTACTAAATGTATGTAAAGACCAAAATATTATATGAGATGTTCCAAACAATGTTCTATTCCATAGTCATAAAAAGCGAGCAAAATGATTGGGCAGTTAGGTAAGACGGCGTATAGCGAGGTAAGTGAAAGATTACGAGCGGGCCGAGTCAGCACAAAACGTTATTGCTTCATCATACGCTATCCAACTACCCCAACTACCCGTGACTCATGACCGGAGCAAAATGGATAATATGGGACCACGACCCGACCACGTGGACCGAGCTTGAGCCCACTAAAATTGTTATTTTCTTGAAATGATGTTCTTCAAATAGTTTGCGAGATCTATTAAGTGGGTTTGTACGGTTAAATGCACATCGTCTCTCGTCTGTACGCTGCGGGCTGCGGGGATATTTCAATGTCAATATTTCTGTAAGTATTTTGGTTTGAAAAGGATTGGGTGTGTTCAGGTTGAATTTAAATAATTAATTGTAGGTACGTTTTGACAAAATACACGGGAAGGCCACGATTACGACAAAGGAGTTCTTACACACCTAAAATATGGGTAAAATTAGTAAAAAAGTTGTTAGGACGAAAAATAAAAAGTTCTAAATAGTATATTTATCATCAAATAGTATGTTGTACCCCTAAAACTAGTACACAAGGCTCCCCAGCAACACAACGCAGGTATCACTAATAAATTACCGTTTCGTTATCTGTGCGAATGTATTCCGTTGCATAATTCATGGTCATCACTCAACAAGATGACCTGGCACCACGCTCGCTCACCGCTCCGACGTATGTACTGCGATTTCTTTTGTTTTTATTTTGCCCTTGTTTTTATTACTGAGGGTTAGGAAGTAAAACGGATTGGTTTATGTAACTATAGTGCTGAATGTGAAATTGTGAAGTACTTGTAATTGTTACACTATTAACACTTTTGATTGGTTAGGCCATAGAAGGAATCGTGAATTCTTAGGTAGCATATTATGTAACACAAATGCTGTACTGTTCCGTTTATTTAAATGATCGTTTTAAGACTGTTATGTTACAGACATAGGCTACAGTTTTACTTGTTTACTTTCTAGTTGATTAACAACGAATTTACAGTCCACGTTTCCGACTCTATTTATTTCCTCCGTTTAAAACTGACCTCTTAACTTAGAGGTAAATCAACCTCGATTTTAACTTTTTACTTACTATAAAGAAAATAGCAACATTCTTGAATACCTTTCTAGGGAGGAGTGTATCTGGTGGATCTCCTGAACGTGTACGGTCCAGGACTAGCGATTTTATTCGTGGTGTTCGCGGAGGCAGCTGGCGTCTGCTGGGTGTACGGAGTGGACCGGTTCTCCGAGGACGTAAGGACAATGTTGGGCCACACGCCTGGGTGGTTCTGGAGGGCTTGCTGGTCTTATATCAGGTGAGCTGGACTGATTGAGAACCAAGTTGATTGCTAAGGATCCATTTGCTAATATGTAACCCAAATTTATTTTTGGATTGCCACAAAGGGCAAAGTTTCTAATACTTTCTTTGCTTCTCAGCCCAGTGTTCTTGCTGGTGCTGTTCATAGTCTCAGTGCTGGCCCACGAGGAGATGCTGGGCGGGGAGTATGCGTACCCTCCCTGGTCCATCACCGTCGGCTGGGTAATGACCGGCACCACTGTCTCCTGCATCCCTCTCTACATTCTATACAAGTTTATCATCACGCCTGGCGGATTCCTTCACGTAAGTACATTTGCAACGTTCGATTCTCATTATATAATATGTTATATTTCTAAGTATTATCCAGTTTTCATCTGAAAAATGCTTTTAACAAGGAATAAATTCAATCAATATCGAATGATTTACGTAAATGTGCATTCGAATAAAAAATGTAGAGCTTCAAATATCTTAATTTCATGTAAGCAATGGTTACTAACATCGATATATTTGTTTAGCGCATCAAAACCATAAAGCGGCCCGAAGTGGTGTCGATACCGCCATCAGACCCCACTCTGTGCAGCCTGTGACCTAACCACACCTACAGCTCAGCACCTTCACGCACCAAGCCTGCGATAGAATGGCTCGTCTAGGTCTTACCTAGATTACCTAGTCTACATAACATGTATGTCTGCAAAATTGATTAAACTGAAAATAAAACAACAGACACCAGCAAGGCAACTTGTCATTAGATTTTCAACTTACTTGTTCTGATATTATAGTTGGAAATCCAATAAAAAAATTGAGATTGGTGTAGCTTGACCTGCTGGCGTATGTACTACATTTGATAATGTTGCAGTGCTTTTCGATTTCGCAGACATTTCTTCATTAAAAAAACTCCGGTATGTTATAATATTTATAAGCATATATAATCGATCGATGTCGTAGCGTTTTACTTAGGAATTAAAGCATAATCTGCTTGTGGTACATTGTAAGAATTTTTAACGATGTTGAACACGTATTATAGGTAGCTGTTTTATCTGCCTACTTTAGGAAAGAAAAATACATTTTAACAAAGGCATTATACTCATGTTTGATTGAATATAGGAAAAAAAAATGCTGCTTGAAAAACTTGCATTTCTTAGAATAAATATGTAATGTATAATTCTATACCGATTAGTGTTATTGTCGTGTTTTAATATATACAACGAATATTTCTAATTATATATAAAGGACTAGTTTAGAAATTACTTATATTTATATCTTGTAATGTATATCAAAAGTGTTGCTGGACAGACTATAAAAAACCATTTGCGGGATTGTAAAATATTAATATTACCATCTGGGTTTTGGCAAATTTCAATATAAAAACATGCTTACAGATGGTAATACTTATTTAATTTATTTGTGAATACTTGTATTAATTTTAAAATACGTTTTAATAGTTTTAAGCAAACCCCATTTGTAAATAGGATTTAAATTAGATATAACAATATATTTATTTCTGTACTCTTGGGCAATGAGTGCAGAAATAATGTATATTCTCTATATATTAAACTTTAATAATATATAATCTATATAAACACGTGTATATAAATATTAGAGATGTGAAATGAAGTTTATGGGAACATATGCATAGGTTTTGAATCTAGTCATTGTTTGTGAAACATTTAAATATATTATACTTGTTCATTCTGTAGGAATAGTAATATAATATTGTAGATATGTTTAGACATTTTCATGTGTTACGGTGGTAAGATTTCTACTAAAATTCTTTCACTGTTTTTCATATTATCTGCTTGTAGGATTATATAAAATTGTAGGCACAATATTTTAAACATTGTAACTCAATATAATGAATTTCTTGTTAGAACAAGAAGGATGTTGCTATGTAGGTGTGTATATTCAATACATTTTTGAGAAATTTCGGTGACGGCGTTCCATTTTTCATAGCTTAGTAGAAAGAATATAAAGTAAATATATATATATATATATACTGTTAGGGGTACTTTCATATAATCGCCCACTAGAGTTGTTCAAACACTTCACCTATATAAACATGGAGGTAATTATATAAAATAATCATCTATATTCTCTTTGGAAAATTCTTACATTCGGTAGTGGTCAAAATTATCTTAAAAATCATAAAGAAATATCGTATAAAATAATCACTTTCTCGTTTATATTAGCGTATACTTACAAATAAATGTTCGAAATAAGTGTTTTTATAAAAAAAATATATATATTAAAAAAGTAGTTCATATACCCACAGATATTTATACTTAGTTTTGTTTTATAATATGTTTATATTATATATATATATATTATATGCTTATACGTTATATATATTGGTTATATAATACTGTGTATTGTTGTGTAGCATTGTGCGTAGTGACGTAACCATTGTATTTATGTGTTAGAATAAACGACAGATGTTTAGTATGCGCCTGTATCAGCCATTACAGGTTCATCTAGACATTTGTTTTACCAATAAATCTGTGTTTTATTTACCTTCTTATACTGAAGTTTATATTCAAATAATTAGTCCTGATCATAGATAGATACACGTACAGAGCTAAGTCTACATCTACTATATTTTGTCTAATTCAGTCAAGTCAGTCAAGTAAGTAGGATTAGGTATAGGAAAAATACTTTATGAATTAATGGTTATTAGGTAGGTACTTAAGTGTGAGTCCTGAGAGAGCCATGCTTCGGCACGAATGGACCGGCTCGACCGATGTGATACCACGGCCTCACAGAAGTCCGACGTGAAACAACGTTGTGTTGTGTTTCGTCGTGTGAGTGAGGTTATCGGATGCCCAATTGCCCTCCCCCCCTTTCCCCAAGCCCTGAATCCCCAACAATCCTCAAATTCCTAATCCCAAAAGGCCGGTAACGCACTTGTAACGCCTCTGGTGTTGCAGGTGTCCATGGGCGACGCCGATTGCTTACCATCAGGTGATCCGTCTGCTCGTTTACCGGTTTATCCCATAAAAAAGGTATCAATGATATTGCTCAAGTTATTGGTTCTCTTTTGAAAATTCTCAAAATACAAAAGAGATCTCAACAAACGCATAGGTACCATCTTGATTTCCATCCGTCATTTTTAAAACGTCAAATAGCAACATTGGTATGAAATATTAAATCTAACCAAAAAAAGGAGCATAAAAATCAAAAGTGTGATGGAAAAAAAATATATTAATGAAATCGCAAAGTGAAAATGTTAGATATAGGGGGGACCAGTAGTATAACTCTCACGCCGCTTGCATGGCAGGCAAATCTGTAAGCTTCTATACACATTGCGTGAGTAAATAGCACATCTTGTACAAAATATTAGGTTACATTTATACTTAGGGGGCATTGTTTTCAAAACTTTCTGCAACTCCAAACAAAATTTGATAGCAACCTTATCAAAAATCCGCCCCCAAGACGACCCACTGACCAAAAGATCTTGTAAACCAATAAAAGTTAGAATGTAGCGAACATAGTTCAGGATTAACATATAAAGAGGCTAATTCATATAATTTGATATTACTTGGATGCATTACAATGAAGGTACAATCACTTACGTCTTATCTTGAGAAAGTATAGCATTTCAGGATTTTGTAAGATAAATCCCTTTCTACAGATGGTCATCCCTCTGTTTGTGTCTGATCTTCATAATACACACTTGGCAGTTGATAACCATTTTGTTATCTGTGCTATCCGTTCTACTATATTTGAATTTTCTCTCCAACACAATAGTCTGTGATACAGAATTTCTGCGACACGAACTTGGAGGTTGTCGCGAAGTGGTTGAGTTGTAACGGCGAGATATGGGGGGTGGGACCGACGGCGGTGTTTGCCAGTGCAGCCGCCCTCTTCCTCTACAACGAGCTGGAGGCCACCGTGTTCATCGCTGGAGACCAGGCACACGTCTCCTGGCTAGAAAAGACTTTGATTGTAAGTTTTTTGGGACAAGTGTTCTCTTTTATGGGGACCACTAAATTGCAGTTAGATGCATAGTGGTAGTAAACTGTAATAAATCCTGTTCTTCAATTTCCAGTCCACTATGGTTCTTGGTATGCTGGCTCTGATGATCCACCTGTGGGTCTGTTCCATGCGCTTCTTCCAGTACTACCTGGACACGCTTATAAGAGATGTAAGTATAAAGGCCGTTTTCAGACTTATCATAATGTATGGATACACAAAGATTTGTGACCTGGATACTCCAATTTTAGATGTTTGCAATTTTCTAACTTTAGTAAGTAGCTAAGTATATTGATATTTCGAAAGTTACCAACAATACTTATAATTATTGTATAGAGTCCGAGCATGCTATTGGAGATGACGACAGCGAGTCTGCTGGGCGGGCAGGCTGAGATCATGCCGCTAGGCCCGCTGACCAGGTTCCTACGCCAGCAGCAACCGCAGATCCACATGACGGTCTGCTGGTTCCTGTCACTCTGCTACGCAGACTACGTTCGTAAAAACTACTGCCAGAGGTTCAACATGCCGTATTTGGAACAGTGGTTGGTATGGTTCATGATTACCTACATGTATTAGTACTAACAATTACCTGCAAGCTGAGTCTGTCAATCTATTTTACTGCTAATGTAGATACTCGATAAACCTATTTAGTAAGGTATAGAATAAAATATATGTTTTGGAATAGGCAAACCGAGTTGCACAGCCGTGCCGTACGGGGACTCCACAGCACAGTGGAGAAGGTCAACAGCTTTGTCGGCTCCGTCCATCAACGGCTGCGAGGGTTTGCACCACCAGGTCACATGGAAACCTGCCCGATGACGGACTGCACCACGTATACGTAATGCTTTTAGTTTATTTTCAACCCACTGCGTGCTTGATTGTGACTTGAAACTAGTAGAGACTGTACGGTTGGTGCGGTGGCTGGACATCCGGCTGCAGTGCAACGTGTCACGGGTTTGATTCCCGCACGGAACAACACTGTGTGATCACAAATTGTTGTTTCGGGTCTGGGTGTCATGTGTATGTGAAATTGTATGTTTGTAAACGCACCCACGACACAGGAGAAAATCCTAGTGTGGGGCAATGTTAAAAAAAAAGAAGACTGTCGAATATCTCACGCGAGTAACCCGTATATTGCAATTAATTTAGTATGTCCACGATATTATACAAAATGGTCAGTATAGACTGTGTACAAGATAAAATATTTAGGCTTAACATTGTCAACTAGAGTGGGAGCGCGTCTTGTAAAAAGTCATCAGTCAACGTCAGCGACACATGCAGTCGGGTCTCTTGGGGTGATAAGCAACCGTGTGAATCTACCGCGGCGCTTTCAAAACCGCAGAAAGATTTCGATGTACGGCTGGTCACCCAGTCGAACGAGACCACTGATGCTATCGAAAAACTTAGGAACTACGTCGCAGTGAGTATTAACCTAAGACTATTTACCCTTAGCATCGATTACACGGGACAGAGAGTAACCTGTTACACTTTAAGATTGATGTAACACCCTCTTCACCCTTACCCACATAAATATTGATAATGACGTCATCCTTTTATTAAAGCCATAATTTACTATTTTCCGCACCATGACTTTACGAGGTCTTTAAAAATGTGTAGAATTGTTAATCTCGTTTAATATTAAATCAAGGTTGTAGACGATGCCATGCTAATGCCACAAATCCATAACCAACTTTTGACTATCAACCGATAAATAGAGCTCGTAAGACTAGGAACGGTTTGACCAGGATCCTTTGTATTACCTACCTGGTTTTCAAATCATTCAGGCTATGGCTATACCCATAATAATCTGTTACATCCCTACAGTCGACGAGGTGCACGTGCAATCCACAGGACTCCGGCGTCGTTGGTGCTATCGCCGATAAAGAACCCAAGTCTTGAAGACTGTCCCTGGAGAAGCATAGAGAAGATTCCGTTCAATACACTTGTTAGATGATTTTGGGAGTATTAAATATTTGTTATGACTAAATGAAGTATTTAATTTCTTAGAGCAATTTTATGAAGGTAGGTAACTATTCTGAAATGTCATGTTATGAGCTAATTACGGACTATAGAAAGGTACCTGGCAATGCCACGCTCAAAAGACGAAAAGAGTGCATTATGAAAGTGAGAAAGAATGCTATATATCTTAGTTATATGCAGAAACTTAGAGATGATTACTTTAGCCTAAACAAAAATATAAAAAACTATATTATGACAATCAATGTCAATTCAATATGTTTAGTAAACTGTCAATACGATCAATGATCATGGTGACATAAGAAATTGCTATTTTTGTAAAAAATCAACAAGAAAGTTTAATAAATTAAAACACAAATGATAAATTTCGTTGTCAATCGTTTAGAGTCAAAAAATTGTGATGTGGGATACCTCTATATGGAGTTATATGCAAAATGAAGGATTTGAGGTAAGCAGGCAATGTTCTTAACAATTTATCATCGTCCCTGCAAAGTACATCCTTAAGTTTCGGTATGGGATGATTATCAATTTGTGGGTCAAAAATGAGTCCATCTATCTATTAAGTCAAAAAGTCAACTAGGTGAGTACTATTTCAGCAATCTCCTTTGCAATAACTATACAAAATCAAAGCAAGCTCAACAAAAACTTTTTCCGTAGGTATATTTTTGCCAAGATAGATCAAATTTCTTCATCTTTTAGGTAGGATAGGTACCTACAAGTTGGTATACCTAAATAAAATAAGGATGGGACTTAGGATATCGATTATAGTAATATGCATAAGTAAATATGTATTATTATTTTGTAATAAGCAGCTGTTCGAATGGGCAAAATGCGGAGAGGGTTTACTGTCAGTGGTGCCGACAGGGCTGTGGGCAGCCGGCTCAGCGTTGCTTTCGCAGCGGTTACTCGCTGCGCTCTTCAGGAGATTTGTGTTCCGAAGAGTGCCACTATGGGAACTTATTTTACAGGTAATAGGTACAATGTACATACCTACCAATCTTATAGGAAAAAATTTAAAATATTTTTCAGTTTACCTCTAGGACCGCATTTCAACTGCAAATTGCAAGCAAATTAGAAAGCAATTAGAAAGCAGTCGTATCACGACTGATATTGAACTGCAAACCAAACGTGCAGTCCGATTACAGTTCTATTGCAGTCATGACCAAACGGTTGCAAACCAAACGTGCAGTCCGATTACAGTTCTATTGCAGTCATGACCAAACGGTTGCAAACCAAACGTGCAGTCCGATTACGGTTATATTGCAGTCATGACCAAACGGTTGCAAACCAAAAGACCAGTTCGGTTATTTATGTATTTATCTATTGCAGTCGTGTCAACTGCGTTCAAATTGCATCGGAACAAAAATTTGCAGTTGAAATCCGGTTCGTCTGCTTAGTCATAAGTAGGTACATACAACATGTGTTAAGTAAGAACAACATGTTTCCTTTTTAACCGACTTCCCAAAAAGTAGGAGGTTAGTTATGTTTTTTAATTCTCCAGCTAAGAAATCGAATATCGAATCGTGCATAGACATTAATCTTACTAATGATGATTAGCTTCGATATATTTATATTTTTTATTGTTTTAGCATCTACTTTTCATATGGATGGTGATATACAGTCTACATTTCTGGGCTATGCTTGTGAGAATCCTGAAAACAGTTGTAGAGTACTGTTTTGAAGTAAGTTATTTTTCTAATAACTAGGTACACACGGCCACACATCAATCTATACAAAACCAGTATATCCTGGTGTCGCATCGCATCATATTTCCGAACATTTAACGTTCAGTTTATACTGGTTATGTAAAGCTCGATGTGTAGCCGTGTGTACTTACCAATCGTTAAAATTTGGCTTAAAGTAGTTTATTATTAAAAATTAATTTTGCCTTAATAAGATACCTACCCTTCCAGTCCACAATATACTTTCCCATTCTGTCACACCCATAGATATAATAATATTTCTGTCACACCTTATGCCCATAACAAGTTTATTATGGTTCTTCGGTTCCCGAATGGAGGAAGGCATGGGCAGGGCATCCACCTATAAGGTAGGCAGATGACCTTATAAAAGTCATTGCGACGGGTCTATGCCCAGCAGCGGATGACAAGTAATTTATATTATATCTTTCGCGAGACATACTAAATGAATTATTGTGTTTTTGGCTTACTCAAGTAAATATGACTGGTAGCAGCGCGACAGTCGCCGCGACGCTGCTCGCGGAATGCTGCTCATGAATATGAGCCTCTAGCATGGCTAGAAACTCGTCGAGTTCCTCGTCAAATAATTACGTGAGTAAGCCGAAAAACAATTAATTCTACGTATTGTTTCAGGAGGATTCCATGATGTCCGAAGATTATGAAGAGAGTCGCAAGATGATGCAGCAGTGGATGATATGGATGTGTGGGGCGGCCCCACTGGCTATATACATACACACCAGACCGCGACCCGAAATGCCGCCGCTCATGATATGGTCAGTTTAAAAAATACTGATTTGATGCATTTTTTCCCCCTTTTTTGACCCCTGGCGATCTGGAAGTCATTGAGACTCGTGTCCAAATGACAACAGTATAAAAAAACTAATAACAAACAAAAAGTCAATACTAAAAAGCAAAAAATAACTATTATTAGTACTGATAGGTTACCCACCCACTGATAGGTTAGAAGTCGGTGCCATAAGTTCCATACAAAATTATTCATTAAAACCTTAATAGGTATCTAATTCACAATTTTGTGGACATTAAGTTATATCATTATGATATGAGCTTATGGCACCGACTTCCAACCTATCAGTGGGTGGGTAACCTATCAGTACTAATAATAGTTATTTTTTGCTTTTTAGTATTGACTTTTTGTTTGTTATTAGTTTTTGGTTTTTGAAGTCGGTTTTTTAAACGCAGTTTTTATTTTATTATTTTACCATTTTCAGTGTAAAGCTACATATACCCGTTTTGTTACTTATAATATACATAGGTGCAAAGTCCTCATCAATACAAATTAATCAAGCCCAAACTCAAGGTAGTTACTGTATACCGTTGAGGAGTTCTTTTAACAATTACACTTCTTCATCATCAGACCCTTAATGACAGCCCCACTCTATCTAGGTGTAAAGTCCTCATCAATACAAATTAATCAAGCCCAAACTCAAGGTAGTTACTGTATACCGTTGAAGAGTTCCCTTAACAATTACACTTCTTCATCATCAGACCCTTAATGACAGCCCCACTCTATCTAGGTGTAAAGTCCTCATCAATACAAATTAATCAAGCCCAAACACAAGGTAGTTAATATAAACCGCTGAGGAGTTCCCTCGACTGTCTGTCGACTCCATCATCAGGTCGACTCCAGACCCTTATTAAATTGTAGTGTTTAAAATTCGTAATTTAAACATAATAGACGCATTACTCCCCCATAGAATTTTCGAAAGTTCCCCTCGGTTTCCCTAGGATCCCATCATCAGATCCTGACTTCATGGAAATGGGACCATCTCGGGAGTATACCCTTTCAAACAAAACAAAAATTTTTGAAATCGGTCCACAAACGGCGGAGTACAGCGCGAACAAACAAAAAAAAAAAAAAAAAAAAACAATCAGCCGAACATAGTACCTCCTCCTTTTTTTGAAGTCGGTAACAAGCGATCTTTGGTAAATCAACAGCAGGATCTTCAAAACTTTCTATTTAATCAGCTTCCAGTAACCTCCTACACGAAACAAGTTCCGATAAACACAAAGCTAAGCATGTAGATATAAGAATGATTTTACATCAACAGTCTGTTTAATTTCCTTTTCTACAGGATCACAACCAGCCCCTGGCAACGTCGTGAAATGGGACCGTATGGGTACTACCTGAACAGGCCCCTCTCTTCACTACAGTCCTCCACGAACATAACTTTAAGACAGCAAACCCTCACGATGCGGAGAGCTTTCAGCGACTCCAAAATTATCATCAAAGAACCACCTAAGAAAAAAAGACATTCCAAATCTGTATAACGTGTCTAGTATTGTTTCTATGATTTAAATTGTTTTGTCCGCAACGCATTGTAATCGTCCAACGTCTGATCTCTGTTATTTTTATGCAGTAATAAATCTTTTATATGATGTTGATGTTTTTTCTTCTTTTAATTTCTAGGATTGTTTTTTTTTTATATTTCTATCATTATGTTCATTATCTCATGATCATCCAGTCACAAAACGTAGTTTCCTGCAGTTTCTTGTTTTAATTTTACGAAGGAGTTTTATTTTATATATACGAAAAAGAAACTAATCCTACAGATTTTTGAAGACGGTTCTAATATCGCGCGCGATTCCAGTAGTCATTGAGGTTTGTCATTGCCAGATATCGTTTTTAGCAAGGACTTTATTAGATAACCGAAAATAGAAAGTCTAATCTAATAAAATTCTTCGAAATTAATTAGGTACAACTTTTGTTATATCAAAATTATTTATTTTTGTAATACATAAGCGACCAATTTTCTCAATATGCAACCCTAATGTGATTCTGAAAAATGATAACAGATGTCACTATGCCTTTTAATTAAAAGTCGCTATTAAGATTCTCCGCGGCGGGTATAAAAGCGGGTGCGAGCCTGGCAGACGTCATACTAACCTTGCGTAGGGTGTACCGTGATCATGAAGGCGGTTGCCCCGGGCGGGCTCCGGCCATTGCACTGCGGTCGGACGCAGTCCGTCTGTGACTATCCCAAATTGGGGTACGTCGTACGTGTAATTTTTGGTAGTCGGACTTGCGTTCTGCGCGGTCCTTCGTGACAATATAAACAGAACAACAACAGCTGACCTTACACACGGCTGCACTTAATAGGTTATGTATAATAAAGTGAAAAACGATGCATAATATACGTAAACCCCTCCTGAAGCAAACCAAATTAGAAAAATAAGCATAAAATAAATAAATATTGCAACACACACACTACATACAAGAACGACACCATAAAACGCAAAATACACATGGTAAAATCGACCCAAAGGAACAGTGCAATGCAATGAAGGAGAAATTAAGCAAGAATTAAGTTAGACAAACATTTCTACGGCAATTACAAGGTAGGTAATAGGAGCTATCACATAACAGGATCGATATTATGAAAACCGCAACAAATTTCTACAAAAAACTATATAATTGTCAAACCTCAAACTCCTCAAATATTTACGATGCCACCAACATCCAGACACAATTACCACAATTACCTGCTAAAAACGGCCCACAAATAAAAACGATAGATGCGATGGAAGTTATAGAAGGAATAAAGAGACTGAAATTAGAAAAATGTCCAGGCCCTGACGGAATTACTAACGAGGCAATAAGAATAGGCTGTAAGCATCTGGTACTTCCTCTGACACATCTCTTCAACTCTATACTAGATTCGGGCATCACGCCTTTTCAATGGTCGGAGTCGAACATGATTCTACTCTACAAGAAAGGAGATCCCACGAATATAAGCAACTATCGCCCTATCAGTCTGTTGCCCACACTCTACAAACTCTTTTCATCGATAATCGAAAAGAGGATCAGTGAGACTCTTGAGGAACACCAACCGATAGAACAAGCTGGTTTTAGGAGGGGATATTCTACAATAGATCACATCCATGCGATAGAACAAATAATCGAGAAATATACTGAATATCAGAAACCACTGTACGTGGTGTTCATCGATTACCAGAAAGCCTTTGACACAATTCGACACTCCTCTATATGGACCGCCCTAAGATCACAAAACGTTGAACAGAAATATATAAAAGTCATAGAATATTTGTACAACAACTGCACAAGTAGAATTAAACTTGAAACAATGGGTCCACGGATACCCATAAAGAGAGGTGTAAGACAAGGCGACCCGCTATCTCCAAAACTTTTTATAGCCGTACTAGAGATGGTCTTCAGCAAACTTAACTGGGATAGAACAGGGCTAAACATTAGCGGCAAGTTTATCAGTCATCTTAGATTTGCCGATGATATTATTCTACTATCCGAGAGTGCTGAGGAGATGGAATCAATGTTACACTCACTAAAAACTATGAGCTACGAAGTAGGCTTGGAAATGAATCTAAATAAAACAAAAATTATGTCCAACAGCAAAAAACACCCGGTATATCTTGATCAAATACCATTAGAATACGTAGACAGTTACATTTATCTAGGCAAACAAGTATCCTTCGGAAAACAAAGTAACGAACTGGAAGTTGAAAGAAGAATCTTAAGCGCATGGAAAAAATTCTGGAGCTTTAAAGAAATATTAAAAGGATCAACGCCTATGAATTTAAAGAAAAAACTGATGGATACATGCCTGCTCCCCTCTATCACCTACGGTTGTCAAACATGGAAATACACCCTAGGCGTAAGAAATAAGATCAGAACCTGCCAAAGATCTATGGAAAGAAGTATTACAAATATTAGAAAAATACAAAAAATCCCACACAATATCATACGGGAAAAGACTAAACTGATAGATGTCCTAAACTTCTCACAAAAGTTAAAATGGCGTTGGGCTGGCCACGTAGCTAGGTTGAGCGATGACCGTTGGACCTACAGACTGACATTATGGCGGGGTCCCAGAGGTATCAGAAAGAGAGGTAGACCTATAACTCGTTGGGATAACGATATTATAAAAATAGCTGGTGAAAAGTGGAAGACAATTGCCAAAGATAGGGATATATGGAAAAGTCTGGAGGAGGCCTTCACCCTCACATAAGAGGGGTTCTTGCATGCTTGCATGATGTTTATTATAATTTATTATATTTTATACACCTTGTAGATTGAATATTCTTGTAATTTGGATTATTATAAATGTCGTAAAATTGAATTTATTATAATTATTTTAAATTTTAAATGTGTAATTAAATTTATATAAAAGTAATTTTAAATCAATAATGGAATTCATGTAATGATGATTCTCATAACTTTTATAATTATTAATATGGAATATAAATAATTTTACATTAAGAAACCATTATTTAATCATTTTTAATTTTTCATGTTTCTTTTGTTATGTTATGTTTTTCATGTTAAGTAATTTTGCAAGAAATAAAAGGCTTTTTATTTTTATTTTATTTTATTTTATTATTATTTATAATAGGAGTTGCAACTGAGAAATTAAAAGTATAGACATATATAGACCGTAAATATAAGTAGATATAGGTAGATACCTACATACACGTCACCAGACTAGGCTACGCATATAGTGTAAGATTATTACTTTCTGATCAATAGAATAAACGCTGTAGTCATCCTTTGACGCCACTAGACCTACACTAGATCTTTGGGCCTCCGGTAACAGTCACAGTGAAACAGAACGCTGGGTCTCTTGTCCGATCGTCTCATTCGAATTCCCTTACATATAATTCACATGTCTAATTATAGACCAAATTCGTTTTTGTAAATATGATCCCTAATATTTTCATCCCAATGAAAACTTATAATCATCTCCGAGGGAACAGTGCCCTTACTTTTTCAAAGGCAAATAAATCTCAACAAAATGATGTAAACAGAATACTAACCCAATCGTTCCATCAGACGCATGAATCACAAATTGACGCTAACCAAGTAACCTTGACCTATAAAAAGCGACATGGAAAACCTTTTCCAAAATCAACAATAAAATAAAAAGGAACCATTTTAAATGAATCATAATTTATTATCATCAATGCTACAGTGTAACATTGACGGTAGACAGTACTAACCGAACGGCGGAATACACTAAATAGCTCGTAGAACCCCAACGCGAACTGTGTGAAAGAAAAACACATCATCAGACACACTTTATTAGTACAAGGTGCAGTACAACTGTTACTTTAGACTGGAACTACGCTCTGCGGTAACCAACCAGGACTTTGATTTGATAATGCTCCTATTTCACAATAAAAGCAAGTTAGTTGTGAGCAATAAAACTTCAATATTGGTAGGTAGAAGATATGCAATAGGCTTCGAATTGTTGCTTTGAATTCTCGGCTAATTCAAGCCTGCATTGTTTACTGAACTTCTCCAACGATAGAGTTGTTGTTGAGACTAATTGTTTTAGCTCCACCAAAATTTCGCAAACATGAAAATAATGTACCCAAAAAATAAAAACAAAATACCTATAATAACGTTAAATTTTATTTGTTATCTTTATAACATTAGCGTAGGTAGTGTAGTTCCAACCTTAACAGGAGAGAGTATAAAACGGTTGTATAAAAACATAACGTTCATATAAAGAGTTTATCCATTCGGATACTAACAAAGTGTCGGCTACGTGTCGCCGGCGGCTGTGGCCTTCTGTTTCACGTCCAAGCTTTTCAGGGGATCGTTTTTGCGGGCCTGGAACACATGAAGTAATTTAATTAGTATACTGAAAAAGGATTTTTTTAATCTCCACAGACTTGTGTCCGTGCCCTTGTCATAAATTACATTTTCTTTTTTATAGTCACTATTAATTATTATAAATATCTTACATGTATACTGTTAAAAAGCTGTACCTAGTTACTATAAAAATATATAGGTTGTTGATGATAAATGATAATGATGTTGACTGTATGTCATTGTCACTGAAAAACACCTGTTAATCAAATTTTCCTACTTCATAAGAGTAAATTTAAGTTACAATAAATAGGAGCAGTATCTCACTTGATATTTATGTCTTTTCGCGCTCCCGTACTGTGTGTTCTGTTTCCTCTTCCTCTGTGGGGCAGGAGCTGGTGCTGCAACACCTTCCTGCTCATCTTCCACCGTCTCATCACTCCTCAAGGCAGCAGGTAATAAGTATTCAGGGACGTGAGCCAAGTGGTGCTGTACTTTCACAGTATGCAGAGCTTTATCTCTTCGTAAAGCTGCCAAATCTGTTGGATTTTCTTCAAAGTAGCCCTGGAAGAAGACTTGTGTTAATTTTGAATGACTTGTGAAGCATATTCTTATAAAATAAAGGTATATTCAGAGAGAAGATTAGACAAATCATCAATGTGTTATGTTAACAAATTTGGTCATCATGTGGAGTACTAAGAAAAAAGCAGCTAAACTGGAATTAAACCTGCACGTAAATGCGACATGTGTTCCATTCTATTCCATGTTCTCAATACTAAATTGTGTATGAAACTAAATTACTACCTGTAGTTTTTTACAATTGAGCAGTTCCTGTTTGATTTCCTTGAGACGAGCCTCCCTGACTGCTATCCTAGTCACAGCTCGCCATGCGTCTCGCGATCTGTAGCGGAAACCTTCCACTTCTTCCAAGGCAAACTCATATTTCCTGAAAGACCCCAAATTTTTCAAATTAAGTTAAAGTTACAATACCATCATGTTGTTAGTAGAAGTATAATGTGCAGTCCAAGTGCAATGAGTTGTTACATTATCAAACAAAAAACTTACTGTAGAACTTTCTGTGATTTGAATCCTTTTGACAAATGAACCTCTACTGCATCCATCAGTGGCTTCTCTCTTATTGATACAAATGACAACACTGAACCCTGTAAACAAAAGTACAAATTCTTACACAATTTTTTTCAAACAATATAGCAATATTTTTATTTGCGGCATATTACCAGACTGTAAATCTTTACAATGTTGAATCTACATGTATGATGTCCTCTGCAGTAACAGGCAATTTATATCCATATATTCAAGTAAAGTAAAGTAAAAATATCTATATTGACAAAAAATAAATAGAATATTATATATCTGGTAGCAAGGATGTTGTAAAAAAGGTGGACATAAATAAGGTTGAAGCACCAATATGTCAGTGGCATTTTTAAGTTTGCGTGTGTAATGGGTTACCACATTACGACTTGAGAAATGACCCTTCTGTGTTTATATTCTGCGCGTAAGAACGGTCAAGGACTGTGTCCGCCGATTTTTCAATGTCATTGCTTAGAAGTTAGCTGCTTATACCTACTTTAAAAATTTAAAAATATTTCTTTGTTATTTACCTGATTCTTTCCTCTAGCTGTTCTCCCAGCTCTGTGCACATAAGAGTTCACATCTAATGGGAAGTCAAAGTTGATGACATTAGACACATGCTGGAAATCTATCCCTCTTGATACTCCTGACTCTTTGTCCTTTTTCCGTTTAGAATTCTGTTTCTTCTTCTTTCTCTCTTCGATGGGGAGTATACCACCATCTGGCTTCTCCAGGGCCATTTCATCTGATGCTATAATGATCTGATACCTTCCTCTGTTAAACTGGTCTACTGACAGACATCTAACTGCAGCTGGAAGCTCTGAGTTGAGAACACATGACCCTATTTTGAACTGTTCTAAGTATAATTTTAATCTGCAACAAGACAATGGTTTTAGAATTAGGTTATTGCATAACATGACTAATATAGATAAAATATAAATTGGTTTCTAAACATACTCACTTGTAACACCTATCTACTGTCCTAACAAATATTATGCTCTTTCCTCTGATAAGGTTCAGTTTCAGTAAAGCATACAATATGGCTGCCTTGTCATCTTCCTCTGCAAACAAATGGTAATGCTGCAGCTGTGATGAAGGTGCTAACTCTGGCTCCTCCAGTTTTAAGGTGACAGGGTTACGGAGAACAATCTTTTTGAGACTAAGCACATCTTCAGAGAGTGTTGCTGATGCCAAGACAGCTTGGTAGATTTTTGGCAAATGTCTGCAAAAGAATAAATTTATTAAACACAGTCAGAGAGATTGATATTTCAAAGAGTAGTTTAATCCTCAGGCATATTTTAAGCAGGAAGTATATGGTTTAAATAATCATCATTTACTCACCCTAACAATTCTTTAATCTCATCCTCATAACCAAATGAGAACACTAAATCTGCTTCATCCACCACAAGTACAGCCAGATCTTCTTTCAGCCTCATATTATTAGCTTTCAAGTGCGCCAGCGCCCTTGACGGTGTTGCCACTACAATATCTGGCTTATCTGACAATAGAGCCTTCTGTGTTGCTGTGTCTCCACTTGACGATATATCTATGCATTTCACTTCCCTTGCACATTTTGTGGTTAGGTCACCAATTACTGAAGTAATCTGAAATATTTAACAACAAAATAATGTGGCACTGTTAAGTAACTGAAAAAGAATTTGATTATCTTTTTACTTGATACAGTGACATGAACATGTGCAAAGCTCACCTGTCCACACAGCTCCTTACTTGGTGAAAGTATGAGAGCTCTGATACACTGATGTGTACTTGTATTCTTCATATTTAATATCTTTTGTATGACTGGTATTGTGAATGCAGCAGTCTTGCCGGACCCTGTTCTGGCTCTCATCAGCACATCTTTACCTTCCAAAAGCAAAGGGATTGCGGTTTCTTGAATCAGTGTGGGTTCTGGCCATGCCAGCTGTGATATTGCCTGCAAAAAAAGACCCGAATGTTACTTACGAATTACGCAAATACAGAATTCTATACCACGCGGATTCTAGTTTGTTTACAAGTCTTTGTAGCCAATGGATTAGAAGCTACAAAGAAATCTATTGCAAAATGCTAGTATAAAATTAAATAATATAATATGATAATTTAATAAAACAGAACTAATCGATAAATACCTTTAAAATGCGATCATCCAGTTCCATTTCATGAAACATAACCTTTTTTTCGTCTTCCATGATTTCCGATAATTTTAATGACACATAGACAGTGAATAGAACGTTATTTGAAACACTAAATAAACTCAGGTTTTTGCTTATTACTATTTGATCCTTTAATTCTTGTAATTTGTAAATGTTCACTGTAGTATTATTTTCACAAAAACAACACAAGTAATCACGTGTCTGACAAACGTGCCGCCATCTGCAAAGTGTTTTTTTTAATAATGTTACCATTGCCAACGAAAAAATAATTGAATAGTTAAGAGAGAGCACGATGTTTGTTGTCTGAAAAAATAGTTTATAATAAAATCAAAATTTTAATATCATTTCAGGTTCAGTTTGTTAGTACAAAATGGTTAAATAAGTTAAAGATTTCTATGTCCTTGTCGGACCTGATAATTTCAAATTGTAATTTTGAAATTGCCAACCTACCTAAAGCAAACGTGGCAAAGCGATGGTAAACAATTATCATTTCTTCTCTGTGTGAGTAGAAGTCTGAAGAATTGTGTTGGGATATGGTTGAAATTTGGTTAAATTATATTTAAACCGCCACACGCAAAAAATATTTTATCTCAACGGCAGTAATTTTCACTCTGGTATGTAAAGTGTAGAATGACATGACACTGAATTAAAATTATTTTTTGCGTTAAGAACACTAAACGAATGGCCGAGTTGTTTCTGCATTGCATATTTTCAATAAAACGGTGTTATTTATTATCCATTTTCAATACTTTGTGATTGTTTCAACTCCAACGTTTTCTTGCTATCGTAATTTCAACCAAAATTGTGTTAGTGACTTACAAAAATGTTATACCTCAACGTCGATACGGACTGCAGTTCATTGCCTTATGTAAAACTTGAAATAGTGTTTCTTCCGTGAGTGACCGAAATATACGGTGACTTATGTGTTTAGTGTAATTGTTTAGATTTTATGGTGATCAAAGTGTCAAAATGTCGAATTCTACCGCTCAAGTGCTCATGAAGAAGGGTAAAAGGGGTGCAGCCGCATACATACACGCGGACTGTGAGAATGGATCCCCACAGCATTTGGGTCCGTTGCTGGACGTACTGCTGAACCCTAGCAAGGCCATTGACGAGTGGGAGACCATTGACTGGTGCCGCTGGCTGTTAGCCGGCGGGAGAACGCCGGACGAGTTCGCAACTATTGGTATGTTCTAGCATCTAACTGTACTCCTCAAAATACATCTATCATAGTTTGTAGGTTATGATTCAAAGTTATAACAGTTCAGTTGCACTAATTGCGTAGTTTTATTAGTAGGTAATTAAAACTGTAGCATTGCATGACCTTCCATTGTTTGTTGTACCAAGTCTTTCAATATTTGTTGATGGCCTGTATGGAAACTGACAGCTACGGATTTTGTTTGTCCTAATTATTCAAAAAGTGCAGTTATACATTATCAACAATGACAGTTGCATGGTATGAGTGTAGAATTGTTGTAGAACCCTTGATTATTATAAAAATGTGCAGGGTCTGACATTGACATTATTACATCTCATTATGTATGCACATACAATTGCTAATTAGGAGCTCCTGTAAAGTTGTAAGTTTAGTAAACAACAACTGCTATAACTCTGAGACAACACAATACTTATTTTTTAAAGATCAACTAGGTATATCTACCTTATTTTATCTAAATTGTTATCTATAACAAAATAAAGTACAATAAACTCAGTTTATTGTAATGGTGATTCAATGAAACTATTATTACATTTAATAAGCAGTCTGGTTTACAACAATGGAAGCCTGAAGGCTTTGTTCATAAACAACACTAAGTTAGTCACAATAAACAACTCTCTAAATCTAAAATGATTATCATTATTAATCAACCAAAAATACTTTCAATTACTATCCAGCATTGTTCTACAACATCTTTTTACCTCACCATAGTCTCATCTTTTTTTCAAATTCTATACAAAACTGTTTGTTTTATAATACACAATGTTTAAATTTCTGTATTTCTGCAATTAAACAATAAAATGCTAAATATTTTAATGTATTCAAGCTTCAATAAGTATTTGAGAAGGTCAGTAGTGGAAATTTCCATGTTCATGGGTTTATAGCTGCATCGATAGGTGTATGAATAGCCTCAAGATAATGTTAACATATGGATAATCATATGGTGACATAAAAGGTAGACAATATGATGTCAATATGTGACTACAGTAACCAGGTAGGTATGTACCTGTACTGATCGCCATCTTGACCATTTTTGTGTTTCCAATGTCAGCAGATGTTGAAAAACCTTGTTGGTTTATGTATGAATCATAATTGCCTATGTGTGTATGTGTCAATTATTGTAAACAATCTTGAGATTGTAGTGCTATATGTAGATGCTTGCCTAGGTACTGTGTTTTCCTGTATTTTCAATCTTGCATGGAGACCCATATCTTCTCTTCTTTGAGAAGTGAATTACCTGCTTTTCTTACTATTGTAATTACTAATATGAATGAGTCATATTTCCTATGAAGTCTGTGCCCTATATTGGCCATAACATGGAAGTTTACAACAGTCAGTTTAATCATTTTATGTCTTATAAACTTTAAAAAATCTATTAGGCTATACATAGGCAACGGCAATATAAAAACCAGATAAAAATGTGTATCAATTGGAAATTCTTTTCAAATGATTATAAAATATCAAAGAAATTAATTGTTTACATGCCTGATGGAACTCTGTAGTGGTTTTGTAGTCAGTAAAAGTCTGATAATTCCTTTCCCCTTCCCTGTGGATAGGGGATTTTTATCATGGGGTCATATGGCAATTGTATATTTTAGTTATAATGGTATATTAATAATGGTTTGGAGATTTCAGATTATAGAGTCGACATAATATTAAATGTAATTTATGAACACTATAAAGCTATTATGACCAAAATAATGTGATGGTTTAGGGAAAACAAGGGAATTCCCGCTCATATCTTATGCTATTTGAAGTATTATTGCCTACCAGTAAAGAATAGGTATTTCCAATGTGATGCAATATCTACGAGATATCCTTTTCAAACAAAATCAAATATTATCTTAAGATCCTTTGAGATTGCCTCAACTTCATTGGTTAAAAATGAGGTTTTAATTGTAACAACCATTCATTCATGATACATTGTTTAAACTGGAATAACTATGTTTAGATGTTTGTATGTTCCACAGTTGATTGTTTATCTATTGTAAACTTTGGTCATCTTCATGTAGGTAAGTAATATGGGATTCAGAATTTAGCTCGACTGCAATAAATAATAAATTAAATAACTACATGCTTGCAACTAAATTGTTATTTAAATGATAAATGTACAATGTAAACAGGTGATATATTACATACTCACCTACATTATTATATTATATTAATTTAATTTATATATAATACTCTAATATCTATATATATATAAAAATGAAACCTGTTTCCCGTCATATCATGTCCCATAACTTGAGAACGGCTAGACCGATTTGGCTGATTTTTTTTTTGTTGTGTTTGTTATTGTCGAGAGAAGGTTCTTATGACAGAAAAAAAATCCTGAATATCTTACGAGGACGGGAGGAAACGGGATTGCGCGTACGAAGTCGCGGGCAGAAGCTAGTATGTACGTACGCCATTTGTACGTAGTCTACAAATATTTGGACAAATGAAGCGACTACGCAATGTCAAGTGTGGTACCACCTTAACATACCTTTTGCACATTTTCAAAGTGAAATAACTTTTGAACCCCAAGTTCTAAAAATATGTAATTTTTTTCTAAACTTCATAATAAAAATATCTATCGTTCAGACTATTCACTTGGTTAAAACAATGACTAATACAAAATTTTATAGCGGTACAAAACTTCCATACAAACCTGCCATTCTCCTTTGTAGGTAAAGTAATAACTAATCAAATGAATTTTATTTTGTACCTAAGGAGGTGTTTCGTTTAAATGTGTTATTAAGATATAGATAGAATTATATTTTACATAAGATCTATTTTTCCTTTCATAGTCCCCTTATTGAATGAATAAGTGATGGTATTCATAAATCTCATTTTCATTTGACGCAATTTTTTCACGTTATTTTGATGTTTATGTAGGCGTATTTTTTAGCTGCCATTATACACAAAGTGTGTAGGTTCTTGGATGACGTCCATTTAACTTAATAAACACTTCCCTCAAAAATATTTTGCGATGAAAGTCAATTGGCACTGTTCCTAAGTCTTCCTCTTTCCCAAATAACAGAGGCGACGATATAAATATGTATGTATTTTATTTTTGATCAAACTTTTTTATTTATTTTCGGCATCAAACAGGCTGAAAATATACGATTTATTGTAATTAAAACAGTACATTTCCAAGTCAAAACATTAATGTTCCTTAGTAGTCATGTGTCTCGCGCACGCGCACGTTATCAAGTAACACTACTGCTGTAAATAGACTCATCTTAAACAACAGTATGTAATTGTATGTGGAAGTGCACTGATGTTCTATAGTTGGCTATGAGTGGTCACAGAAGCAGGCATCTGTGCACCAAACATCTAACACTCCACAGACACACAACAACTCAGTGTTGTTTTACATTTGGTATGTTCAACGTTAGAATGATTGTATCTCGCGATAAATCTTGACCGTGCAAAGAAGCTGACCTTATAATGCCAACTAAGCATAAATAAAAATTCAAACAAGTATAGCAAAAAGCGTTTTCGGGAACTAGTTAGCTTAATCTTGGATGTGAGAACCTTGACCTTGGCGCAGACCTCGGCCGGGTCAAGACTGAGGTCCGTGAAGGCCGACATTGGATCGCGGTCCTCACCATCTACTCTAATAACTAAGGCGAGCTTCTATGTGAGAACAGACCTCCTTTAGTAAAAACTAAAACGCAATTAAATATTTAATGCATCCGCAATTTCGTTGGAAACATTTTATGCTAAGAGTTTCCGTAATAAATTTAACATTAAACATTTGTTTGATTAAAGTAAATATTCTAGAGATTAAGTCAAAGTTGATAATCAGGAAGAGGTTTGAAAGTTGCTGTCTGTAAGGTGTTTTGCCTTTTTCAAGGTCTATTACACTGATCTATTTTTGTTGTAGAACTAACTGCAGTTAATAAGTCCCTTAACAAAAAAGATCTTCGCAACTGACTTTTTGCAAGCCCTGTTTTTCGTTTTGGTCAGGTGCCATTGTGGTCAAAAGCCAGCTCAAATGACGTACAATGGTATACGTAAAATGAAGTGTAAATACATGTTTTATATTTGATCTAAGTGATCTCGCGATGTGTTTTCATCATAGCAAGTTATTATTAGACATAATGGGGGCGCCACTAAGCTGTATTTTTTGCCACCTGTCTCACCAATGTCATCGCACCTGACTTGCTTGACCTAAATGCCAGCTTAACATAAACGATAATCATTGTAACGTGCTCTCTTCGCGCACTGGCGAAAGAATAACCGATACAACCTGTATGTTGTTATACTGTGACATAGAATAACAAAGGCTAACAATATAGCCTTTTATTAGTAAACGTCGTTTTAATTTATAAATATTATACCTAGTTAATGGTCTTTTAAGCCTTTTGTGCGGCATTTAAACATTAAAGTTGTTTGGGTTTCATTGTTTAACATTACATTTTTTGTTCAACTATGATAAGTTAGAATTACAAAGCAAGTACCTACATACATATTTTATATCCTATTTAGATCTTAAATATTTTATCAGTTAAACATAGCGAGAACTGTACAATCGGCAAATTAATGATTGTTGTAACTTGATACATATTTTATGACATGTCGTAAATCGATTCGATTTTAATCTTGGTGGCTTGCGACTAAATTACGCTCAGTGAAATGTCTGTATTTTTATGCTGTAGCAGTAAAGCAATTAGCAACTATTAATGTTGGGTGAGCAGACTGAGCAGTGATAGATGACGTCAAGCGTGACTGGCGATAATATCCGTAGCGTCATGATTTGTTCACTACGTCACTATAGTCACCCGAAATTGTGGACATTGGAGGTACCTAATTACTGAGATAAATCCTATTAAAAATGTTTAACTATAAAAACAGCCTTCTTGGATTGGCTTGTGTGATTTTCATTTCATTATTTATTCTTACACTGTGTTCGTGTCCTAAGCCCTAATACCTACCCACATGACGCTATTGTTCCCAGAAGCTCCAGAAACGCTACCGTTTCTGGAGCTTCTACACACTAGACAGTAATGTGCTCATTGTACCCCCATTATACGTCGTTTAATATACGGCTGTCAAGACTGTTATTGCTAGTGAGCAACCTTTCCGTGTTTATGTAAAGTTGAAATATTGAAAAACCCGGTAACTATTTGTTCGACCTAGGAGACCTTGTACTCATAAAACTTGTCTGTATAATTAGAAATATTACCATCACACACACATGTTATGTTTTTGGGCAAACCACACAATAAGGCAATAAATCTAGTTTAATAAAGTATAATTTAACTTGTACTAAACTAAACAAAAAAAGAAGTAACTTTCAACGCACATGTCAGCAATAAAGTTTTGTTATTTATAAGCGTGGAACCAACTTCAGCGTCTTTGGAGCAATAAATCCAATCACCGACTCCCACGCACGTGATTAAGTGATCACAGTGAACAGGCGATCCCTAAAAATAACATATACGTCGAAAATATCGTATCATACAATGAGTAATCACCAGGTTTATTTTCCTTAAACCTGTTCATGATTCAGCAGTTTGTGATTGTGACAAAGATGTAGCTTCATGGCTTTCGATCGGAATTTTTGATCAATGTCTAGGATCGCATACGTGCACTTAATCACATATCGCTTAAGAACTGTACAAGCCCTCGAGGCACAAGTCTAAACTGAATCATATCTAAATGTCTCGCGAACTAAGGAGGTAGTGGAAAAATTTATACTTTGTACGTAGTTAATTAACTTTGTTTAACCGACCACGGCATTAGGATAATATGTTAGGAATTTAATAGTTTATGTAACGCGTGTGTTCATATTTACGTGTGCTTTAATTACATTATAATTTGCCTTGGTGTCGTTTACAGGGGCTCGACCATGACCCCAATTCAATCATTTTAGGTTAAACTATAGATTTCTGCCCGAAAAATATTCTCTGTTTCGTTGTATTCGAAAGCAGTAATGAAAAATTCTGTCAACAAATCTTCAGGCACCACTATTGCACCTTGCCGGGTTTATCTCAGTCACGAATGTCATGATTACGTGGCCAGAGATCTCATATCTGCTCGTACACATTTTTTACTTTTTATTCGCAAGTGCTCTGTGGTTCACACGAACGAAGGAAGAGGATAAATTCCTTTATAAAAAGTACAAGTTGTTACATTCTTACTACTGTTCTTGTTACTAAATTAATTTTGGGTGGTTCTCTGGAAGTGTAATTAATGTCAAGCGGTTTTCCTTGTTGTGCCCTAAGATATTTGCTGTGGTATTCCGGCGAGATGTAAAGCCATATTTCTTGCAAAGTTACAAGGTTTCTTTTTGACATTACATGACCTCTATTTAAACACCTGAAACGTTATTTAATTTTTCATAAAACTTAACAGACGTAGCACATGTTTACCATGTAAACTCATGATTCGCAAGATAAACTTGTAAAATCCTAAAATGCCAAACGCTTTATTGTCAGAGCAGAAATATCGTATTTGTCTACAAATTACCAGGCGGACGTGAAGCCAATGGCAAACATTAAAAAATAATTCAACCTTTACGTCCCGAGTGCAAACATTGTTCATAAACGGTTTAATGTTCACAATTGAAACAATTGTTCGATACGAATATTTTAATATCGTCTGGTACAACACCAGCTCAATTAGTTACACGCAAAAGAAACTACGTTTGTTTGTTATATCAATATGCGCATATGCAAGCCACCGAGTGACTCGTGAACAATTTGACAACCATTTTGGTGCTCGCATCTCGTATGCAAGTTTGATTTACCCGTACATTTTGAGACGACCCCAGTTTTCTTAGCAAGTGCATTGACTCCGGTGCGTTTCGTATCGGACGGTGTTATTCACCGGCCGTGGCGTTCGTCGACCCCGTCTAACAGCTGATCGCGGTCCAACAGACACGTGCCGTGTTCCTCCTTGCTATGAGATAAGCACCCGCTTTGTTCTTGTACTTTACGAGACACGGACCTCCTTGAATGCTCTTGTGGATTTGCAACTTTGTATCTTTGTAAGCGTCTTCGATTCTGCCGAATAATGTTGCGTTCAGTTTGACTTTATTTGGTAACAAAATTCCCATTTTATGCTAATATTATAACAAATTAAAATTTTAATGATTTTGATCTAGTATTTCGATCAGAAGATGTTGCTAAAATCCAATGTCCGGTCACACAATGATATGAGAAGAAGATTTTTCTACTTTTTGTTGCGTCACGTCGCGTCGTTTGTCTAAAATCAACTTAACTTCTCAACCATATTGTTTTTCCTTTTAAATGTGACATCAAAATCATGTTTTGGGATCAAATCCATTTTGCAATAGGTACCATAAACATCCTTGTATGTCTTATATATTTCAATAATTGACGAAATGATGTCAACTCATCATTGGTAGCCCAAAGCGCGGCACCGTCACGGTCAGGGCAATAACCACCTATACGTGTACAACGAACGTTGATACGACCGTCCGTCGGCGCACGCGCACGATGCTCGTAATTATCGATGCGACGCCTTGTTACAGCCGGCTAATGTTGCGTAATGCTTATATTGCCATGCTGCTAATTGCTTTTATGTGTTTACTATATTTTTTCAGTTTTTATATCTTCCCAGGTTACCGTTGCAAGGATAGTTCGGTTTATGCAATATGTACTAAACGCTTCAATGCAGACATCGATGTACGTTAGAATATTTTTTATATTTAACTGTCTTACAATATTTGTCAGTCATTACTTTTATTTACGTCGTACACCTGAGCAAAAAAACTAATAGTATTACAAGAACCGTTTTTCTATGTTGCATAAAACCTTGTTTACATGTTGCGTTGTTAGGAAAAATATTTACTGAGTAAGGAAAATAAAGTATAAAGTAGATACTCGTAAGATAAAGTTCTTTGATCTTTAAGAAGAGAGAAAAATAATCCGGTTCCTACTTATTTTTTTCCTATGAAATGGTAATAACTAATTCACAAATTTTGAAACACATCAATTTTAACGTCTGCCTTCAGAAATTAGGACCATTAATTAGCTGTTAGATCAAAGGGCCATTCAGTCTGAAAATAAACAAATAATCTGCTATTTAAAAAACAAGCATAGATTGATTCATGGAATTGAAGCATTTAGAAACTACTTGATAGTTATTTAATAAGAATCCTTACTATCCTTACTAATATTATAAATCGGAAAGTGAGTTTGTTTGTTTGTTTGTTCCGACTTCACGCCGTAACTACTAAATCGATTGCATTGAATTTTTGCAGATGTAAAGTTAGTAGTCTGGGTTAAATAATAGGGTACTTTTTATCCCGAAAAAATTTGATATTCCTAAAGGAAAACAAAATAGGCTACTTTTTATCCTTTTGTGACGCGAGCGAAGCCGCGGGTAAAAGCTAGTATAAACTAGGGTGAATTAACTGCCGAAGTGGTTAAAGTCAATCATTGTAAATGGTCCGCGAATAGTTCCATTCAGTAACAGTGTCATTTCTATAATAGTCGCAATAGTACCTGGAATTTTGTGAATGAATAATAAATAATTCAAGGTAATCGTGTCGTATTTGATTTACCATGAAAATGAGATCCGTTAGATGCACAGTATGGTTCCAGATAACCCTGAGAGTTCATTCCAATAGCTCAACATAACTGAGGACGATGAGATCACGTTTTTGATTCCCAAGTTGTGCAAACTATGCTGTATATTACTGCCTGGAAATCTGCAGCACTTAAGTCTAAAAAATGACACTTATTCCCTGGAGAAAAGATACTAGAATAGATACAAAATCTGTTAATAAGCTCATTATAAGTAATGCTAAAGGGCATTATTCATAATAGGTCTTAGAAAGCAGATAGTAGACCCGCGATTTTTAGTTAATTTAGTATGTCTCACGATAGTTATTATAAAAACAGATAGTAGTTGTTCTAAAATGTCGCGGTGACCGGAAAAAAGTGACCTCAACCCATTCCACATCAATAGTGTTGGGGATTTTACTCCACAGCTCAAGACATGTATATTAATACTTAATAGATCCTCCAAAACCTCTGATACCCATTAGTTATGGTCTCAAAATCATTAGAGTCCACTATAATTACATGGGATGACTTGCCGTTTCGATGCCAGGGTGGGACCAGCTATTGTTGTTTCATGTTTTTCAAGCAGATGCTAATAAAACAATTAGATACCTGTACGAGATAGTTTTGAGAATAGGACCTGAGTGATTAATGTTTTATACGTTTAGTTATTTCGGCACTGGAAATACCAGAAAGTTCTTTTAGTAGATTTAGTCACGGGTATTTCTTAAATACTGAATTTGTATTCATCTGAATCGATTTTGTCCGCACTGCAGTACTACTGAATTTATCACCTAGACGAATGCGGATTTCGGATGCAGCGATTCTAACGGGAACTTTACATAATCGGAGATGCTTAATATAGTGTACAAGGTTTATGGTAAAACTAAACTGTACTTATTATTCCTTATCTAGGTACTCCATATTTTTTTGTTATAACGAATTGCTCCACCGGGTCCACCTAACTGAGTACTTTAAAATGGATTTTCTAAGAAATTGTAGTAGATCTCCCTAATTACTTGCTCATACGTGTAGCTGCCCAACAGATATAGTATGTCTGTTAACCACTATGTAAACTTACATTGGAAGGCTTTCCTTCTGTGAATTAATGCCGACTCTGTTTGTTGGTTTCTTTATCTTGTATCTTTTCTAATCTTCAGACCTCTGCTAAACGTTAAAAACTTTTATACCTATAACACAAAATGTGTGGAAAATCTATAAAGAGGATTATTTTATTAACCTATTTTAAAATCCGTTTATTGTACGTGTTTATCTTTTTAACACAAAATGCAGTTTTTATTTATTAAGTAGTTCTATCAATAATCTGCAACTGAACTGATATGATTTAAAAGCTTTGATTGATGGTGATACATAGATTAGTCTTTGTGTCTTATTAACCTTATTATGTTTTATTCACAGTCCGGAGTTACGACAAACATGACAAATGCGGTCTAGTATGGATACCGCGTGTTGTCGCGTATCGATGTCGCACGTGCGGCATCTCTCCCTGCATGTCGATATGTCGGGAGTGCTTCCACCGCGGCGACCACTCCACACACGACTTCAACATGTTCCTGTCGCAGGCTGGAGGTGCTTGCGACTGTGGAGACAAATCCGTCATGAAGGAGGATGGGTAAGCTATTCTGATTATCATCAAACCATAACTTCAACTTCTTAGAAATTGTTAGATGGGCTGCTACATTACTTGTAGCTGGTTCTAATAACATAAGATAATTCTTCGTGTCAAAGTAAAAACAATTTTAGTGCAAAGCAAAAAATGTTTAAAAACATTATGCCGTTTAACACAAATGGATTTTAAAAAAATAGGCCTGGAGCAGGACCCTGATTTAACCGACATTATTTAAGACTAAGATGCCATCGTTGTTGTAAGACCACCCTGAATCAGACACCATGCAATATCAGGTTAAGAAAACCTGTATCGTTTTTATCCATGCAATAAAGCCGCCACTTGCAATTTGGGATGTGAACTGAGAACCCATCAGGGTCAAGGCTGTCTTGTCTCAAGTGGATTGTAAATGGCGATCTGCCGTCCTCCCGGCGCCAAATATATCTCGCACTTTAAAAACATTTCGTATCAGATTGACGCCAAAAAGTTATTCTTGGATATAAATAAAAAGTTTATTGAATGGTGCACAGTGTGGGACACGGGATTTATCGCAGATATTTTTAATTCTCATGTCCGTTTCGCTTTCGGTAATTCCCAATTAGAACAAACTTATTATCATTTTGTTCCTAGTACTGCGCAGGTTTACTCCTTACTACATCTGCTACGAATAAATTGTATACAATTAACATTACAAGGAAAGCAATTGCAATGTTTTATGGTAACCACAGTCGTTATTATCGGGGTGATTTCTCTAAATGAATATGCTCATGTTTGGGTTGGAGGAACCATTTTCATCGGCTCAATAGCTATCCTGCCGATATCCAATATGCTATTTTATGGACCTAATTATAACAAAGTGGTCCTAACTACCTGGTTTATTCTAAGATTATGGTGGAATTTCTCTAGGCTCATAGGCTCCCGTCGAGTGCGCGGGGGCGGTTGAATGACGTCAGCGCCTGTAACAACCCATGTTATACAAAGCTGCTCCATGTTTCAAAGGTCCTAAGACTAAATGGAAGTAATGGCGCATATCATCCCACGCAGAGAAAGTAGGCATTTTACTCGATTATAATAGACTGGAAATAAACTTTTTTGTAACCAAATAGCAATTTAATGTAGCTTATCTCTTTTCTGCACCGATATTTCGATGTTGGCATCCAAAAATATAAAACTAGTTCCGATATCGGACCTCGTTCAAAATGCAGATACCTACCATATTAAAGACGGTGGCGGTAACCCGATGCGTATGTTAATGGTGAAATGCGGACATAGATGGAAACACACATGGAGTGCTAATGAAAGATCTCGCATTCCGCCACCAAGAGACATTTTCGTCTACGACATTTGTTAGTTCTAAAGATTATTCAAATCCTAAGCTTGCATGTTGACAACGACCACTCTGTTTATTTAATGCTCTGTGTTTGTGGAATAGAAGTTGTGTTTATTAAACTGGTTATTTTCTATGTATGTTATTAGTGAAATTATGCGTCGCCATGTCCCGTGTTTGCTCGCTAGTCATGAGCGCGAATCTGCTAAGTGGTTATTTTATTTACTACACCAACCGTCTAGCTTATTTATCTCATGCTCGTCCTTTTATACTTTGTATCTTAGTTTTACTCAAGATAATCCTTAAACAGAAAAGGTTTTTTTTTTAATTAATTAAAGATTGTGTATTTTATCAATATGGTTAGGTACTCGCACTGACTAAACTATCAGGTCGTCCTCAATATAATATAGGGTAGATGACAAATTTTTATTTTAATGTCTGTACTATGGTAGATTATTTAAAATCATTAGGCACGTATTTTTTATTTTCTTACGGACACAGATACTTTCGACGATTTATTGATTTGACGTCGACGTGACGCCACTTTCGTATACGTTTTATACTCAAAAGTGACGTAGTTAATTCCCACTAAATTTTGATTTGTTTTATTTAATTATTGTTTTCTTATACGACAAAATAAAAAAATATGTGTATATGTATATTTTTTCCTAACTAATGGACTAATTAGTTTTTTAATGTTCATACCCTGCCATCATCCCTATTACCTGTATTTTAGTTAAAAATAAAAACAGAAGAAACCCTATATTGTTATTATTAAGTCGCTTATATAACGAGTGTCATCGAAAACTTTGCTTTACATAATATTGTAGAATGATCCAGTTCACCGTCGATTTTGTCATAGTTTTTTTATTCTACAAAATCTCCATTATGGTAATAGGTAGGCGGAGATACTGCGTTTTAAAATTCAATTCCCTATACGTTTGTGATTGGGTAGAATGGTAGATGTAAACATTTTTATTGTTCTCTCACATCAGACACGTGTGTCTTAGGTAATTACACGTACCTAATTTGATTTTATTTAAGCTTGCTGAAGCTACAGGTTAGATAAATACTAATGTCCTGTTTTACCACTTAACTTTTTCCATGGTAATCTAACTGGTAAACAATTGACATAAATACATATATCTTCAGGACATAGCGGACATCAGGATGTTACGACTAGAAAATGTAGGGCATATGTTGAAACTCGGAACTAAATCAAGATATAAGTGGGACTGCATTGCGTTGTCTAGTGTATTGAACGTACTGGAAACGTGTGGAGACGTTCAATGTGATTGTTATCGGGAACACGTGCTTGTTACGATGATGTTTGCCACCGAATGCGAAACTCAGCGCTATTATGATATTGTAAACGTTGCTGCTAGTATCGCTCGTGCGTGATATACACGAGACCCAATATCGTTGCTAGATAAACAATTATTTTACTTTTTTGATATAATTATCGCTTGTGTTATGGGTATTGGATGCGTTTGTAAAAGCTGACGTACAAAAAGCTCATAGCCGCATTCAACATTTTTTGGATCATTTGCGCTTTGAGCATTAGTCAGCGACCCAACCACTGCGTCATCCATACAGTCAACATGTATGATGATAATGCAAAATTCAAATAGTATTTCAAGTGCGTTAGCGTTCTACACATTCATGATACTCTTGTAAAAAATCAGCGACTGTTCACATCTCAACCACCATTGATAAAACACGTTACCTAAATATTGATCACACAGGCACTAGTTATCAAACGTTATCATCAGTGATAAGTAATCCGTCTTCTAAACACGTGTGTGATAAGAATGGAAAACGAAGCGTTGTTGAACTTGACCGAGTCGAGGCCATCCTAGACCTTAGGAGCGTGATTACACTGTAAACTAGTGTAAATAGAGACCGAGTATAAACAAATCAATATTAGTATGTATGTTTCGCTTCAAGAATTTGGTACATTACGTAGATAGGTGCCTACTAGGTTGGTATGTCATTCATTAGACGTCTGGTCCACATCAAACATCAACAACATCAGAAATCAGACACCGAGCCACTAAAAAATCTGAAGTCTTGTTCATTAAAACTATTTAATAGTGTGCTGGTCTGCTGGCGTGTCTGTATCTTAAACTTTCGCTAAACTATAAATTATAACTAAGTAGATACAACCATAAAACTTAGACATTTGAAGCAAATGAATTATGGAACAAAAAATAATCGTGCGTCGATATACCTTCCGAGTACTATTAGTACATTGAACTATGATTAGTTTTTTTTTTGCTGAAACAAAACAAAAAGTTGTAATTTTATAAGGCAAATCAGGGAAGCATAACACGAATGGGAGGCTTTCAATGATGGATAAGCATTTGAACATAATGATAGTTGTTTGGAGATTATGTAAGTAGATTTGGACCATGGAGGCATAGTATAAAGAACAAAGTAGGTTATCTTCATACAAATGCTCCGCGCGCGGCTTATATGTGTGCGCCATAGTATCTATGCGTCGACGCACGCACACTTTAACAAAATCTCGACCCGTTTCTCAGTGCGCCAGGCAGGGCTGACACTGTACGAGGTTCGCGCGCGCTTCACGACTTTTCGGCACTGTTCAATGAAATAAATAATCAGACGATTAAACGAGACGACGAAATAAATAATATACGATTATCAGACGATAATCGTAGTAGAACGTATTGCTGTGTGTTTGGGTGTCTTAATAATTAATCGATTCCAGAACTGTCTCTGTTCAGATTAGGTACCTATTGAACAGGAAAGGTAAGCTAGTCACTTTTTCTAGCATAATATAATTTGTAGGTACTTGATGATGAGATACCTACTTACTTATTCTTACTCTTATCATTCTTCATAGTTCCAACTCAACCAGAAATGTAATTACCTACTATACTTAAATATTATAAGACAATGTGGTATTGTATTGTTTATTTCACAGTTTATCTGATTTGTTAAGAGCGTAGCCGAGTCGCATTTTTCCATATAAATGTATTCCCAAATTTACTTTCTGAATACTATGTATAGAGCTAAAGTTTATTTTAAGAAGTTAATAATCTTTTTATAAGCTTTTAATTTTTACTAAATTTATAAATTGATAAAATATTCAATCATAATATGCTGTTCATTTCATAAATTTAGATCAAGTGCTGCTTGTTCGAAAATATTAACTAAAAGTAAAAGTGACAACCCTGGGGATCAACGCAAGAGTAGGCTAATAACTCGGCGGGCGGCCTTAGATAACCTACTGTGTTCTTTATACTATGATGGAGGGCCTCCTAACAAGCGAACTATTTTGGTAACTATGACCGTAGAGAAAATCCTTTGAAATAGAATAATTGGGATCATAATCGACAATTACATGTTAGACTACAACTAGTAAAATGTAAGTGGAGAACAGACCGATGGATTCCTGATAAGTACTAATGTTCAATAGAATGATTGAAGGTAATTCCTGAACTAAACTTTATTTAAATAAAAATTCACGACTGCGCGACAAAACTATATTCACGGAACAGGGCGGATGTACAAGAAAAAACATAGACAACACAAGTGAACGGAGTAACACTGACAGTTAACAATAAACGTCACATTACATTATGTTATCTGTGGTTTGCAATTAGTAAACTAATCTAACAAGTACGAATCGCTTCAGAAAGATTTAATGCCAATGAATAATATTTATGTCAATGACATAGCATATTCATTAGCTGTAGGGACATAGCAGTCTCTTGCATTGATTGATTAACATACAAAGATGCTGTCCTAAACCCTTTTAGGGCTTACTCTTTAGTCTTAACTAGGTAAGTGTGTGGGAGAGACATAGTTCGGCACAAATGGGCCGGCTCGACCAGAGTAATACCACGGCCTCACAGAAAACCAACGTGAAACAACGCTTATATTGTGTTTCGTCGTGGAAGTGAGGTTACCGGAGGCCCAATTACCCCCATCCCCAATCCTCAAATCCCCAATTGCTTACCATCAGGTCATCTGTCTGTTCGTTTACCGGCTTATTCCATAAAAAAATTATCCCAATAGCTAACAACTAAAAACAAAGATAACATCGAATAAGTTAACTAACACGTTTCTCCACCGATAGATAGATGTGCGGTCCTCGATAGCAGCTGTGCATTGTTTTGTTGACATTTTGAATTGAATTAGAATACATGGCACGCTTTACATACGTGGCATGTTTGAGTATGAGGAACTATGGGTGGTTCAGATCATTACACCTGTCTATCTCTTACGAAAAAAGTTTTGAATAGTGTCGTAGTATTTAAATTTTTTTTCGTTCTGCTTGGTCATCTCTGATCTCCTCTTTTTCTTTTGGCATGATCATTGGCAGTTTTATCAACTTGGATCGATCGAGAGGATTCTTAAGTATATGTCACACCTGAGTAAACTATGTTAAAACTTTTACTGTCAATCTAAAAATAGTCGAGTCAAATGGCTGACACGGCGCCATAGATGTTAAGATCGCTTATTGATAGTAGCTACCTAATATTTAATTATAGGTACAACCTGCCTGGAATTTTTGATCAACTTTACATTATCAATCTCAGTAGGTTGTTTAATAATAATCTTACGAAGTTGCTAATTTGAATATCAGTATAAAGATTTTCCTTATAATAATGCAAAATAAAGATTTGTTCTTAGAATCAATCTACGCAGAATCGATTTAGTTAGATGCCGTCTTGCGTCAAACACCTTAACGAAGCTGCCTACTCGAGTACAAACATTTTGTCTCAAGGGATGGGTAGAGGCTTACAGTGCTTTAGTCACTTAGTGCATCCCTCACATAGGTACTTCGTTAGCTTCCATCGCGTTCATTATCAGGTTACAAGCACGCCCATTATAAGTTATCCGAACCTACGCTTTTTTACTCAACATCGGTAATTCGGTACGGAATAAACAAAGCACTTCACTCACATAGTGAAGAATGATTACGTTTTGATTACAAACCCCGATCTAAACATAGATATGGGTGTAAATAGAGAGATTGCCTCTTGGAACTACATGTCATTCTTATCATAATATTGTAGCTATTTGTATTGACGCAGATCGTTATCAGAGAAATGAGTTTCAGTCGATCTCTGGCTAGGATAACGAAGTAATTTGTTACAGCTTGTGTAACGTTTGCGTATCGATTGTGGTACCTACTAGTGATGAAGGTAATGTGATAGGAAATAAAAAAACAAAGGGCGTTTAGGGTTATGTAGTATTATGTGTTTCTAAGTTAAAGATATCTATAATGTAGGTGTATTACTTACATATGCAATGCAACGGTTAAAACTTAAGTATATTTCTAAGAAGGCTCAGATAATGAATTGACTGTACAAGTGTACATTGTTAGCTGATTGATTTATTTATTATCTGCGTTATTATTGCGATTATGATCTAACAAACGAGTATCTAAGTAGAAGTGCAATACTTTCCACAGTTGGTAAAGTAATTTAAGTAAACTAACTAAAGAGGACAGATTGAAACTGATTAGTTACTATTAATTCGGAACAATACCCTCACAAAACCCACCACTATCCAGATAAAAACACTAAACAAAGCAAATAAATAAATATCGAGCCTGTTCACAAAACGACAATAGACAACGCGGAGACGCTGAAAAATGGCCATGGTTAGCTCTTAAACATTGTTATAGGACTTCCTTCAAGTTAGAAAGAGATAGAACATCTTCATGACCTTTTCGTGACTCAGACGTCCGTTTGAACTTGCTCCCAGACCTTCGCCATGACCTTGGAGCGATGACGTCATCTCGTTACGTCACACATCTCGATCTAATGAGGACGTGTGATGATGTAGATAGGTACCTACTACATATATTTGCAGATGCTCACTCCATGTTTTGATTGGTAATCTGCGTTGTAAACTGTGATAATGAGAATCACGTGGTTTTTGTATATGTTTTTGTATTTGTAGCTAAATCCCTGTATACTTACCATGTGATTGCAACTCATACTGCTAACTTTAGTATTTATCAGCTCACGCTTATCTCCCATGGGGGTAGGTAGAGACTATGGAACGCCAATTGAGTCCACATTAAACAATTTTTTGGTTGAAGTGTCTCGGAGGTTCAGGTGTTCGTTTCTTAAGCATCAGCTATTTTTAGAGACAATTTACAGGTTGATGTTGATTGATTAATACCACTAGACCACTTGCAAAGTATTCCTATATCTTAATTGCGCTTATGTACAGAATCTAAAGTATATGTATTTCGTTCCAGATTTTGCAGCAACCACGGCAACAAATGTACTCGCCCGGGAGACGTGCCCGCAGCTCTCATGTGCGTCGCAGAAGCAATGATGCCGCGACTCATTCTTCGTTTGCTACAACATTTCAGAGAGAACAGGTAAATTCCTACCATGTACATAGCTAATACTTAATTAGGTAAAATACTTGTGGGGAGTCTCAGATATATCTTATTTACATATACAATTAACTTCCTTATCGGCGCATATCCAGCTTAACTTCATTTGCATTGAAAAATAATTGGGTTCATTCATGTCAATGCCAATTTTGCCAATTTTATAAGCACCACTGACAAATATCAACTACTGATGCTGATCTCTATTGTTAAGTAGTTGTAATAAGTAGGTATACATTGCTTTTATCGAGGTATGTATGCCACCCGAAAAAACAAAAATTGTGATCAAAGAACTTCTCCCCAGCATAAAAATCACACACTTCAGTTTCAAAATCAAATCCCTGTACACTGAAATAATATAATCTAAGCGTAGATTAGGACAGCTTCTGCAGATATGATACTTGTATGCACAAGCACAGTTAAAGCTTTAAAAATAATGTCTTACAGAGTTTTATGGTATACCATTAGGAGTAAAAAACATAACTTTTGTTTGCAAATTAAGTCGGTATCCATGATCGGCTCAACTGTTACAAAATTAACCGTTCGAGTGATTTGTGAAGCCGCTCGTGTACTTGTAGGGTTTCTGACGGCAGCCGAGTTACTCAAGTATTTATAGTTTCACGTTCAGCATTCTGATGTAACCTAGAACTGGTTTTATGACATGAATTAGGTCAAGACTTAGTGCTTGTCTGAGGTTGGCTATCTAACGGTACATATGGGTCGTTTGAATTAATGGCCGTTTTAATGTGAAGACACAGGTATTTGACTGCACGGTTGGTGCGGTGGCTGGGCAACCGGCTGCCGTGCAACGTGTCGCGGGTTCGATTCCCGCACGGGACAACACTTTGTGTGATCCACAAATTGTTGTTCCGGGTCTGGGTGTCATTGTGTATGTGAACTTGTATGTATGTAAACGCACCCACGACACAGGAGAAAATCCTAGTGTGGGGCAACGTTTTTTTAAATTAAGAAAAAATAAATTTATTGAATGCAACATAAAATTAAACTTAAATATTGACCAAGCTTATAAACTTAAACCAATAACAGATTTTAATGGTACTTGAGCAAATCTGTCGACTTTTTAATAAGCTAATATTTTCTGAGTATTTTTTTTTATTTTGGCACTTCAAACATTACTCTTAGAGTTGAATTAATCGTCAGACAAATTCTAATATTTAATCCACTACTCATATAAATAAAGATGAATATGATTGACTGTAGTTGGATGTGCTGTATAAAATTCTGTATTGATGCGAGAGATAAGTTTTATAATTATAGCCTGAGATAATACTTAATCCCAGTAATTTCAGGACCCCATTGTAGAAGATAGTTAAGTAGTGATTAATTCTTAATAAACTAGTAGGTAATTAACGAATATGCTCTATATTATCCTCAGTTGCGGGTCACAGACGACGTCAGATAGCTACAGGATCACAGTGCAGGAGTGCGAGGGCTACGTCAAGATGCTGATGGAGTTCAACAACATGGGCGACCTCATGCGCTCCGCCATGACCAAGGCGCTTATTAACCCACAGGTGTGTTACCAAAATAATTGAGTTTTTAATTCAGTTTTAGTTATCTTACGCTTAATCCTATGAGGGAATAGGAATTTGTTTTATGTACATTATCCTATATAGCAACAAAATCTGTATTTTTGATGAAGAGACAAAAATTTTAACTTGTTGATATGTGGTTGATGGACACTCATTCATAATGGTGTTCCCAACATGCGTAGAATTTCAATTCCATTACAGGAACCTATTGAACAGTCTTATAATCAACATGATATTCTTGTTCCAGATGTACCGCAACCTGGTGGAGCCACCGTTCCCAGACACAGAGTACGGCTGCTACATGGCAGAATCCAATAAGATGTATGAGAAAGCGCTAGAAATGTTCCCGGCGCCAGAACCGCCTGACGAGTGAGTCCTATTTACTTTCTTATTGAGTCTTTACCTTGAAAGGAGTTCTATAAACGCCTTATTACTAAGTTACTATTCGGCGTCCTAATTTGACGAATCAAGCACATTAAAATATTTTGTTCCCAGGTATCGTCATTTACCAGCTCTAGCCCCCCGGCTGCAACACAACACACTGCTGGACGAGTTCATATTCTGGACGTTCAAGTACGAGTTCCCGCAGAACGTGGTGTGCTTCCTGCTGAACATGCTCCCCGACCAGGACTACAAGGAGCACCTCACGCGCACCTTCGTGCTGCACTACGCGCGCATCCCGCTGGTGCTGGAGGAGGCGGCCGACCCCGACACGCTCAGTAACCGCGTCGTGCACATGTCCGTGCAGCTGTTCTCCAACGAGGCGCTGGCGCTGCGCTGCGTGCAGCAGCTGCACCTGCTGCACGTCATGGTGCTGTCGCTGCGCCTCATGATGGGCAAGATCCTCGTGCAGAACTCGCTGCACGACCCCGAGCACAACTTCCACTACGTCATCGACTGCACGCGCCGCGTCATGAAGGAGCACTGCTACTGGCCGCTCGTGTCGGACTTCAACAACGTGCTGTCGCACAAGAGCGTGGCGCTGCTGTTCCTGCAGGACGACGCGCTCGTGGACATGTGGTTCGAGTTCCTGTCCATGCTGCAGGGCATGAACGTCAACGTGCGCGAGGTGGGCGGCCACATCGAGTTCGAGCCGTCGTCGTACTACGCGGCCTTCTCGTGCGAGCTGGAGGCGGCGGCCTACCCCATGTGGTCGGTGCTGTCGCACCTGACGGAGCCGGCGCACGCCCCGCTGGCGCGCCGCATGCTGGCCGCCGCGCTCACCTACCTGCAGGACTGGCTCGACGCCGTGCACTTCACCACGCCGCACATGGAGCGGGTACGTACTCCACCTTCATACTTCTAATTACTTGGAACGAGAACCTTAATCCGATTCATTCATCTTTTTAGCACGTAAGCCAGGCACTAATTTTCTTTAATCAGTGCCTAAAATGCTTGACAGAATTGGATCTTTTCTCGGCAGTAAGATACAAAATTACAAACTAATGGTGATGATGATAATAGTCATGTCAATGTCAAATTAATAAGGTTTAGAGTCTATCTAATGGGCAAGGGTGGTCGAGCGAACTCTTCAACGATTTGATGCTTCTGACTGCCTTCTACGTTACACTTTTAAGGTGTCGAGTGACGAGTTTTCCACCCAAATATAACCGACTGACGATTTTATTTAATAACAGTAATACATAAACTGTCAGCTGACACATTTTTGGGCTAGAGGAAGTCACTGAAAACATTTGTTTTACATGTTCAGCTGATATGTAATCACTGTATTACCAGCTGATGCTTTTCTGCCTTCAAAATTTACCAACTATCTATGTATTTTTTTAATATTTGACGGGCCGACGCCTAGCCACCGTCTCGCCTAGTCGTAAGCGATGATACGGTCTATGATGGAGCACGTCGTCCCATAAGTAACCTATACACTCGGGCCTTGAAGACTCCCAGGTTATACCCAGCAGGAAACACAGACTCTGGCAAAGAATTCCACTCCTTAGCAGTACGCACAAGGAACCTTACGATGGTAAGATGATGGAAAGGACTAGGAGAATCAAGTTGTGCAATTCCTCCGCTCACTCACCGAAATGTATCCGGTAGAAAGCCGACCGGCTTGCAACATTACACCTGTGTTCGAGACTTTGAAGCCGGACCTCCACAAGCGCATCATCGGTGATGAGCCTCGTGGCACGCCTCTCAATGTGCTCTAATACGTCCAGCTGATATTTAGCCGAGCCGTCCCAAAGATGAGAGCAGTACTCCATACAGGACCGAACCTGTGCTTGGTACAGACTCAGTAATTGTTTCGCCGTGAAGTACCGTCTCACCCTCCCTATACTCAACTTCCTACCAGCTAGTTGCGCTTTTGACTCTATATAGGAACCAAAGTTGAGAAGTTGAGTGTGGGCGTCTGAGTTACGCCAAGAAGCTCAAGATGATCAGTTATCGGAAAGGATACATTCCGGAAAGTAGGAGTAAGCGGAAATTGACTCCATTTGGCGTAGAATAGACACGCCTGGGTTTTGCTAGCGTTAAACTTGACCAAGTTGGCATCACCCCAGTCGGAGACCGCCTTCAAGGACGAGTTCAAACGCTCGACCATTGATTCTCTTAGAGACCGGATCTGTGTTCCGCTAGTCCGCGCATTGGACACGTACCTTTCAACAACTGTGCTGTCATTACGTATGCATAATCATGTATGTAGGCTTAGAATGTCGTCTATAAATTAAATGAGTTTTCAATCGCGAGGAAATGACGAAAGCCACATCATCGCTTACCATCAGGCGAGATGGTGGTCAAACGTCGACCTATAAAGTGTAAAAAGAAAAAACGAAAAGAAAGAAAACCTTATTATGACATGTCTCGGCGGGTGCCACTGCTTAACCCGAAACTTACGTTCACAGCAGTTACGGATACAACTCTGTCAAGCATTTTACAAGTTATCGCTTAAGAGGAAATTGGTTACTAAAGTCCGTTGTTGGTTTACGGGTTTCTACGAACAACGAACGTATTTCTTCTTGACGTTGGCTGATGATATCGTGTTCTGGCAGACGGAGGTGATGCAGGCGTCGTTCCACTTCCCGCTGCACCGCTACCTGGCCGCGTTCCTATGCGCTGGCGTTCGCTGCATGGGGCTGCGCGCCGCCGACGTGCTGCCGCCGCCCGACCTGCTGGCGCTGCTGGCCGTGCATCCGCTGCGCGTGCAGGTACATACCCACTACTATACACTAGCCCACGCTACGCGCGCTGCATGGGGCTGCGCGCCGCCGACGTGATTGGACCTCCGGTAACCTCACACGACGAAACGCAACGGAAGAGTTTTTTTACATCGTTTTTTGTGGGGTCGTGATATCATTCGAGCCGGCCTATTCGTGCCGAAGCATGGCACTTCCACACGTAATTTTACAAGAAACTTATTTATTAGAATAAACATGTCGTCATACCACAGGTATTTACACCTTTGTGTGTAAATAATGTATAAGCCTAACAGGTAAGTCGCATGAGACAGTTCATACGTATAAACGTACTACGTAGACCTGCACTTTTACCCTTGGTTAAACAATATTTCTCTCGGCATATATCAATACAACGAATTTAATACTATAGTTAGATCACATTTGAAAACACAACACGTAAGTCACTAATCGATAAAACTAAACAATAACGTAACGCGTACGGTTGTCGTTTTCCAAGGCCTAGATTATATTCCTATAAGGCGGAAAACTTGACGAGTTACCGGGAATCCGACTCAAAGAGTAGAAGTTGGAACGGGGTGGTTTTTAGTCAGTAAGTCTGACACTCTCTCGCCTCACTCAAGACGAGAGACGTCATTGGATGATTGTCTCCCCTAAAAAGAAGGCCTAGACTAAGGTGCATATACATACATACATTTCTACATTGCTAGGTATGTCACCTCATACTTTACGTGAAAATATTTCCATAATATTAGGTCTATTGATTATAAATACGTAACTATTAAATAAACAATCTCTTATTAATTAGTTTATGTTAGTTTCTATAACGAATAGTAAAACAGATTCTGAGACAAGTAAGAAGATGGAAGAAATTAAGTAGATAGTTGGCTGTTAAGAAACCACTAAGTAACTTAGACACTACGCCAAGGACTAGTTTGGTGCGTCATAGAAGAGAATGAATAACAAAGACCAGCCCGTACCTTATAATATTTATTGTTCATATTTGGAGTTGTATGTAGACTAGAAAACTGGAGATAAACGATCTATTTTCTATCGAGACGATACGTACGCAAACAAGATTACATTACTTGTAAAATACTCACTGGAATGATAAGACGTATGAACTAGATTTTTATTTTAAAGTAAATATAGTTATCATTCCATACGGCGAATACAGTTTCCATGAACTAAAATGTTTATGCAAAATATCAATGTTTACCTCCATCTGCCACACTCGTGAATGTAAACAGCCGACGTAATGTTATCTTGTTTGATATTAACATCCCTTTTGTACATACTCTACCATTGTACGCATACCATTTATTTAATACGAAATAAAACTCAGTACAAGACTTAAAAAATACGTATTATCAAAAGTCACAATTACGCTACATTACAAAATAAAATGAGTATATGAAATTGAAATCTATTCTAGTTGACGATAGGCACAAATTCAGTTGTCTCCGATTCATCAACAAACTCTGACGGTGGTGGTTCTGCTTTCACGTGTTTGGAGTAGTCGTAGGTGATCACTTTCACACCGATGAAGCCGCCAGAGCCGCGAGCTCCTCTGTGGTATAGCCCAGCGCCGCTGAGTAAAGTAGCGCCTTTGGTATTGAGGGCTGGAAAGAACATTCGCAGACAGTCATACAAACTATCCAAACCATACTTGTATTACTAAATCCAAATGTTAGATAGTTACCTTTCGAAGGTACCACAGGCTGCACGTCAATGAAGGGCACGGTGCTCTGTGCCGCGTCTGCGTCGAAGTCTGAGTGCGTGAACTCAATGTACTGGTCGTGCTGCGAGTCTATGCGCAGCGCTGTATGGGAGCGTGTCGGGAGGTCCGGCTTGTACAGCTCTAGACGTGTCCTGGAATTTTACCAAATATGCTTTAGTTCAGAGCGAATGCTTTAAAGATTGATTTTATTTCCTTGGTGGTTTCATATCAATATGATATTACAACATCATCTTCAATTGTGCTTCTTACCTCGGTGTGTGTGATCCTTCAGTGTTGTCGTTACTAATCCATTGACTCTTCTCTGGGTGAAGTTTTCCTGTCGTGTAGTTGAATGGAGTAGCTCGAATCTCAAAGTGTAGATGGGCTCCGATCATTCGGAATCTATAAAACGAATCGTTTACATAAACTTTCTTTACAATCATAACTAGGGGATAATTTTGTTGGTAATATCGTCTCACCTGGCTCCAGTTAAAACGTGGCCAGAAGGTGAATCCAACTCATCCAAGTCAATAGCTCTCCTCTCGTATGTCAGCGTGTGGTAGTCCACGCCCTCCAGCACTCCAGCCTGCTCGGGGTCGAACGCTTGGGCCAGCACCTCGTCCGAGGATTCCACAAACCCTCGTTCAACCAGTTTGCCTTGATAGATCTGGATGTGGAACACTTTTCCGAGTTTCACCAGTCGCATTCCTGTTACTACCCTGGAACATTAATTTAGTATTAGCGCGGTCCTAAAGTATGCAAGAATGAGATCACCCGCACCCATGCTGTTAACACTAGAGAGAATGTCAGTAGGTAGAATGAGACACGGAATATTATTAGGCATAATCGGTACACTGCGTTTTCAATTATTTCTGTAAGCCGTATTTACAACGTAAGCCAATGAAGTGACATAATACTGATTTTATAGTCCCGTGTTAGTTACGCTTCCCCGAGTACTGACTTGTTTTCATTAATATCGGCCATCACTTCTCGTAAACTGAAGAAACGTTCAGCCACGCTGGCTTCGTCCTCGCATAGACATAAGCAATACGAGCAGTGTGTAAGTGTCCATCTCCACCAGGAGTCGACCTTTGAACGAAAAATTTTCATTATAATCTGATCAATTAGTTTGTATGGGTATGGGGGGGAGTGTCCCTAAAAGTGTGCGGGTGACCCGGACATTTAAGGGACTAACTTGTTGTTGTTGATATCCGCCGTCGCTTCCCGGAGACTGAAGAAGCGGTGAGAGCCGGTCGCGTCATCACAGAGGCACATGCAGTATGAACAGTGCCAGAATAGCCAACGCCACCACGAGTCGACCTGGACATAGCCACTGTATCGTAACACTAGCCTGGCAACTAGTACAAATTAAATTACATGCACACACACATCTAGTTCAAAATTATACATTCAGCTATGATTGATTCCCAGTAATTGTTTTTGCTCTTCAATAAAATCTATCCAAGTAATCGGTAAGAAGTCTTGCTATCGCGTTTGCTTTTTGATTTGTTTCCTTAATCGTCTGACCTTATTAACTGGTCTGCCACGCGGTAGATAAGCCGCGCAGTTTAATGATTGCTCTTCATAAGGCACAGTTGATACCAATATGCAAACATTATGTAAAGTGATGTGAGTATAATATAGTTAGTGTAAAGAGTTCTCACTTTGGTTGTCCCGAGCTTGCAGCTGCCGACCCTGCCCAATGTGCGTCCGTTCTCATACTCGATCCATTCATACCGCCTCTGGCTGTGCCGACTCTGTAAAATTTAAGCAAACACATTTACTCTGATATCTATACAGTACTAGTTTGTTCGTGATGATTTATCGTGATTTGTTTATTTACAAACGAGGTCAGGGAGACTGCCACTACAGTTCACTCTATAAAAGTAACAAACAATGTTAGGTTTTACTTCGTTTTAGGTACTTTGAACTTGTTTTTCCTCTTTGTCTCAATACGTAGCTTGATTATATCGCATACTCGCATGTTTAATTATAACAACTGTACAATCAGTCTGGATAATTAAGATACAACGACACATCAATTAAACCAATTTAGTTTTACATGAGGTTTATCAACTGTAAAATGTTGAGAAATTTCTTTGTTTATTGGAATATACAAGTGTATTGTAACAAGCGGGGCTAGTTTGTGGGACAAAGGCATCAGTTAAATTAAAGTATATAAGTTTCATGTGGCTGACTTACCGCAGGGCAGACCCACATGTCGGAGTCTAGGTACTGACAGTCGATGATCCTGCCCCTGCATTTGTCCTGCTTGTCGCAGAACTGTTCCTTGTAGCAGCCGTGGTTCTCGGTGAGGGTATAGAAGGCGCAGTTCTCCTTGCATGTGCCGTCGCTGTTCATGTCCACCTCGTTCTCCACATAGCCTTGCAGCAGCCGTGTGACTTCGGCGTATGTCGCTGGAAATTGCATATTACTGATTAGGAACCATTGTCATAGTATTGTTTTATTTGACTCTCTCTTGTTTTGTCGGATTGCTGTTCCATCAGATTATTACAGTGAGTGAGCAATACACACTTGTTCACTAGGATCTCTATTTGGCTAATGATAGTTGACATCTTCCGTTACCGAAATCGGTTTGAATGCTTTTATCACTATTTTTTGTCTGATAGAATTTGGAAACCTCTTCAGACTATACGTAGCTTGTCCCGATTGCTTAGTTGTTAGGGGAGGTACTCACCGCTAGTGTGGACTGCTGGGTCACACCTGTACAGGTCTCGTTTAGACATGGCCAGCGCTGCCCGCGCCGCCGTCGCAGTCTGCCCTGTCCTTTCAGAATACCTCTGTCTCGTCAAACTTGCTTCCTGTGTGAAGTTGCCTAAAATATACGAAACAGATACTTAAACATATATTCAGAAAGCAAAATGTTCAAAACAATTCAACCATGATACAATACCATGCCTAAATTCTGTTGTAATAACAAATGTTCCATATTTATACACAAATATGTCATGTTCTATATTATTTTACTAATAGTAGGTAATAATAATAAATCAATAATCTATCCCTATTGTTATTGTTTCGCGCGGAACATAGTACACCTATGTATGTGCCAATGTAAGAGCTGTTTTTAATTGCGTCATTAGTCAGTATCGCAAAGTGCAATATACGGAATATTATACCTTTTTTAGAATATAATTGTAGTTGTGTTTTAATGAAGAAGACTATTTTAATATCTTAGAAGAGTAGTTGATTTGAAATCAAAAATAATGCGTTGAATACTTTTTAATTGCAACGTCATATCTGAGAAAGTTTGTCACAGAAAATATATACCCCAGATATAATATATAATCCTACCTGACAATATAATATTATTTTCATAGCAATCAAGTCATAAACACCACAATAACTGACTCGTAAGTTACATTCTAAGCTCTAGAAGGAATTAAAATACATTTAAAACTCAATCCAGATGGTAATCTATCTACTGTACAGTATTTCTTGCCTTGTGTATAATGTCGATTGGTATGCACCATAAGGTAGAAGAAGACCAATGAATAATATTACTTATTGACTTCCTGCTAAGTTGTTATTTCCTTTACGACATATTTATTTACTAGTTAAACTTCGAAAGCATCTTGTTATACTTGAATCTGTGTTTACTACTCCTTTGGGAATAAATGTTATTTTAAATTAATTTATATGAGTTTATAATGCATGAATACTCTTTTTTAAAACACAATGAATTTGTACAGGGAAACAGCTTGCCTTATTTAATTTTGTATTTTGCATATCATTTTGTTGATATCGCAGAAGTGCAACTGCCTGTTTGACGCATCAACGTCATGACTCACGGTTTTCAAATAAAGTTACAATATATTTTAAAGCAATTGTCAACGCTGTTCAAAATTCAATCTTATTTTTGTAGGGATTAAATTGATTTTTAATTATTTTAAATATTTGCTTGTGATGAAGTTTCAATTTTGTTGTTTACCATATTAAAGTTCAAGTTTGCTTTGACGAATTTTCTAGTGTTTTCGCGACATGTCTTACTTTCACAGTAACGATGAATGACACGATTTCCTAGTACTAGTACTCGAGTACTCGCAAATATGTCAGTAGCATTTCAATCAGTCACGTAATTGATACTTGGTAGTTCGGTTAAACGAATGGTTTTACTTATTATATTCCTTAATATGTTGATATTAAGGAGTATATAGCCATTCTAACCTCATTGTACATGTAACTTACTAAGTATTGAACCGTTTCTTTTCACGAATTGAGACAAATATTAAATAATTCATTTATAAACTACGTTTAAAAAAACCGATTTCAAACCTCCTCTTTGTCTGTTCAGTGTCGGTTAATTAATATACTAAGACGTTCTCCTAAGTGTAACATACACTTTTCTGATAACTGCATCGAAATCGGTTTAGCCAATCGCGAGTTGATCGTGCAGAAACATACATACATACATACAGGTGAAAATGAGAATCTCCTTTTTATATAGTCGGTTAACAAAGATAAGTTTATTATTATTATTTTAAACAAAATCTTTGTCTAAACTTCTACCGTATTTTAACAACTGCCAAACCCAAACTAATTACTATAATCCCTCACGATCGTATAAAACTGATTGTGCACATCTGCTTGCTTGCTCAGTAATATTATACGGGCTTTATAATTATCATAATTGTCATTATATTCGCAGCTGGTATTATTCATATTCTATACCTATTCATAGAATTTACTGATCAACGACCATATTACGAGGGCCCTATAAATTATTCTATTGACCCTTTCCATGGTTTTATAGTTTTTGGCTGCATATAAAGCTCACCTCTTCCATATATCCTCAGCAGCATCCAGGAGAACTGCATCATGGCGTAACCCTTGATCTCAGTCAGTGCTATGGTATTATACATGTCGTATATAAGCTGATGCGGAGACATCTGCAGGTCACACACGTCTGAATCCTCTTCCTGGAAGCAATATATTATAATTTAATTTAAAATAATATTTCCATTCGAAACGCACGTGTTATTAAACATTTTCACTTCGCGTGTCTAGTCTGAATGTTCTTTACTTAAAAACTACTTAACATATTTTGATGATTCACTAATGATTTACGAGGAAAGTTGTAGTGCTTAATACTTATGGTAAAGATTTGTGTGAGATGAGATTAAAAAACCGGTCTGATTCGCTATATAGATGTTATGTATAGTAGCAAAAAAATATTTTACAAAATGCTCCAATGATTACTTTAGTTTTTATAAATGCTTATAATAATCTTGTGAAAATATTATTGTTCTTGCTTCATATAGTTTTATTAAATCTATTCAAAATAAGTAGTCAATTGTTCAGATAGGCAAACAAAATAAATTTGTAATGATAACACAACAAAACAGGAACCAAAATGAAGTCACCATTATATAGGTAAATAATAATTGATAGTGTGCAAAATATTCTTGGATTTAAGCCGTTTAGGTACAAAATATTCATGACTTTAAATGGCTTTCTTTAGCAATTTTCCTGTTATTGACAATGAGATAACATGTTTGTTGCTGATTTAGCCTCTTGAATATTATGGTAGAAACTCTAAATACTAGTTTGAAGCTGGCAATGGTATCCTGGTGGACGAGGCTGACCCCTATAACACTGGGACTAAAGTACCCCTATGTTGTTTAAGTTTATAACTACGATAAAAATATTTAATACCAGCCACGCACTGTCCTCATAAAACTAATCATGATTAATTAATCTAATTGGTCACAGTTGCTCAATTGGTAGGTATATAAACATCAGCGTAATGAGTTTCTAGACGCATAGAAATAAACGTTATATGAAGTGAAGACTCATATATAAAATAGTAGCTTATGCCAGCAGGTTTGCCCGCATTCCCGTGTGAAAAAAAGTATCCTGATTATAATCTACCCCTGTTCCAAATACCGTTTCTACGTAAAAGAATTACAAACAAACATTTAGAATTTATAGTATTGGTAGGATATGATTGCGAATCACTGTGGGTTCAATAGTTGGTTTATTCTCTAGGTCATGTGGACACGGGAGATGTTAGTGTAGTGACGTGTTTCATATCTAATGACATCCGCCACCGTTATATATAAATAAGATTATACTATATCCCCTTCCTATCTATCAACATACAACCATATAAATGCAATATTATTTGCAATTTGTTTTTTGTGTTATTGTTTACTGCATTTTTCCTACTTCGTTTTTTGTATACGGGTGTTATAGTATAGCTCTTAGGTAATGGTTAAATTCTTAACTTGAAACGTTTGTTCGTTACAACTTTCATTGAAAACTGATGCACGGAGTTAAATGAAATCTGGCCATCAGACCAACTGTCACAGGATACTTATTGTCCGCAGGCATGCAATAGTTAATTATACAGTAGGTACTGGATGTGTGTATTATGTTGCAAGATATACCAAGTAAACAGAATTATGAACTTATACGGGATAATTAGCGGTATATATACCTATTAATTATCCTGTATGAGACATTCTTGTACAGCATTTAATGGTTGTTTGTTAATAGTAACATTACCTAATATCATCTATTTGCGAGTGCTGTAATAATTGTTGTCGTGTTTTGAACAATACGTCTGCCGTTTAGTAACAGCTATAAATAATACCATGTTCACTTTCTAGTTACGTCCTTACTACAATTACTAGACGAGTATCGTCAGCATTCTCGCGCGTATTAAAACAGTGAAATGCGACCTCAATTTATAGTATCTAAAAAAACTTTTGTGTCCGTTTTCACTGTGGAAAACCGATATTCTGTTTCCATTTTCCGACTATAATTATAAACGATTCCATCCAATTAGTTTAAAACCTTCTTAAGTATTCAAAATATTCGAAGTAACGAATAATGAGGGCACTACAATCAACACGAACAAAACGATTACACAATAAACTTAAACAAAAACAAGATAAATGCGACGTTCTCCAAAAAATAATTGTGTTATTACATCGAAAATGTAAACATTCCTATTGTTGTGCGATTAGCAAGTAAGACACTCTAACTAAACGGTTCTTGTTACTCCATTTTCCATTGTTGTCATTGTACCCTATATTTGGGTATTATTAATCACTTTACCTGAACTACTGATCGGAATATATCCCCGTGCTCCAAGAATCCATGAATCTTCCTTACTGCTTGAGCTACCGAAGTCTTCGGATCCATCAAGATGGATTCTGCCATATCTAGCCATTCTTTAACTGGTGCCGGCACTGCGCCAGGGGTCGCCTGGTGCCTCACGAACTCCATAAAGTTCTTATAGAATCCGTCAACGACCTGCAGCTTTTCTGACACTTTATTCCATAGCCACGATCTTAATGTGAGCCTTTTAGGCCTTGGTATTAACTCGATTTGCTCGTTCAAAGCGAAGAACGCCTTTGTTAGTTCGACGTCCCCGCCAAGGCCGGAGTCCCTCCACAAAGGGTCCGTTACATTCCTCCATAGCTCCTCTTCTAGATCGTAAAATTTCTGTCGAACTAAATCCGTCGGCGTAAGCTCGGTTGCTAAACCGATCGCGAACAGCGCAAAAAGCGCTGCGATTCTCATTGTGGCACTGTAAGTGAAACGTTTTGTGACGCGGCACGAGTTACACTGACTGCCGCGAAGTGAGGGGACCGACGGAACGCGGCGAGTGGGGTCGCACTAGTGGTGTGCGAGAGGTCGATAACCGCTATCGATGCGTATTATTTTAAAATAAAAGCTGACACGATACGTTTTATCCTAATGTCATTACAACTACAAATGGTAAACCGTACGCATTCATCGACCTTTTGTTACTTTCTTGTATCCTCGTAGTTGTCCTTAAAACGTTTTAATAAAATTAGCATGGCTCTTATCGGGAGTTACCATGACTCCGTTTGATTGTCTTTACCACAAGGAAATCCGATTGTTTGTCGTTTTGCCATTTTATGTATGTATTGTAATTTTGAAACCTGGGAATCATCAAAATATTATAAGAGTTATGTGAAAACATCAAGAATATTTTATTTTATTAGTACTTGTATAATTTAATATTTAAACTGGGTATTTCATTAGTATGGCGTGAAATATTATAGGTAAATTCGTTACAGCTACACATATCACTTGACACTTCTAAACAAACTGTATCGATATCGATTAGATACGCTTTTGTTGCGCCCCATCCCTACGCACCCGCATGTTAATACTCTTAGCTCTGCTATAAAAATATGTGCCTGTTTTGACTCTTGTGTCGTTGGAATAGATTTTAAAATCGCGTAACATAAGTTACACGTCTAAGTTGGTAATAGTAGCATTGTTATTATTATTTTCTCATTACATGTGCGGTGTCAGCTGGCAACTCCCGCGCAATATGTCGCATGCGTTATATTTTTTACACACATCGGTATAACAAACAGACTTATGTTTTCTTTGTCAAGTTCTGTGAATTATATCTACTTAGAAACAGGTTGTCTTGGAAATCTGTACGTAAAATCCGTATTTCCGGACTGACTCATTCGTAGCAAAAGCTCTTAGTAATGTAAAAATTTAAATTCTCGAGACTTATTCATCGAGCGAGCGTGGTCTGGTTGACAATCACGTCTAAAAATAACGATAGGTAGCAATAAAAACAAAACATGCAATCATAGCTAACGATTCGATAAATCGAGTCCATAGACTTTTATTTGATAGATTTTGTGGAAGCAAATGGAACACTGATTTCAATACCGAATGAATCAGCGTTGAGTCTGCATAACTGCATATAATTATGTAATTGGTTACCATTATATTGTGCATTATTACAATGTTTCCGCATCGTTACAAAACTTATGTCAACCATTTAAACGACAAACAATGGTACTTTAAGCAGTCGAATTCCCGTTTGCGTCTCCTACATTTTAATGAACCCCTAACCCAAACAGATGAGATTTAACGACAATATTCACTATCTATAAGTGGCACCAAGTATAGAGGTTAGTTTATTTAGGTGCCACGTCACTCTTAAGTAACTTGATTTAGGGGAGATTGGTGAAAATGGCCATAATTAATGTTTACTACAAAATTGACAGAACGTCAAACAAGTTACAAGTGACATCCCTACGGCCCGTGCCGGTAAAACAATATTATCATTGATACGACACTGGTATAGTGTTGTGCGTTATGAGGAAGCGCCAATTACTACGTTACCGGTCGGCGGTCGGGTGTCGTTTTACTGCGGGGGGCGTTACATTAGGTGATGACGTCACAATTGTATGCTGTCAATGCAGTCCTAATTACCTATTTACAGTCTGTTATTTTGTTCGGAATCTAGAAGAAAATGATGAAAATAAGATAAGGTTTCTATATCATTAATTGTACTTAAATTATTATCAAGATTCAAACTAACCTGTCATGAAAGCTAAATAGTTTACTAGGTTTTGCATTTATTGTGAACAAACAGACAAACGAGGCGATCCTATATGAGGAGATAATTAGGTATTGTCGTCGATATAATTATAAAAATACCCCTCTTATTGTGTCATCGATGACATAAACATTACATATCTTGCTCATGAGACAAAGAAATAAAATAGTTCTTCCGTTTTCCTAGAAACATTTGAGGCACGGACTAGTGTTACAAAGATTTCTGCTAATAGGCTGAAACGTGCCCAACAAGCTATTTAGAATCATCTTATCTTTACACTATGACGTAATCTAGCTCTTTGTACGATTTTTCTATGCTTTATAAATGATGGAAAAACATTAAGCAGAACTTGAAGCAAACACATCATTCTATAAATCGTTTACAGGGCTTTTTGTACCATCAATTTTAACTTACGATTAAAGTACATAATCACAGTCACGTACTGACAAAACAGGTTTACGGACAAAGTGAGTTTCCGCAAATGTACTTACAAATAAATGCGAAATCGCCTTGCTACTTGAAACCTGATTTTATTAAAGGTGATTTACAAGGTTTGCTACCTCGTTTATTGCACGTAACTGACCTGAATTTTAATGAATTATATTTTTCTCAATAACTCCTCAAGACATGGCGAAAATATCGCATCATCAGCCTCCTATAGATAGGTAGCAAATTTTCTAAGTATTCCTATTGAACAACGAACTTTTTTACTCCATCCACTTATGTATATTGTCTGTCTTTTTATATATTTTAAACTGAAATTATTACCTACTAGCTTCTGCCAGCGGCTTCGCCCGCGATCCCAGCGGTAAAATGCCTATGTATCACTTCAGACCATAATTTACCTCTGTTCCGAATTTCATTCCGGTCCCTTCACTCGTTTTAATATGACTGAGTAACAAACATACACATAAACTCACATATTTTCATTTATAATATCGAGTCACGCTAATTTCAACCATTGGCCTTTCAGTTACAGCGTAAAGTCTATGAATGAGTATTGTAAACGTTAGAGTAGACAAATACAATCAGAAATCCGAATTGCTAAGCTATCTGGAGTTTCACGTGTTATTGTGAGTCAACCATAAAAGATAGACATATGCTGTCGAGAAATATTTTTTATATAATTTTAAGGAGAATATATCATTTCTATGCAGCTTTAACCTATAAGCCTGCACACGCGACGGAAGTTTAAAAAATGGAGTAACTTCTCCCGTTTTCCCAATATTTCCCTTTACTGCTCTGCTCCTATTGATCGTAGCGTAATGAAAAGTATACTATAACCTGCCCAAGAGTATGAAGAATAATTGTGCCAAATTTCGTTAAAATCCATCGAGTAGTTTTTGTTTCCATAACGAACATACAGACAGACAGACAGACAGACAAAAATTTTACTGATTGCATTTTTGGCATCAGTAGCGATCCCTAACCACCCCTTGATAGTTATTTTTTAAGTATATTTTATGTACAGAATTTACCTCTCTACAGATTTATTATAAGTATAGATTTATCCACTGCTGAAGACCTATTAATAAACCTAAAGTTAAACCTTCAATTTGTTAACGTTTGTTCTGATGATACTGCAGGTCAATGCAAGCCCTGTGAAGGGAAGTATCACAGGACACGATACGACCTTTATCACATCCTCCAACTTTATCGGAACCTCCAAACTCCATTGTTTAACCCAAATCAATGGATGACATTGATTCTCTTATGATTCGTGAATTTCTTACAATACCTTATCGAATTCGATGAATTCAATGATTCGTGTAGATTATGAAGTCACCACCACTGTCCCGTTACTTCACTAGTTGACCTTCATAATGTGTAACTTAGGAGTAAGAAATTGTAACGAAATTGTTTTCTCATCGCTCAATATATATAATTTCAACTAGCGTAACAACCGACACGACACGCGTCATAATTTTTTCTTTCGTCCGATGACAGAGTTCTCACAACGTTACAAGTTATTGTTCAATACATTTCTCACGACATAATTATTATGTACTTTGTGATTGTATTGTAACACAGAAAACTCATTATTACCATGAATCCTTTTTTCGTTCATATTCTCATTTACTCGAAGTTAGCTAAGGGTTCTTTCCTAGTTGTTATACATTATTAGAGGGCTTAGTACGAGTTATGTTTTACTTTTAAAGTAGTCGTTCGGCGCTCTGATTGGCTGGCTCCAATGAACCAACCAATCAGCACCAAATGCAGTCTCCTCGGTCTCGGGATAAGACCTCTGTAAACCTTCGCACAGTAACAGTTATTACATGAATCATTAACAAAAATGTCTTACTTTCCGTTGTATACTTTCTTACATACCGCGTATCTGAGTCATTGACATAATGCCAAACAAGCAATGCCAACTTACGCATTATTTGAACAAGCATTGCTTTTAAGTAAAACTTTCTTCTTATCTGTACTAACCTAAACAATATTATTAGAAGAATAACTGTCTGATAGTAGATTTAACATGTTGAATATTATCATTACGATAATAAAATAACACACAAATATCAGTCCCAAACAAATAAACCGTATCCACATCAAATTTTATTCCCACGTCCTTTTAAGAGGGGCGTAAAGTTCAAATAAATATGACCGCGAGGTCCAAATTATACTGGGTATGAGCGAGCGGTGACGAAGAAGTTGATTGTCAATTGTTTCAAGGATACAGTTATTAGGACCAGCCGAGTGGAGCTCTCCGGCCCAGACAGAGTTGTTTGACCCTTCTATGAGTCATCCTTTACAGTTAGCAAATCATCTTTTGTGTGACATGTATGTCTCTATACTTTCTATAGTCTACCTACATTCGTCAAAGTGTACCGTTTTGATGATGATTTTTAAGTAAGCTGACTATGTCGTTGAAATAAAATTCGTCCAGTTTTTTTTTACTATGTCTGTCCTAGTGTTGATGGTATTTAGATTCACCATGATTTTGTCGTCAGATATGTAAATTATATTTACTTAAGACGAAGGTGGTCTAAAAACAACATCAACCGGTTTCTTGTATGCCTCCTATATATTACACTATTAACAATTCCGGCTTTGACAATATTTGGTTAGGCAAATGTCAAAAATAGTATTTAAGAAAAGTATTTATTGGCTCATTTTAATTATCATATTATTGTACTTTAGTTAGAGTTGTGCTGCATAAAATCACTCGAGTTAGGTGTTGTAACAGTGAAAGTACTTAAGCTTAATATAATAAGACCTTGGCGGTACTAGAAATAATGTTATTACACCTAAATCTGTGTCATTGAACATGAAGATTATTTATAAAACTAATATTGTGAAGCTAAGTTGTACTAATGTTCCGATCTGTTGCGTATGAGTCACGCAACAGTTGACATTGAAAACGAAGCCTCTTTAATTCATGTTACATTATAATACCCGCATGACCGTTGCCGCTGTTAGAGCTCATAATGATACGAATTGACCATTCATGCCTGTTTTATGATTGTAACGTTCATTTCTAAGTATCGTAACCGGAAACGTATCCAATTGCCTTGTAACTTATTGTGTAATTGTATTTACAAACCTTCAAGTCATCCATAATCAGCTGTAATAAGCCTCGACCCAACAAGTTTTTATGTGGAGGAACCACCAACGCATGCACCCTCTCCAGCAGCCCCGGCAGTGCGCCAGGGTCATGCGACACACACCATTCCGCGAAGTCCTGCAAAGTACTTTGCTCCAGATTCTCCTGCTGACCCACGTACTCCCGCATCTGTCTGTTGGACCAAGCGACACGATTCAGCAGGTCTGACATCTCGTGCAGCCGCAGCTCCAGCCTAGTCGGCTTGTTTCCCTTCTTTGCTAAGAATAACGCTACATCACCAACTTTCTGTACACTAATTTCGAGTTTTTCTATCGATCGCGAGACGACCGCGAGTCGCGCCAAAATCTCCCGCTCTCGTCGGCGGACCACCGGCAGGTCCACCCCACCGGTCGCATTGAAAGGTTTCCCGAACACATCCCAGGAGTTGAGCACCTCTTCACCCACTTCTTTACCTAGTTTGAGGACGTCGAGGACCTCGTCAACGAGTGCACGCGATGTGTTCGCGAATACGAGTAGAACAAGAAGGACGCGAAAGCTGCGCAAGCGTCGAACGGACATGGCGGCTGACGCGCACCCACTGATGTAGCTCACTCGAGGTCGTGGGGTTGCCAATACACAACACAAATTACCAATAACGCAACAAATTACGTTTACTATTAAATCTTTACTTGAAATAAATTATTTAAATTAACTTAGTAGTTACTTATGCGTCGTGTGAGTGTATCGTATTAATTCAATAACGCGCCTAAGCACTGACTCAGTTGTATGATATCACAGAACTGACCGAGCAAGTTTCTTTATCTCAGTTCGCTCTCATTGGTGGGACTTTATTTAGCAAAGCGTTAGTGAAAGTTATTGTTAACTATGTGTACAGTTATAGTTGCTTTAATCTGTGCTCGGTTTTTATTTAAATACAAGTAATAAATTTTAAAAAAATAATGCAAAAATAAATAGAATATGTACACAAATAAATACCATTATTTTACATATAAAAAAATTAAACGCAATAATTCAATGTTTATGATAATTCTTATATTCAAAACTCCCAACATGAGGCAAATTGACAGTGTGGCTGGCAACACTGCGCCGTCGTTAAGCACGCGTTTACCCGCGCCCTCGTATTGTCAACAAACAAACAGTTTTTGGAACACTTTCCATTTCTTTTGTCGTACGATAACATACTTTGGACCTTTTATGATAAAATATTTTTTGTGTTGGAATTTTTATTAAGGTATGTTAGAAAAAAGTTATGTGTTAATGGCAGCAACGTAGATATTAATGTTTATTCATCAAGTAATAAAATTCGGTATACATTTTTAAATGTATTACATAATATCTGATCAGTTTGTGTACCTAAATTCCTATAGGATTTATTATTAAAACCATTTATTATTTTATTATGATATTTTTTTTTATATTCAGTGTTAATACACAAGATTACTTCTTAAGTCTCATCCATTACATAGAAGCACCAATGATGGCGCTAGAATAATCTTAGTAATTTTTATAGATCATTATTAATCAGACTATTTACTGTAGGTCTGTGCATTGCGTGAATCATAATTATTGCAACCTTGCATTTAATATACTTATCTAAACCAATTCAAAAAAACTGTTTTGCTGACAGGAGATATCATTACAGATAGCTTATTACTCTGAATATGAAACTTAGGACATTGAACATATTTAAAAACATTCTTTAAGCAAGAAGTATTAAGAAAGTTAATATATTTTAACGTAACATTTAAACAGCAGCTTACATTGATAATTATTAGTGTTTGGGTATTCAAACGCTTGAGATAACATCGAATCTCGTCCCCAAGGCATTTTTAAGGCAAACAAAACGTATGCAGCAACATACTTTAGTGTTGTTTACATCCTGGCTGAATGAAGAATGTAATCAAATTGATTCATCATTTTACTTGCGTAAACCCTTACCTACTTCGATTGGACTAACGCGTTGGTCGAGCAAGGGTTCTCTGGTTAATGGGTACTCTATTTTTTTTATATACTCTGTAGTAGCATAGGATCTGATATCTCTAACGGTTGGTTACACACGAACTATGGCTGCTGGTAGATACAATGTACCCAGAGTCACCAACTATTTTGGTGATATAACATTGAAAAAGAGAATACCATATCTATTAAACAGTCTGCCGGCAGACATAAGGAGTGAAACAAATTCAAATAGGTTTAAACGAAAATTGAAGTCATATTATTTAGAAATGTCCTAATAATAAGTATAAGTTTCAACGCCTGTATAACATTTAAATATAAGTACATTTAATTGTAATGTCTAGCGACTCGACCCCGCAGTCAAACCATTGCAACGGTTTTGTGGGGCTTAGATTATAAAATACTTACCTGTGTGATATAAAGATAAATAAATAATAATAATGTAATATGTGTATGTAGAGAGAGAGGGATCTTCATTTAAAAAATCTAGAATGTAATGGTCTCCAAAAATAACACCTAATGTTGACGAGCTCCTACTGTTATTAGATACTTCTAGCTTTATCAGCACCGGTCGTGAGTAGTAATGTCTTGTTATATTACCAATGCGTGCACAATCTTTGGTAGCAAACTACGTTTCGTATTAAATAAAAACACGACCCGTTGCCAATATTAAATAGCAAAATGTATAAATAATGTAAAAGAAAAAACACATACAAAGGGTTAACAGTGATTCGTTCATCACAAATAAAGTCACGTATTTTTACTGTAGGCATAATGCACATTAAATGTTGACTTTACGAATAAAATCGCAAAGAGTAATCAAATAACCTTATAACATCATCACCTGGTGACTGTTCCTTAAAGTCTACCATTTTAAGTAGCATACTAAAGAATCTAAAATACTTACGTACCGTAAACTTATAGGTTAGTTGTAGAAGTCCTTGGCTCCTGAACAGTGGGCTGACCAGCGATCGCATCCTCTCCATAAGTCCCACAACTGCTGCATGGTCATGTGACACCACCCAATCAGCATAGTCCACTAGCAAGTCGGATTCCAACTCCTGGTTCTCCTTCACGAATCTATTCAACTGCTGGTCGATCAGCGCTATCTGACCAACCACGTCTGCCCATTCTAACAGCCTCATTTGCAGCAGTCCTTTGGCTGGAAAATAATTGTAATATTTTTAAATAGTATCTAATGGCCATTTTCACAACCTCTCCTAAATTTTAAGGAACTTAAGCTAAAATAGGTGAACCATCGATATTTTGGTTGATCAAACTATAATTGACACCTAAAGGTGTATAAGTAAGTATAAGTAATTGGGCTAGTTTAGGTGCTTCCACATGCCAAATAACTCTTAATTATGTCATCTAAATTAGTTCAGTGGTTTTCGAATAAGAAACATTTTTATAAAAATTACCTAAGGCAAAAACAATTGAACGATAAATAAGCTTCTCAAAAACATACTTAAAAACCTTTCATTAAGGTTCATAGAAAACAAATACACTCACCTTTCACCATCAACTTTTCTATTGAAGGGTTAGTCTTAATGAGGTTGTCTATATTATTTTCCGCCATTCCTTTATACTTTTCATGGTACTTCGTGATTAGGGACAGAGCTTGTGATAGTTCGGTTATGTCCACATCCATTTCAAGATATGCACTGCAGCCATTTTTTATCACGAAAGCAATAAGAAGGAATAGCAGGAAGATCGTTTTGATACGCCCCGCCATCCCGACGTCTGCAAGGAGCACTGATGGACAAATAAACATTTATGTAAAGGGAAGGGACGCTGCTATCTCATTGTGACCTTTGTAACCTTTCTATCTTTGCAGAATTGTAATGTTGCACACTTGCGATCCTAAGGATTCCTTGTAAACAGTTTTTAACTGCCGTATTACAGTGTCTCGGGTTAATTTCCTGTTTGAATCACATCATACATCAATAGCCTATAAATGCCCACTGCTGAGCAAAGCCTCTTCTCACACGAGAAGGTTTGAGTATTAATCACCACGCTTACTCCTCCGGTTTGAAGAAGAATTGACTAAGTTTCATGAATTATATTACAATCCTACATAATATATCTATTCTTCCACAGAGTTTGTTCTACGAGATACTAGCAGGCGTGTGGGTGCGCAATGGCCTGCAAATCAAGGGGCAAGCCATGACCTACATCCAGGCGAACTTCTGCAACTCCATGGTGGACATGGACATCTACTGGCTGCAAGTATGCGCCGCGCATCTACCAGCCGACCAGTTCCTCGACATGTGCATTGATATGTGAGTTATAATATAAACCTATTATATTTACCCTAGAATACTAATCCAACGCGATCATTATGCCAATAAATGAGAAAGGAGGTTCGTATTTTCTGTTTAAAATGGAATGCAGGAGATTAGACGGTAGTGAACGACTTTGTATCGAACTTAAAGATAGACTTATAAAACCAAGCTAATATAATTAGACAAGACTAAATTATTACGATAATCAATATTGGAACAGAATCTACAAATAATGCAGTATTTATTTTTCTTATTATACACAAGAGATAAACATGTCGATATTGTACGCTGATTCTTATGTTACAAATTATATTTACATGCATGTAGCTAAACCGTAACAAAGCTATTTGTATGAAATCATGTCACTTAACTTTGACAGTATTTCACTCAAAGATACTGAGTAATGTTACTATATTTAAATTTATTCAATTCGTGATAATAGGGGATCTTCTTATGCGTGATGGATACATAGGTATAAAATTAATAGCATATATTTAGGTCACTCACATATTCATATTTCTCTTATGTATAGTGAGATGAGAATATTGTCTTAGGTATTTTCACTTAAATGCTGAACATGAGCTTTTATATTTAACTCGTCGAGTACCGGTTTTATAGACACAATTAAAGAACAATAGGTCGCGGTCACCGGTGACCGCTTGGTGTTTGACAGTTTAATAGGCGAGATATACTAATAAAAGCCCTTTTAAAATAAAAAAGAAATCATTGCACTCTACTGCTACGGCTTCTACAAATTGTTGTTGAAATTGTACAAAATTAAACCGAAGAACATAATTGTATAATAATAATAATTAAAGTTACAAAAAGAACTACTTTGTTACACTGCGCTGCAGTCCACGTTTCCGTTCACCAGAAAACTAAAGCCACCATACAAAGCAGGCGATTGTGTTAATTTAAATTGTAATTATTACAAAACCGGAGTCTTAACAAAACATCGCATTGTTCTTAACCACGGTTGTTAAATAAGATCTACACATTAACAATACGTATATATATAAAATATGTTCTATCTCCTGCTAGCGGTTTCCGCATTGTCAAGGGATAAAAAGTAGCCTTTTTTTGAGGGGGGAAAATCATCCAATGACTTCTCTCCAATGAGGCGGGAGGGAGTGTCAGACTCTTACTGACTAAAAACCACCCCGTTCCTACTCCTGCACTTCGAGCCGGAGCCCCGGCAACCCGTTAAGTCTTCCGCGGCTCCGTATCGGCATCAGCCCTGTTAGGTTCCATCTGTGGTGGATAAAAAAGTAGCCTGTGTTTGTTACAGACCATAATGTACAACTGTTCCAAATTTAATCCCGATCCCTTTAGCTGTTTGGTCGTGGTCAAGTAATAAACAAATACAAACTCATAAGTTCGCATTTGTAATATTAAGGTGCTTCCTCACCTCCGAGCATTCGCGTGTAATGTAAAGTTACAGATCTGAGCATTACATCAGTGAAGGAGGAGAACCCAGCATTACAATGCGCACCTTCTAATGATACAATGTGTAATATCTTGATACAACTTGTAACATCAATGCGCATCACTTCGCCCAGCGGGGGGCTGGCCCGCTTCGTTCTATTTTAAGAATGTGTGCGAATCATACTTTGGGGGGCCTGTCATCTTTACAATACCTCTTATATTTTATTGAACTTACTCCCAGGATGTAACAACTTATGAATTGTTGATGCACCCCGCTCGTCTTCTTTCACCAAGATGTATGCGTTTTCCCCAATCAATAAAAGTACTTTAAATTAAATTACAACAGCCCATGTGAAGTATTAGTGTTATTTTGTTTGTTTAAATTAGGTAAATATCGTCTGTTTAAAGTACACCTGCTTTTAAGTCCTTATTTTAAGTTACTTCAAGTTGGCATAAACCATTATTAAATTTTTGCGTCGTCGATCAAGCATTATTTATTTCCTAAACGGCAACATTTTCTCTTCTTACGAAGGGAAGTCCCTATTAATTATAACTGTCTGTTTAACTTAATATATGAAGGCTAATATTGTTATGTAACATAACTCTTATAAATGATCCATTAATATTATAAACTTGTGATAATGTATCTCGTTATTGGCAGAATGTAAAGGTTATTTTTGTGTGAGGAGCAGGGGTAGCGATGTACGAGTATCACACAACTACATTCACAATACCTTTAAGTTCTTCTATTTTATTCGGTGTTACGGGCCTAATGCTGATCATTTGATATCTTTTGTATCGACCCAGTAGTAATGTAGGATAAAAGCAAAAATAGAAAAATAGTTATGATGTTGTCGACTTGTTCGCAGGTTTGGATGCCGCGAGTGGCTGAGTATGATGCCGATGTCTCCTGCCCAGGCGGCGGAGCAGGACGCCATGGTGGAAGGTCTGCTCACCTTCCTCGCAATACTAGTGTCTTCTAGAACTAACCTAGGTAAGTATTCTGAAAAAAAAAATAGTAGAGGAGATATTAAGACTGATTTTTGTTATAATAATATTGTGATTCGGCACAGGTAATGACGAGTTAACGCAGTCGCGGCTCGAAGTGAGCACGTTACTGGCCGCGGGCGACAAGACGCACTCGCAACTACTCGAACTCATGCCCGAGAGATCTGGCAACGCACACACTAGAAATTTTGAAACTGTTCTCAAAGAGGTACCTATGTTTGAATTTTTCGTTTATTTTTAACCACATACATAATTATACTCGAATTGTATGTACATTCGGAAATACTGTAATTTCGTACTGTGTGTCTTGTAGTTTCTCATTATATGGTTTTGTTGTACAGTTGTCAACATACCGTCCACCGCCAAAAGGCTCCGAAAACTTGGAGCAAGGACTATTCGTGCCGAAGCCTATCGTATGGGAGCAGTACTACGATCCACTACATGTATTACGTCGAGCTGTGCACCGGAGGGACTTCCACGCGTCCATGGAGCGGTTCACTACTTAGTGAGTGCCAAGTATTGTAGCCACCATGTTGTCGCGGGCAGGGCGGACGTGCGACCGGAAGATGTAATGTTGTATTCATTCGTGCAGTGTGCGCGAGAAGCAGAAGTCGGAAGGCACGCCAGAGAGCACGTCGCGCGCCAGCGGCGTGCTGTGGCCCCCGCTGCGCGGCGCGGGCCCGCCGGCGGGCGGCGCGGGCGGCGCGGGCGACCCGCGCGCGCTGTGCGCGTCCGGCGTGCTGCACGGCGCGCTGCTGGCCGTGCTGCACCGCGGCGTGCACCGGCGCGCGCCCGACGCCGCCGCGCCGCACGCGCCGCCCGACCACGTGCTGGCGCTGGCCACGTACCTGCTGGGCGTGGCGGCCGACCTGCTGGCCGAGCGCGCGCAGCAGTGCCTGGGCGACGTGGCCGTGGCCGAGCCGGCGCGCGCCGCCGTGTCGGGCGTGCCGCTGCTGGGCGCCTTCGCGGGCGGCGCCGTCTGCGACAACGCGCGCACCGTCGTGGGCAGCGTGCCCGCGCGCCCGCCGCGCGCGCCGCGCCACGCCTTCCCCGCGCACTACACGCCGCACCACCACTCCGACAGTACGCGCCCACTTCCCTGTCCTCGTCCCGCGCCCCCTGACCGTGCTCTACAACTCGCTCGTGCTGCAGGTGACACGGAGTGGGAGCCGTCGGAGACAGAGACCACGCGGATACCGCTCCTCACTACGTCGACATCGCTGCCCGCCACGAGCACTGCGCTAGCTGTACCCACATCTTTACAGGTAAACGTCTTACCATATCATAATAATTGATGAACTTCTTATGATAAAATCAGACATAACAAAAATACGTTTCCTGTGCAGGTGGCTCGCGGTGACTCAATGACAGATGACCAATCAGATGGTGGCGGTGACGCGCCACAAATACGAGCATTAGAGGTTCGAAATACATTCATTTTGCTCTATTATTGTTTTAATACCAGTCTTTAATATGTAAACTACTAAAGTCGCCGGTACCTAGTAAGTAATACAGAACTTATGGTATTTTCCTACATATTATACAGGATGTATCAGATGATAGCCAAGCACTAGCGCTACAGACATTCGACGAGGAGATGAGCCTTGCCATAGCAACCTCTTCCGACCTGGACACGCCGCCTGTACCTATCGAATACGGTAAGCGTTACTTGTTATTATATTAACAGTTTTTAAAATCATAATTATATTTTTTTTTGTAACATTATCGTCAAAAAATAACTTAATTTACTGTATTTGTAAATACTTAAAACTGGTGTGATAGTAACATTGAGTCATCGAAATAAAGTTACATTAGTTGTAAAATCATTCAATATTTTTAATCAATTATTAGTCAATTTAACATATTTTTAAATAGATAAGTTTGGTTTATGATGGGGCTGACGTGGCCTATTGGCTAAAAGCCCTGAAAATAAAATAGAATAAAAAGAATCTAAACTCATTGAAATAAGATTCAAAATAAGTTGAATAATGATAAAATCTTTTGTTATGCGGTGCGCACAATGATTTAAAACGAAGACGCCACTTTGCCTGCCGCTGACGCCGCTGCGTGAATGAGGCCTTAGACCTTTTTTTTGAGGGGGGAATATCATCTAATTTTTTCTGACGCCTTGGGTTAGGCGAGAGGGAGTCTCTTCCTGACTAAAAACCACCCCGTTCCAACTCCTACACTTTGAGCCGGAGCCCCGGCAACCTGTTAGGCCTTCCGCGGCTCCGTATTGGGCATCAGCCCTACTGGGCTCCATCTGTGGTGGTCTGTTGTCTCACCGTTCTCAGAGGGCTTACTTTTGAATTCAATTCCGATCGATCAACATTGGTATTGTGAAATTTCGTACTTTTGCGTTATAACTTATATATAACGTACTCTTAATGCTATTTCAATAGCTAGGATAGGGGTTCTATAATTTTAACATTAAATAATTATTAGATTGAAATTGCATTGACATTGGGATTGGTTTCAAGAGTAAGCACCTTTTTTTTTTTCTTTGACGGGGGGAAACCTTCCGAAGGCGCCTAGCTTTTTGGGGAAAAATACTAGGGAGTGTGGGATTCTTACCTCCCCAGTGGCCACCATCCGCACTTAAAGGGGGCACCGGGTCCTCTTAGTAGACCAACTCCGGAGCCCCAGTGCAACGCCTGTTACGGCACCACCATGTGTCTCTCCTAGAGCCTCTCTGTGCACTGCACGGCGGCACGTGACCACTGTGCCGCCGTCATCTTTGAGGTCATTAGGTGGGCGCCTAGATTCCCCACTCTATGCGCCCATGACCCCAAAGGTTTGCCTACCAATATTGTAGGCAGGAAATCGACATATTAGGCGCCGCGGCGGTTATTTCGTTATTTATTAAGAGTAAGCACCTAGACCCGCGCTTACGACGCCCGGAGTTTCTCCCGCGACGGCTGGGAGACCTTAGACCAAGATCAACAATTGTTGTGTATTGTGTTTGTTGTGTGTCGTGGTGTGTTATATTGTATCGCGGTGTGCAGACATGTTGGGCGAGGAGTGGAGCGTGTCGGTGCGGGGGGCGCAGGGCGCGCTGGCGGCCCCCGCGCTGCAGGCCGCGCTGCCCGCCGCGCCCGCGCCCAGCCACGCCAGGCCCTCCACCAGCAACCAGGTACTTCTCTTACTACATTACCCTTTTGTATTACATAAAGCTGAACAGTTAGGGAACTACTCCTTCGAAATGTATAATTCTTTTTGTGTTGGATAGTAAATTTATCGGGGAATGCTATAGGTTAAAACAACACACTACGATCGAATGGAACTGAGATGAACGGGCGAAGGCGTGGAATTAACTATAAATGATTAAGTCAATCTAGAAAATTCATAACCTATAGCGGATGGTCGAAAGCAAATAACAGTCACTTTACGTAAAATACTTTAATAAGTCTTACGTTCAAATGCTGTGTAATTTAATTAACAAAAGGCCGGAAAGAAAAACTTGTCTAACTTTATGATACATGGAATAACTTTAATATCAGGTACAACTACACACGCAATCAGAAGACACGATCCCGGTGAACGAGTCCATCATATCGTTGCTCCTCAAACTGCACTCACAACTGTCAGGACGACTTGACTCGTTCTCATTGGATGAACCCGCGCCAGACACACAGGAACCTATCGGTAAGGGAAATATTACATATCTACTACTATAGATAGGGTAGTTTCCTAAATTTTATTTTAATGTCCGTAAACACGTATTTTTTGTTTTCTAACAAAATTAAATACCTTCGACGATATATTAATTTGAAATATTGTGTGACGTCACAGCGTGTCACATTTTGTAGCACGGTATGACGTAACGACCTCCCACTCCTAAACTTTTCATTATCTAAATGACGGACTAATTAATTAGATTTTTTATTTTGATACCCTCGACACTACTCAACTGTCGGTGAAGGTAATATGACATGATGCGGCTTGTAACGATCGTGGCTTGGATAGTTCCAAGCCACGATCGTTACAAGCCGCATCACTGCCGCATCACACAATCACTGTTTCACTAGTGTGAAACAGTGATCTGTTGTTTAATTGATTGTAGTTTGAATTGTGTTAATGTGTGTTGTGCAGGAGACGGCCCCTACTTCATCGGCGGCGTACTGCGCAAGTTGGCGGCGCTGGACGCGCGCTGCGGGGCCGCCATCGCCCACGTGCGCCACTCGCTCTGGCCGCACCAGCGCGAGCGACAGGCCGAGCAGCGCGCGCGGTAACTCGCTGCTACTTGGCGCCGTCATTGGACGCTGATGACCACTTGAAAAGCCTTGCGATAGAGATTCTCAATACCCTTAATCCCCACGTGGTCATCAATTATTTGCGTTTTTTGGCTTTAGTTTTCGGTTAGAAAAGGCTTCAAGGTCAAAGTTATGTCACAAGAACTTTAGAGAACCGAGGCTTTAGTACGAGTTTCTCGTACTTGTATGCAGTTTAAAGGCACGTGTACACGACGCGAAGTACTAGAGATAGTCCAACGACGCGACGGCGACGTCGTGTTGTGTAACCATTGTAACTATGGCATGGCTATATGTTATGCCGCACAACGGTGTACCTAGTTTCATCGCATTAGGCGAGTTATTACAGATTTTAGATAGTTATAGACCAAATACATAACTAACTCTATTCTAAACAGAGAGCGTCGCGAAAAAGAAGAGCGATCCCGTCGCGCTCGGGAACGTCAGGCACAAGTAATGAGGGACTTCCAACGTCGGCAACAGCAGTTCATGTCGTCCATGCACGGGCTGGACGAGCCGGGCGCCATGGACTGGGACGAGGACGCGCTGCCCAAGGACTACGACTGCGTCATCTGCAACACCACGGCGCCCACCACGCCCGCCGACCCCATCGGGCTCGTCGTGCTCCTGCAGGTACTGCTACCTTACGACTTGTTCTACGTCGAAGGCCTTTGTATGAGCTTGTTATACGTGTGAAGTAATCGTAACGAGACCGTGTTTGGCGTTCTGATTGGCTGGCTCTAATGAAGCCTAGCCAATCAGCGCCGAATGCGGTCTCATTTCAATTAATTTAAACGTAAAATAAACTCGTACTAAGGCCCAATTTTCTGGTCAACGCTCATGTCGGGGCGTTCGCAACGTACATACATAGGAAGGGGCGTATGTAACACACAATATATCATTATTTTTAGCGAGATGTTCTCTCAAGAACTTTTTAGGGTGGGGGTTTCCTATAATATACATATTTAGCAAGGGCATAATAAACCTACGAAAAGCTTAAAAATATGAGTCATATAAGTTGGAAAGTACTCTAATGGACGTCACACACGCTCGGTTATGCTCGCGCGCAAACATAACCGAGCGGGATAAAATATTAATTTTGATATTTGCTCGGTTGCATGTACATGCACCGATAACTGTACATAAACTGTCACATACACGCTAGGGCTTGCCTGTCGGTTATGCATGCACAGTTATAACCATCATGCATAACCTAGCGTGTGTGACCAGTATAAGAAAAATGTATTTTAAAATGTGTGATATCGCGAGCAGTCGACGTCGGTGCTGGGCCACCGGCGGCGCGCGGGCGGCGGCGACGCGCGCCTGGCGCTGTCCGAGGACGAGCGCGCGCGGCTACTGCAGCAGCACGACACCACGGCCGCCGCGCACCACTACCGCCTGCACGACGACCTGCACCAGCACTTCGACCAGGTACACGCCGCGGCCATCATTGCAGCTAGTGTCTCGTGATCAACGCCATCAAATGCTTTTGAGAGGTCACAAAAGACCAATAGCATCCTGTGCTTCCTCCCAATAAATATTTCCTTCATCAAAGTGTATAATGGCAGCCAGGTGTAGTTGTACGGACGTCCGTATCGTTCCCAGGAGTCGTGGCTGGTGTCGGTGTGCGTGGGCTGGGAGGGCGGCGTGCACGTGCAGTCGTGCGGGCACCACCTGCACCTGCGCTGCCTGCACGCGTACCTGCGCGCGCTGCAGGCCCCGCAGCGGCCGCACAACCTGCACGTGGAGCGCGGCGAGTTCCTGTGCCCCGTGTGCCGCCAGCTCGCCAACTGCGTGCTGCCGCTGGCGCCGCGCCCCGCGCGCCCGGCGCCGCGCCCGCCGCGCCCCGCCGCCGCGCGCCTGCAGGACCTGCTCGACCAGGACCACCCGCCGCCGGTACGGCTCTACTGACCTCGTCTTCACATCATTTATCTCAAAGAAAAAGACTCTAGAACACTTATTCATTTTGTAGGCCCCCAGTCGACTATCAGAGGCGATGGGTAAAGCGATGGAGGACATGACGGCAACAGCGGGCGGCAAGCTGAAGCAGCGCTATGGATCGTCCCCGGCCGCCATCTTTACGTTCGTGGCGTCCCTGGTGCGCACCAACCTGGAGTGCGAGCTGGTGCAGCGCGGCGGCACGCTGCAGACATGCGTCGCGCCGCGGTACAAGCTGCGCAACGAGTGCATCGGTATGTAGCACCAACGTCTTGCATTGGGGGCGCGCCAACAATCATTTAATGAATGCTGTTCGTCTCTATAACTAGTCATAGAGTACAATTTAGCTACGCAAATGGTATCGAGTAATTTCTTAGTATTAGCAGTCTATATAGTCGTCCAACGACAAGACGTCTAGACAGGGCAATCATGCGGTGTGTAAGGAGCGAGACGCGGGTAGGCCGATCCCGAGCTGCGAACAAAACGATGTTAGTAACTCGGGTTGTATTTATTACTCAGGGCTAACGCGTGTTATAACTGATGGTGCTGTCGAAATGTAACTCTTCAACGGTGTACAGTAACTACCTTGTTTTTAGGTTTGTATAATTTGTATTAAAAAAAATACAAGAACAACATTAGTAACTTTATAGGAATCTCTGAAAGGGTAGCATTATTACAACTAAAATTTGAATGCTTCTCCTTATCTATAATTGAAGCATATGCACCCACAGAAAGTTCAACAGATGAAGAAATTGACAAGTTTTACAAAGACATGGAATATGCTCATACCTTGGCAGAAGGGAAGGTCATAGTGATGGGAGATTTCAATGCCAAAATAGGCTTCCAAAAAACAGACAACTACCCAGTGATGGGAAAATATGGTTATGGAGTGTGCAATGAAAGAGGCGAACGGCTTTTAAACTTTGCTTATGAACATAAACTGTCAATTATGAATTCTTTTTTCAAAAAGAAAGACAATCGAAGGTGGACATGGATATCCCGATGGAAACACTAAAAATGAAATAGATTATATAATGATAAATCACCATAAACTTATAACTAATGTCGAGGTACTTAACAGACTTAAATTCCATTCTGACCATAGACTGCTTAGAGCAACACTACTTTTGAGTCGTCCAATAAAGAGCAGAAAAACCTTCGCAACTCCGAATTATACTCCCAAGACAGAAGCAGAAATCAAAAACTACATTACAAGGCTACGAGAATACACAGAAAATATAGAAACAAACGATATCGACATCCAAACATACTACACCACCTGAAAAGAGGCATAACAGAATGTTTAAGGTGCAAAAATATCACACATCCTCGCCAGCATAACATTTTCTCTGAAGTCACAGTCAAGCTTATAGAAAGACGCACAGAGCTGCTACGCACAATGAATAAAACAAAAGAAATGAAACAGGAACTCAGTAGACTATACAAAGAAACTAATAGATCAATCCGAAAGGACTATACCAATCACAGGTGTGAGATTATTTCGAGAAACATTAACAATTTTAGAAGTACCAAAAGAGCTTATAAACAATTAACGACACATAAATCGTGGATTCAAAAACTCGAACATAACTCACAGGAAACAAAATCAAGAAAAGATGTAATAAAACACGCAACAGACTTCTACAAAAACCTATACACGAAGCAGGATAGCACTACCTCAGAATTAGAAATAGATCACATGAATACAACAGACTGCATTAGTCCAATTGACGACTCCGAAGTTTATGAACATATAAAAAAGTTGAAAGCTGATAAGAGTCCCGGACCAGATGGACTATGCAACGAAGCCCTCAAAATAGGAGCACCTATTTTAACTCACCATTTTACACGATTGTTTAACATGATACTAGATATCGAAAAAGTACCAAAAGAATGGTGTACATCAGACATAATTCTGCTCTTCAAAAAAGGAAGCCCCTTAGATATAGCCAATTACAGACCCATAAGCCTATTAGCAAGTACATACAAGCTATTCTCATCTATAATTCTAAGAAGGATATCTGACGACATTGATAAACAGCAACCTAGGGAACAGGCAGGATTCAGACCAGGTTTCAGCACGATGGACCACATACAGACACTAGAACAAGTTATAGAAAAATACAGAGAATTCAATAGACCCCTGTATGTGGCTTTCATTGACTACAGCAAAGCCTTCGACACCATTAGTCATTCTTCAATCTGGCAGGCACTGCGAGACTCAAATGTTCACTACAAATATATTAGAATCTTAAAAAACATCTATGCACAAAGTACAAGCAGAGTAAAATTGGAAACACGTGGCGACGAAATAAACATAGAACGAGGAGTACGACAAGGCGACCCTTTGTCTCCAAAGCTTTTTATAGCAGTACTTGAGAGTATTTTTAAAAAACTAGACTGGGCAAATAAGGGTATATATATAAACGGACATTATGTGAACCATTTGAGATTCGCTGATGACATCGTTATTATGGCCGAAACTGCTAAAGATCTGGGGGATATGATGAAATCGCTTGACTACGAAAGTTCTAAAATCGGCCTAGAAATGAATGCAAGCAAAACCAAGATACTAACCAATTATCGCGAATATTCAATTACAATAAAAAATAACAATATAGAATATGTTAATAACTACATCTACTTGGGAAAGCAGATTTCATTTAAAACGTCGAATAACGAAGAAGAAGTTACAAGAAGAATTAACACAACTTGGAAAAAATTCTGGGCATTAAAGGAAATCCTAAAAGGGAATTACAGCTTACACATGAAGAAGACAGTATATGATACATGTTTGTTACCCTGTCTGTTATATGGTTGCCAAACTTGGATATTTACAAGCAAAGTAAAGCAGAAAATTAAATGCAGCCAAACATCAATGGAAAGAAGCATGTTAAAAATCAAAAAGATACAAAAAATTAAGAGCGAACATATTCGTCATAAAACTAAACTCACCGATTGTTTGAGGCATGCGCTACTATTAAAGTGGAGATGGGCCGGACATATCTCACGATACACGGACAGGCGCTGGACTATCGAAGCTACACGATGGAAGGGACCAGAGGGGAAAAGGAATGTTGGTAGACCAATGAAACGGTGGACTGACGAGATAACACACATAGCAGGAAACAACTGGATAAAGTTAGGCAGGGACAGGGAGTCATGGAAGAGGATGGAGGAGACCTATACCCAATCAGGGGTCCATATTTCATAGTACTAACACACTAACATCAATTATAAATTTATTAAATGAATATGCATGTATACTAACATGAACTAAAATACATAATATACGTAATGTAATTGCAACACTGTAAGAAATTTGGAAATAAAAAGGTTTATTATTATTATTATTATTGTATGTCTTTACCATTCACGGGACCACAGGGTCCCGGTCATTTGGGAGGCATGCGAGGGGCCGAAGCCAACTGCGCAGAGGCCCTTTAGACAACTTTAATATAAATGTAATGGACACACAAACCGGCGACTATCCCTGTATGCACTATGGAAATGCACCCAAGGACAGTCTACGGTTAGTGTAAAACTATTGAGGATAATGGAAAAAAAAAAGATAGGGCTATGGATGGGTTGCTGTGGACTGGAAAATTGGGAACTATGGATGACTATGGCACCTGCCGAAACAATGTAATTATTACACGTAAAAATGGCAGGCGGAGACTCGCCAACTCACCGACCGGGCCCCGGGAATGGCTGCTAGATATAGCAACAGAGGGGCAACGAGAATGTGAGTGGCTGAAGGGTTAAGAAACTACCACCGCTTTCTACTCAGATCATCTGCTCCAGCCGAACTTCCTGCATCCCTGGCCCACTCGCGACTTACGAATAGTTTCTTACCCTCCGAGCAGGATCACTGCTCTCGCGACTCCACTCTGGACGGCCAATGAAGGCAAGCCAGAGGTGGGAGACCTGTTCCTTGTCATCGTTCACTCCAGCCAGCCAATTAAGGCAAGCCGGAGAAGAAGGAACGGTGACTTCTCCCTGGAGCACTCGGGATGATGGTAGCCCGCGGGATCGCTAATGCCCGTCACCTCGCCTCAAGGTGCCCTGCGGGCTTATTATTATTATTATTATAATTTGTATTGATTAGAACTTTGCACCTATATGGATTGTAAGTGGCAAAACAAATCTATGCAGCATTACACTAAATATGAAAATAAAAATGCGTTAAAAAAACTGACTTCTCAAAAAGCCTAAAAACTAAAAACAAATAAAAAGTAAAAACTAAAATGCAAAAAAATAAGTAAGTATATTAGTACTGATGAGTTACCCACCCACTGACCGACTTCTACTTGGTGCCATAAGCTCATATTTTTGACAACCCTGGCCGATGCGTTACTGTCTAGACAATGTCGGCATTTTATACGAGATCAAAAGCGTCGTCCTACTGTATGTTTTTGTACTGTGGTATTAGTGTGATGTCGTGATAATCAAGTAATGTGTGCAGTGCCGCTACTGGTGGTGGCGGGCGCCCACTCGCGCGTGCTGGCGTCGGCGGGCGCCGGCTTCGGCGCCGCCGAGGCCTGGCGGCTACTGGCGCCCGGGGACGAGGCGGCGGGGGCCGCGGGCGCCGCCGTGCTGTCGGGCGCGCCGTCCGCCCGCCCCGTGCCGCTACTGCTGCGGGACCCGCTGGCGCTGTTGATGCACTTCCTACTTCTGGCGCCGCCGACGCCGCCGTACCTGGACATGGAGGAGTTCACGTGCATCGTGCGCGTGCTGTACTCGCTGAGCTACTACCAGGTGGTGTGCCAGCTCATCGCGGGCTACAGCGCGGAGGGCCGCGCCGCGCTGCTGGGCGGGCCGCGGGGCGCGGAGCCCGCCGGCCTGCGCCCCGCCGCGCGCCTGCTACTGGCCGCGCTGGCCGGCTCCGACCTGTTCACGGAGGACGGCCCGCCCGCACCCGGCCCGCACGAGCTGCCCGACCTACACGCCATGGAGAAACAGGTACGCTACACGTACACTACATGTACACCAACATGACCATTGACAACAATCCATATCCATTATCTTCGAGCCTACACATAATATATTTGACCTTTGTAACAAAATTTATCACCGTCCCTGTATACACAGGTGCAAGACCTCCTCCTGCCGTTCCTACGTATCTCAGCATTACTCCGTCACCACCTGTACGGTAGCGAGCTACCAGAAGTATCGACCCCGCGGCAAGAATTCGTCCGACTGGCATATTATCTGGAGCTGGTGACCGAGGGCATGGAATGGAGCGAGTGGTCTGCTGGACGAGCACTCTGTCCGGACTCCGCCACTGCAGCCCGGGCCTGGGCCAGGCAACTAGGGGCTGCGGCATCTAGAGGACAGCTAGCGGTCAGTACTTAGTTCATTTCTAGCAGTTGCCTGAACATAAATGAACTGTCTTCAGTAGTACGTCAATGAACTTAGTCTTCGGCTTAACGAATTCAATGAAACGTTTGCCTTTGTTTAACGTAACATTGCGTGTCCAGGTCCGGCGCCTGCTGCGGTCGATGGCGGTGGAGTGGGTGCAGCCGGGGCTGCTGGCGCTGCCGCGCGACTACGACCGCCTGTTCACGTACTACCACGAGCGCGTGTGTCTGCAGTGCGGCGCCGTGCCCAAGGAGGCCAGCGTCTGTCTGCTCTGCGGGACGCTCGTCTGTCTCAAGCAGCCCTGCTGCAGGCAGCACCAGGTGGCCGAGGCCGTGCAGGTACTACTTACATTCATTAAAAATGTTGATATAACAATTATCATTTACAACATTACTTGAAATTTAAACTGGTTTTGTATTGCAGCACGCGATGGAATGCGGTGGCGGTACGGGTATATTCCTGGTGGTGACGTCGACATACATCATCGTCATCCGCGGCCGCCGCGCATGTCTCTGGGGTTCGCTATATCTTGACGACTATGATGAAGAGGATCGCGACCTCAAGTCAGTACACATGTCTACTTACAATACATTCTGAATTATATAATGTTCATCCATTTACTGACTTTCGAGGATGCCTGTCTGTTTTCAAGCTTAAACGGAGCCCTAGAATTTGAGTTGAGCATAAGAATCGACAGCAATTCTAATCTTGATCGTTGAAAGTAATCATTTTGTTTTTATTATGATTAAAAGCTTGAAGTTTCTCTTAAATGTAATTATCTAATAAAACGTTTCCCTCCAGGCGTGGCAAGCCACTATACCTAAGCCAGGACCGCCTGGAGCTGCTGCAGGCGCAGTGGCTGGCGCACCGGTTCGACCACACGAAGCGGACCTGGGTGTGGCATCGAGACTCGCTCTGAGCCGACATTACTTGTACATAGGTAACGACACGCGTCGATACTAACTACTATTTATTTATTTCCTCTGGAATATTGCAGTATACACACCGTTTATTGTAACTGTATCATTAAACTACTGTACAGTAGTTGATGTTTTTGTAGTGGTGATTGTTAAAACTAGGTGCGACGGTCAAGTGATCTCAAATGTATGATCGTCGCATCTCACTCCAGTGGTACCTGTATGAAGCGAAATCATTGGTATCATTGAGTACTTTCGATACAATTTTAATGCCACCAGGGCAACCGAATTCCAGTTTTCATTCAATACATGATACTAATGATGTCGTCTTAAATAATTTGAACTTTAAATACAGGTGTCACGGTGCACTATTCTATATACCACTACTTAATGTAATTACTTGCCAATCAATGTAGCTTGGTTACAGAGAATGTACCAAACTTGGACTTATGTTCCGTAAATTGGAGTTTTAAGGTGAAATCAGGGATTATTCTCGTCAATTTGTAAGATACACGGCATCTGTTCTACAAGTCGTAACAAACTTGCCTCGAGTCATCGCCAATAGACAAACCAAATTCTCTGTTGGTCTATAAAAGTCTTTAATACAAGTTGTATAGAGTTTAAAGTGAATTCTGTACATTTTTCTGAACAACAACTTTTAATGTAATTGAAAATTCTGTCTACGTCAATGTGATTAAAATAGAACACCAATTATATTGTTATTTACATTTGTTATAGAAAGGTAATTATTAATCCAATGTAAAATCTACAGTAAAGCCTAAAATTCATGCGTCTTCGATATAATACCATGTAATAAAAAACATAGGTTCAAGCAATAAAGAGTAAAATAATATTAATATTAAATAATAATCAAATGTATTTTAGATTACAAACCATTGTTGCGTCAATTAAGCCTTGCTCCCATGCCAATAGCTATCTTAATAAAATTATAGATATTTACAAAGCATATTAAAATATTGATTACCTACTTATTTACTAGAATATTCAATGAAATTGCAAAAGCGTATTTTAAACGTAAGAAAATAAAGATAATAATGCCTCGTACAATCAGATAGTGTCTTACATTATATATTTATAAAATGAGACAGTAGTATGCAAGATAATATATATTTTCATATTCAACGTATTTAGCTTTCCGCTGACCGGAGCTAGGCGCTAGTTACATTACATACACAAGAACGTCGCGGCTTGCGTAGCATACATGTGAGAACTTTAGTCATTTCATTTAGAAGTATTTTGTATCATTACTTTATTATATCTTTACTTTCATTCACAAATATCACATTGTATAATTCATTTTCATCTGGTATTATTCTATTTTACAACTAAACGTGTGTTTCGAACGTATTATTTAGCTAGGTTACTCTTCATCCACATTTTGGTCGACTCATTTACATTTTTATTTATAGATCTTTGGTTCAAGAAACATGTTTGGTCTAAGTATTTAGAACATTTATCACGTGCGCCCTAAAGTCTTAAACTTTAATAGTTATAGTTACTAACGTAAATATACAAATGTTTTCAGAGTTTATCATTATATTAAAATTGCCTAAATTTGCTATCTAGGCATGTTAGTATAAAACTACAAAATTGTAACTTCAAATTGAACTAAGCAATAACTAGGAATAGTTCTACAGAGAGCGTTATTTGCTTCAACCACAAATTGTTGGGCAATAAATGAATTATGTATATTTATCCCGTGGTGATCCGAGTACTCGCAAATGTATACACCAAGTATCGTACAGTATGCCTTATCAGAATTTATACAGTTATTTACACATTGTACAAGAGAAAATTAATTGCAGTACATATTATTATATTCAAATTATTACTTGTTTTCATTATAGTAATATGTTATAGAAGTAAATTTTATCTAGTGTTTTAACTGTATGTTAATGTTTGGGAGTGCGGCCAGAGATGGCTCTGATGTTGAAATTATTGTCTGCTCTACATTCATTTAAATTCTCTTGTATTGTATATCTTTCTCTTCAATAATTCATTGTTGACACATCAAAAGTGTACCCAGTGTTCTCTGGCCACACTCCATGTAAGTTTGTTGGAATTTAAGGTGTATTAAATTTTAACTTGTGTCTAATGTTTGATCAAACTGTTAACCCAGTAACTCAGAGTTTATGTTATACTAGCTAATGGTAACTACGACTTTATATTTAGATATGATGAACTTTGCGCACCGCTGAACTTGTATGAATTCTAACAGTTTACAGCCCAAATGTTTGGTCAAACATTTGAAATGTGTTGCCAAGAATGTCATGGAAAGTAATAAATGTTGTCTTGTTTACGAATATACGGTCGTTGAATTAGCTTTCATTAGTTTTATGACTGTTATACGCGGAGGTACCAGCAGGAGCCTCCAGTATACACTGAGTAGTATTTAGTGAACAAGACAAACTCTTGAACATTGTAAATATATCCTTCGACTTCATTAGGGACGTCCAATGGGTGTTGTTAGGGCTGTGAATACGTATATTTTAAATTTTACTCGCTCCTTTGTTGACACGGTTGACGAATCACTAGATTTTAAACACGATTAAATTATTATTTTATTTTTTTCATATTTTTATATAGGAATATATTAAATAGGATATTAGCGAGTAGCCGCTTGCGGACTTTCCATACCTTGTACGGATTAACTATACTTCTTCAAATATCTTCCAGAAATAAAGAAAGCATTGCTTAGAACTTAGATAGGTGTGTTCTGAGTGCCGTAGTTACTGAGCCACTGCACCGCACGGCTAACAGAGTGTTGACAGAAAGCTATATACGCTACATGTAGTACTGCTTCCCCTCCGTATCGACAATAATACCCTGAAACTATTGAGGTATGGTGCTTCATCTTTCATTTTATGTCTTGTGTGCAATTTGGATGCTTTTATTTTGTTCTCCTTGTATATTATTCTCTAAGTCCTCAAAAGTACATTTTTCTGTTTCATAAAATTTAGCGTTTGTATCTAGTTTTAGTGTTAACTAAATTGTAGTTATTATTATTAAGCTATTATCATTTAAAATTTTGTAATCACAACGAATTGATTTTGTATTTGTAATGGAAATTAGGATGTGGTAGAGGATCATCAAAATTTATTTTTAGGTATGTGAGATGTCAATGTTTATTTTTAATGTTTAGGTTTTTCGTATTAGAAAGTTAATTTGCGAAGTGTATCGTCTAAATTGCGTATTATATTTTGTTATAGTAGAATCCTTTGCTGCCGTATTGCTCATGTTACAGTCCACGCGAGGCGACGTGACGCGTGTCTTGTCTGCCCGCGCCCAGTGCCCGCTCCATATAATATTGTTAAACTTGTGTATGTATATTGTTCTTGTATATATTCAATCATTAAAGTTGTTGATATTTCTATTGTTGTTTCTATTCTGAATGACCCTATGATTTTTTTTAAACAGTTTTAATAGGCAAAAGTACATTTATTGCTCATTAAAATCACCGAAAGTTACATTATCCACATTAAACTCTAATACAGATCGGTACAGGAAAGTTCTAGATTAAAAAAATGGCGACGCGACTTAGAGCCGCGGAGGATTCTTCAACACGTCCGTACGCGTCAGTGGTCGGGGCTCTCTCTCCTCCTCCACTCGCACCCCTGCGCTGGCGCGCGGGGTAGCGGGTGGCGGGAAGGGGCGGTCGCGAGCGCGCGCCTATTGGCTTCTAGCGTTACGTTATTACCACAGATATTAATACCATAGACTAGGTTATCTTTATTTTTAAAACCCCCGTTACATCCTCCCCCTCTAGCCTAACTAAGTGTCCCCGCAGTTGGGCTAGTCTAAATATCTACGCGGTCTGCCGCGCTTGCGTTTCTCGCGAACCGGATGTTCTATTTGACCCGCGAAGGGCGTGAGGTGCGAAACGTGATATTTCCCTAAGTCCGACCCGGTTTGTACGCTCTCCAAACCGTAAGTGGTTGGGCTAAAAACTTTCCCTATCTTATACGGGCCATCGCGACGAGGTATAAACTTCGCGGACTGTCCGCGGGCTGCGTCGTTAGGTCCTTGCGTTTTTAACAGAACAAGGTCACCTACCTCGTAATTTGACGATGGCCGTCTCTTCTGGTCAGCGTTCTGCTTCTGACTGGCTTGCGCTTTCTCATGTATATCCCTGGCCTCGTCTAGGGTCGCGGCCAACTTCCGTAGATAGGGCGTAATACTGGGCACGAAGTTGTCATGTTCTATGACGGCTCTCATGTCTACCTTGGGATCAGTAGGGCCCCTCAACTCTCTCCCGAAAGTGAGGTACGCCGGGGAATGTCCCGTGCTACTAGTGATAGCTGAATTCATAGCAAACCTTACTGAGGCGAGATGTAAGTCCCAGGTTGCATGGTCTTGGCCCACAAGTATGGCTAGTTGCGGTTTCAAATCGCGATTCTTCCGCTCTATCGGGTTGGCCTCCGGGTGATAGTAGGGTGTGAGCGACTGGCTGATACCTAGGATGTGACATACCTGTTGCATGACGTCGCTCACGAACTGCACGCCATTATCGCTGATAAGGCGGCGCGGCACTCCATACCTGAGGAAGACCTCCCCGACAAGCGTCCGAGCACATTCGACGCTGGTGGCGCTCTCCAATGGGAATAATTCTACCCAGCGCGAACAGACGTCTTCCACAATCAACACCCACCTGTTTTTCCTAGGAGTCTCTACGAGTGGCCCAAACAGGTCTACTGAGACCACCTCGAAACGTCTTGATACGGCAGGGGTTTGCAGTAAACCTGCAGGTTTGCGATTATTAGCCTTATATCTTTGACAAGGCACGCATTCTTTTATATAGTTGGCGATGAACGTTCGCATGCCGGGCCAATAATACCTAGCACGAACGCGGCTTAAAGTTCTGTCCACACCAAAGTGGCCAGCTGTCGGCGCATCGTGTAGATCAGCCATAACCTGCTTGCGTTCATGTTCAGGGACAACTAGGCAACAGTCTTCTCCGTCGTCAGACTCCAAGCTGTACCTGTACAGGATACCGTCAGATATGGTGTATCCGCGATCAGACCACGGTCTCCCCCTGGAGGGTTCGTCGGATTCCATATCCTCAATAATTTTGCAAACCTCTGGGTCCATCAGCTGATTGCTGCGGATATCACCACTGCTTCTCTTCGGCATATCCACGACGGTCATCCGCAGGTCACACTCATCCTGGTTGCCTTCACAAACTGGTCGCGACAAGGTATCTGCGACCACGTTTGAGCGGCCGGGTGTGTACTCAATGCTGAGATCAAATTCTTGCAGAGTTAAAGCCCATCTGGCCAGTCTACCGCTAGGCGACCTTTGACTCATCAGCCACCGTAAGGGCTGGTGGTCCGTCCTAACGATGACCTTCGCGGTCTCCACATACCCGCGGAACTTGCCAAGTGCCCACACGACAGCGAGTGCCTCTCGCTCGGTCGTGGAATAGTTCCTCTCGGCGCTAGTGAGGAGCCGACTCGCGTATTCGATCGGCCGCTCGTCATGACCCTCCCCCTGCATGAGAACAGCTCCGAGACAATAGGCGCTGCTATCAGTGCAAAGGGTAAAAGGTTTTGATTCGTCCGCCTGGCGGAGAATAGGAGCAGAAACGAGAAGGGACTTGATGCGCTCAAACGCCTCCTGCTGTTCAGTGCCCCATTGCCAAGCACTTGACTTCTTCAGGAGGTTAGTTAGGGGTCTCGCGATTTCTGCGTAATTATTAACAAAACGTCGGTACCAACTCGACGTTTGTAGGAAGCACTTCAATTGCTTAACATTCCGAGGGGCGGCCATGTTGTCAACGGCTGCAGTCTTGTCAGGATCCACCTGGATTCCACCTGGGACGATGACGTGTCCTAGGAATTTTACACTTTCCCTTGCAAAGACGCTCTTGTCCCTGTTAACTCGTAACTTAAACATGGCAAGTCGATCGAAGACCGCCTCCAGATCGGCCAGGTGCCTCTCGAAAGGGCCCGGTGACAGCAAAATAAGATCATCCAGGTACGCCAGGAGCTCTACTCCCTTCAGATTGGAGCGGAACCGATCCATCATCCTCTGAAAGGTAGCTCCGGAATTCCGCAACCCCATCGGCATTCGCTTAAATCTAAAGGTACCGAGTGGCGTTGTAAAAGCCGTCTTATCTTGGTCTTCTGGGGAAACGCTCACCTGATAGTACCCTGAGCGAAGATCAAGAGTAGTCATATACTCACTGGTTTTGGCGGCATGCAGTATGTCTTCGATACGCGGCAGGGGGTACCGGTCGGGCTCGGTTACCTCGTTGAGTTTCCGGTAATCCACACAAAGTCTCCAACTGCCGTCCTTCTTACCTACGAGTACGACATTGGAGGCCCAAGGTGACTCGCATTCTTCAATGATGTCGTCTCGCAGCAGCTTATCAAGCTCCTTCTGCAAAGCCTCCTTCTTATTTTGCGACATCCTGTACGGTGGACTAGCGATCGGTTCCTGTTGTGGACTTACCTTTATACGATGCAACGCGAACTCAGTTGCCGGGCCGTCGCGCGCAAACTGCGACGCGCGGTCTCCGATGAACCTGTTAAGGGTCTGTCGCTGCTCGGGGTTTAACTTACAACCTTCGTCCGGTCGCAGCGCTATGTCATCGGAGGACCCAGTATGTAGTAGACCGGTGTCGGCACCATCGGCAGGATTCAAAGTATAGGAGTATACCAGCTCATAGCGTTCCAGACTGTCTGAGAACGACCATGTACGTTGGGCGACGTCTATTACTACACCGGCCCGGGCTAAAAAATCTACGCCTAAAAGTGTTCGGATATCACTGCCGGGCAACACCAGGAACTGGCATGTCACCCGCCGTTCTGCAATGATGACCTCTGTCTCGGCTGACAGCAGGTCCCGCCATCCTTGTGTGCCGTCGGCCAGGCGCACGTAACGTTTTGTTTCGGTAAATGTAACTCCCGAGTTTACTAAAATTCGGTATAATAGGGGACTCGCAATGCTGTGCGTGGCGCCGGTATCTACTATCGCCACACCACTACGGCCCATAACACTTATATTCACCATCGGATGGTCGTTGCACATACTTGCGTTAGTAATAATTACGCATGAATCAGTATCGACCCTACTATTAATATGACTACTATTCCTAACATCGACGTTATTTATACAAAAATCTATATCAACATTGTTGAAAGATGTTTTGCCGTCGGGTTTCGTCGTTGTCTTTAAGCAAACATCGCATTTCGACCTCACGACGCCCTGCTTGCCACACCCGTAACAACGTACTTCCTTGGGTGCTGTATTATTACTTCCACTGGAAATAGGTTTCTCGCGATTACGACACTCGTCACTAACATGCCCAAAAAGCTTGCAATAACTACAACGCGGTCTATTTCTGTTGTTGCAACGCGACGCGGTCGCACTCGTGGCAGCGCAATTCGATTGCGTGAGAACACGGTCGGTAGTAGCGATAGTGGTCGAATTACTTTCGCGTATTTTATTGGTATTATTCACCTTAGACGCTTTGTAGGTATCCTCCGCGATCCTAGCCTTATATAATAGGTCGTCTAACCTACGAACACTATCACGCGGGACTCGTTTCACTACGCGTCGATGCAATAATCCGTAACAAATGTCAACTTGCAAAGTTTCATCTAAAGAATACGGTAACTTTGCGATTAACGCGCGCACTTTACACAAAAATGTCTCTGCACGTTCTTCTTGTTGTTCCCTGGCGAAGATCTCGCGCAGGATGAGGTGCGCGGGCTGCGCCACGCCGTACATCGCACGGAGGCGCGCGATCGCGTCCGTCCACGTAGGTACCGACGCTTTTACGCCGCGCCACCACACGGCGGCTTCGCCCTCCAGTAGCATGGGTAACCCACGCAGGGCGTGCTCGTCGCTCACCGCTGCACACTCCTTGTAGACCTCGACGGCGTCCAGGAATGCTTCCAGGACCTCAGCGTCCGGGGAGGTCCCGTTGAATCTCACCGTGCACTTTGTGAAGTTAGCGTCACTGCACGGCGGAGCCGCGACGGCGGTATCTCCGCCGGTCGCGTTCGATGATGGAGAGGGCCCGACTGGAGTGGATGCCCTGAAGTCGCCGCCGGATCCCATCAGCGTGCTAACGAGACTCCTATTAGCTTCCACTTGCGCACGCGTAATCGTCTCGATTAGCGTGGATAAAAAGTCTGGGGTAATTTGGGGAGCTGGATGTGTCGACCTCGAGCCGGCACTCGCGGCGGCGTCCGCGTGGCCGCGCTCGGCGACGCTCTCCTGTTCAGTGAGCGTGACGTTTCCCTCGTCTTCTCCGTGCTGTTGCCGGAGGGCTTCACCTCTCCTCGTTGTCGGCATCTTCACGTTATTGATGACAACGGTAAGGTGGCGAGTGGATTCGGGTCAGTAGGTACTTTACCCGCGGTCACGTAGGCACTGGATCATTCGTAACGGTCGAATACGGTTCGGCCACGCTTGGGCGCCAGTTTAATAGGCAAAAGTACATTTATTGCTCATTAAAATCACCGAAAGTTACATTATCCACATTAAACTCTAATACAGATCGGTACAGGAAAGTTCTAGATTAAAAAAATGGCGACGCGACTTAGAGCCGCGGAGGATTCTTCAACACGTCCGTACGCGTCAGTGGTCGGGGCTCTCTCTCCTCCTCCACTCGCACCCCTGCGCTGGCGCGCGGGGTAGCGGGTGGCGGGAAGGGGCGGTCGCGAGCGCGCGCCTATTGGCTTCTAGCGTTACGTTATTACCACAGATATTAATACCATAGACTAGGTTATCTTTATTTTTAAAACCCCCGTTACACAGTTTCATTATTACACCCAGAAGCTACCAGCAGCAGAAGCAGACCGGAATTTGAGATCACATATATGGCAACAGTCTGTAGAAAAAAAATCTCAATTTTTGTCATGTAGTGACAAAAAAATACCCACTAGTGACAAACACCAGGAAAAATACTAGTAACAAATTAATCATTCGTTTTCACATGACAGAATATTTCCAACTTCCTTCAATATGCCGAATTTTTTGATGTTTTTGGTAACAAAAACAAGTATAAGTCTAAATTTATTGCTATCTTATGAACCCGCCTCGCAAGAAACATAACGCATTTTTGTGCAACAAAACCTTTTCTATTTTCTATTGGATCCACCATTATTTTCCTGTCACTCAAATATTTCAATTCCACATTTTTACTGAAAATAATCTGTGTACCGCATTTGAAAACTACTACTCTCCTCGTAACACATCTTTTTTCTTATGTTAATCTTATTACTCGCTGTGGCCCTGCTATACATTTTATAGAAACTGAAAATTATCTATACATATAACAATGAGAATATTAAAAAAACCAATAGTAGAGGGTCATTAGACATTTAGGACAATGATTGGCCGCAAAAAGCTTTACATAGGAGTGGAAGGAGGGTAGGAAGGCCTTTGCCCTGCAGTGGGACGATCATGGCTGAAAATAAATAAATAAATAGTAAGAGGGTGTTACTAGACAGACATCGAACCCAAAAAAGTGATTAAAAATGATTGTCTGTCCGTCTTATGTGTATGTCCACGCATAACGCAAAAACTACCGGTCCGATTACGATGAAACTTAGTATGATAATACTTTAATTTCCGGGCACAACGCTGGGTACTCCGTCACAACGCTGGGTACCCGGGCACAACCTGGGTATTTTTATCGCGAAAAAGTATACACACAAAAAAAAACAAACTTAATTGTGCGGCTCAATCCCTATATAGACATTTACTGTACCTAACACCCGAGTTTGTTGAATGTTAGGTTGCCCGCAGTCGACTTTACGCCGTAACTGTAGGGCCGATGGTTGGAATTAGCTTGAACTGATATTATAAATGCGAAACTATGAATTTTCGTACCTATGTTTGTTACTCGATCACATCAAAACGACTGAAGGGAGGATGAACTTTGGAACAGAGGTAGATTATTGTCTGGAGTAACATAGGCTACTTTTTACGCCTGGGAATGCGGGGGAAGCCGCTGGCACTAGCTAGTTTTAAAGTAAGTAGGTATTTCTTACTGGCCTTCTTGTCGCCCTGCCTGGTATGTATATTTCAACGGAGGCTAGTTTTTTGCTCACGGTTTGATGACGCTAATTTATCAAGGGGGCAGGAGTTTGTGCAATCACTGAAGCTGTCAACAATTGAACGTCCAGTGGTGTGATACTAGCTTCTTACTGGACAAAATATCATAGGTCACACTAGCACCATCTGGTGAGAAAAACAAAATATCTATCGACTCAGTTTTTAAAATACTACACATCGTGTTATGAACTCCTAAGATATATACGAAGCCGCAGAAGGCTTCACGGGTTCCCGGGGCTCCGGCTCCAAGAGCAGGAGTAGGAACGGAGTGGTTTTAGTCAGTCTTACACCCATCCCTCTCACCTAACTCAAGGCGGGGGAAGTCATTGAATGATAGAAAAAAGGTCCTGATATCACTTCGTGAGAAATGATGAGTTTTGAAACATTTTCCAAAGAATTAATACTGAGTGTGGTAGTGTTATTAAATTGCTTGGCGATAACCTACCCCTTTTCTTATACTACTTACACACCTAACTTCTGGCTATCGCAAAGAGTATATCTTAGCGATAACCAAACGCTAGTTGTGTTTAAATTCTTTGTATAAGTCTAAGTATCTAATGAAGTAGATTACTTAGATCAAGGATGGGAATGATGTGTCAATGCAGTGCGTGTCTAAAACATGCTTTGCGCCTATTTCCTATGAGTTGAATTTTAGAAAATCATTTGATCTGCTTTTAATTGTAATCACAATATGGAAATTGATTACAATTAGGACTTTGAAGAAATTGGGATAGTCTTTCTACATTTGGAAAATTATTAAGCGGATACAGGTGATGTCCAAAGGTATCGAGGAACAAATAAAACATCATAATTCTGTTAAAAGTTTATAATATTGTACATCAACTATGATTTGTTTAGAGGTAGAACATCCTACTCTTAAATTAACGGCTAACGTGATTACAATAAAATAGTTAATTTTCATATCGCCGCGTTAATATCATTTATAGGCGGAGTGAGTAACCGAAATAAAGTAAAATACTTATTGTGAGCGGTGCAGTCGGACACTGCCACGGCCGTCGAACATTCATATAAGAAAAAAACATCTCCAATCATTTGAATTACAATCTTTTGTTTCTCTATGTAGTGTGGAAGTAATGTTATCTTCAAACGAAGCTGCTCGTACGTTACGTGTAGTAATCGTGACAATGCCTCAATCAGTCCTTACGATAGTACAGTCCCCTCGACTTGCACCCGCTCTGTGTTATTATAAAATTAATGTTGTTAGTCGTTACAAAAGTACCATTAATACAATAGTTACTTCAAATGTATCGTCTATCTTACACTTACGTACATACAACTTGCAAATCAACTATCTGTATATTAACCTTTATTTATACATATATATTATTTGCAACGACACATTTGAAGGATCTATATTTAATAAAAAATAATACAAAGTACGTCATTTTGTCATCTTCGAAAAATAAAAGGTTTTTCTTTTTTTATCACAGAAAACAATAAATACTATCAAACAATATAAAATGGCAACTAATGGCAAATAAATCTATGCACCTCTGTATGTATGATTATTATGTATGTATCAAATTATGCGTAAAAAAATAAAACTTTAAAAATTCTGTACCTTAGTTGAGTGAAAGTGTCCGGCAGATTGTATAAAACTGTTTATGTATAAGGCCCCTAGAGAACCGACGTTTGTTGTCCTAGGTCAAAGTATAAAACTAACTATTTGTTATCTGTACTGCGGATTAACAATATAATATTCTATCAACTTAATTCTTACAACGAAATAATGACAGGACACTTTCTAACCTACCATGTTGGCTACTCCGGGATACGGGTGTAGGTCAATAACAAGGAGTTATGTAACGATAAGTAATTTGCATTTATACAGTTTTTCTTAAAACATAACCTTTATGTATTCGATAGTGTTCTTGTATATCACCCGTGTCCCAGTGTAGACCTATATTTCTATAATCATTATTCCCAACAGTTCAGGAATACTATAAACTTAAAGTACAATGCTTTAAAATTAAAATTAGCATATAAATACGATTTTATTGTCAGTTATTGAACAATAACTGTTGGTCTCGCTACCGCTTGGTATAAACGTATAAAGTAAACAAATATGTAGGTACTTAAATAATTTAAATCATCGTTAATCTAAATAAATACGAAAGTAGCGAAACCAGTGTACATAGTCTGTACCTATACATCAAATAATCTTGTTCACTAAATAAAATTAGATTATTGCTATATTTTTCTAAAAGACAGAGAAAAAGACGTTTTTAATCAACTGATTTTCATCTGTTGTCTCTTCTATTTGCCTTTTGAAAAAGTATTGCAATAACCTAATAAAGTTTACTTGGCGCACAAAAGATTTAACATATTCTGGACAATAAATAAAATTACAACATCTTTTAATAATAATTATACTTATCGATGGCAAAGGAATGTTCAACCAATGTTACTCAATATTTTTGTAAAGGAATCTGAACATTTATTACATAGGTATATAACCACAATCAACCACAAGGGCAATGAATCATACTCGGCTGGGCCACACTCATGCGTCACTGTAAGAAAACAAATCGAGTTGTATATTTTACTTGAAGCAAACTTAGGCTTCAACCAGTAAGGGCTCGTACACAAAACTGCGATGCGATGCGATTTCGTGCGACAAGGCTTCTCCCTTCTGACCATTCCTTCGACGACCGTCAACCGTACTAAACTTATTTTAAGTTGAAAGCTAGTTCGTGATATGGATCGTAAAGAGAAGAGTGCTCTTCTGTTATTGCTTAGGAGATACGGGGAAAAGAAACAAATAAGATTTTGGGAACATAAGATGCGCATGCGACTCAATTCGCAAGTTCTTGCGATGCGTAGAGGGAGCTCGCACATTTTGCGATGCGACGTCGCGTCACAGTTTTGTTTACGAGCCCTAAATACGGGTGTGTACGTAGCGGTACTATATAGTACATACAATGATGTATGGTGCACCAGGAGTGTAGTCCGCCCGCGACTCGATACATAATGCTCACATATTTCACCGGGCACACTCGCGCCCATCAAAGCTTCAATATAAATGAACGATTGACTTAAACCTACCAATATGTGAGCTTACATATAAAAATTCGTGGCTCGCACTATCAATATAAACGGGTAAAAATGTTACAATACATAACATCCCAAGTGTTCTCAGTTAATATTAAAATAATTACTACTATATACACATACTAATGTTACTCGTGTATGTAGGTACAACTTCTAAAAAACTTTTTTTGAACACATTTTTAATAAGATATGGAACAGTTTTATTTTTCTTTTTTTTTATATATAATTCTAAGTGTTCAATGCCATACTTCGACCCACGCTACTATGGCACAAAAATACGTATTTGCACCTTATAAAAATAAACTAGAAATAATCGTTACTTAGGCAAGCAGAACCTAACAGCGCGCACACGAGGCCACGCCCCGCGGTACTACTATATCCAACGTGCGTAACTATTAAGTGACGCCCCTTACTGAATATAATAATAATTCTATACTGTACTTTAATTTCAAATCCTTAAGATAGATATTACAGCTGGTAATACTTCAATAATACCACAAGTAATATTATTCCGCGAAACAGCGGTGCCGCAGGGCGCGCCCGCGCGTGCGCTATAACATATAAGTATAATATATCCATAGGCCGATATACGATTTCCTAAAAAAGCAATATTTACGTATATAAGTGTGACTTCATATTAAATAGATTAATAGTTACATACTTTATATTTAAATTATAAATTCGTACAGACTAACTCATATTTATTTTATATGTTATAACTAAATGTAACTAACATTATGCACAGTTAAAATTATAAAATATTAGCACACTATAATATTATATATTTTTTAATCATAATAATATATTATACTGGTCATTCTGAGATCTGTTCGTCACCACTCTGGCTCCAATACTGTCATATATCTATTACTTCATCCGTTTACATTAAATATGCTACCTTCAGGGATGTAGACTCTATGGTTGTGTAGATATAGTTCCTTATTTCGTGTCACAAAGAAGCTCAGAATCAGGTTCTGGTTGTGTTCTTTATATGTTCTAAACATTTTATCTGGCTTCTATGGGTATGGCCTGTACTGAATGTGTACAAACTTGGACGTGTCAGGACGGGTTTTTGTGTTGCAAAAACTATGCAGTTGTATGTTTTTTTTTATAAATAAAGCTAGCGTGTCAGTGTAGTCACTAGGCACAATATTTGTTTGTAAGCTGTCTATATATTATAGGTGATTTTGAATAACTCAACTGCTCTTTAGGTAGTGTATATGGTTAGAAGATAGCATATTCAATTTCCCTGCTGTGCTAGAGGACATGTGTCCGCCACGTAACGCTAGACAACGCTTATATAACAATACAACAAGTCCCTCGACTAAGGTAACTACACTACTCTATATATAACCCGACAGATATGTTGCTGATCTGTAATGTTCTCTGTAATCACTTTCTTGTATAAAACCTTTAAGTACCACATCTATGTGTGTGTTTAGTTTCTGTATATCTTCTATCGACGTGGCAACGACGGAGGCTGTATAGTTTCCTTGCAAGAATACTATTTGCACTGTAATGCAAATTATGTTACATTTCCAATAATGTTGCCAAGTACAAGACCTCTAGTCTTCCAATGTATTTGGCTAATACAGCTTGTATTTTTACATAAACTACATCAAAAAGTGTAAAATTGTTTGGCGTGATTAGTTTTACTCTAATACACATCTTTTTATTACCAATTCTTCCATTTTTTTTTCAAACCATATGCAAGTCCAGTCATCACCACAGTCAAGTATATAAACTTCAAAACGTGTCAAAAATGGCAAGCTTCACTCGAACACATGTACTATTCTCTAGTTATTTATCATCAAGCTAACTTTCGATCCAAACAAGCAAAGCATTTTGACCAAGTTCACGTAACAAACAATTCGATATAAAGATAATAATATTTCCTATATTAATTAAGATATTAGTGTTAACATATATCATTTAAACTTGATCAAAACTCTTGCGCAATCCGTTACATCTAACCTCGCTTACATTTACATTAGCTTACACTAGACAAGTTTAGTTAAGTATACTCGATCGCGACTTCTAGACGGACGCTATAGGAGTGACAGAGCGCGGGGAACAATTGACACGAAACAAACATTGATACAGATACATGATATGAAGACACGGAGCAATCGAACGGAGGACAGCGGACCGGAGTCAGGGGCGGGGCGCGCGCGGGGACTTATGTTATAAACTCTCCGAGTTCCAGTACGGCAGCGGCACGTACGCCGGGGTCAGCGGGGTCAACGGGGTCAGCGGGGTCAGCGGCGCAGCTATCTCGGGTCCCACCACCCCGGCCCCAGTCCCAGCCCCCACAGTAGTGGGCTCGGGGTCTGCGGGACAGTCGCAGTCGTACCGCGTGACGACAAAGTTCCCGTAGTCATCAGTCAGCGAACTGTGACGCAGCGCTCCGCATACATGGCGCCGCCCCCCGTCACACCACGACCGCTCTGGGATACACACAAGACATTAAATATCTTCTCAAACAATATCTTTAGCATACAAGTCCTGACAAAACACTCCACTCACCGCTACTTATGTCGACGTCAGTCATCAGCTCCTCGTTCATCAGTGCAGACAGCGCGTCATCTGTGTGCTTCGAATCTGAAAACAAAAAGCAAAATACCTAAAACAATATTCTTCTTTGTAGTTGGTCATCACATTCTTGGTAGAGAAATCAGGGTTAGGTTAGGAGTTGTAGAAGGTGCATAAACATATTTAGGTATCTAATATTAGTTTACCTGATTCTTCTTTGACGACAGGTTCTTCCTTGACGGCGCCGGGCACGGTGGGCGAGGTGGGCGTGGTGGGCGTGGCGGGCGGGGTGGGCGCGGCGTCGGCCCCGGCTGCGCCCGCGCCGCCCGCCTCGCCGCTACTGTTGGAGCTGCACTCCGGGCTGTACGGGGCCATCTACGAGTACACACAACAATCATACCACACCTCTGAACATTTTATTTCTTCACGAACATATTTTTACAAATCATACAGATAAGGCAAACCATATTGAACTCTATAACTTTAACCGTATGGTCTATTTTCCACACTCACAACATTTGGTAGGCAAAATATTAACACAATGATGTATTTGGGGATTTTTAGTCAAATTGGTATTAATGACTGACAATTAAACCTTTAGAATTAATTAATTATATAGATGTATCGTTCCGAAGTCTTCACACTTTTAATATAATGTTTTTTTTTTCTACTACAATCAGAAACGCAGCGAGCCAGTGGATGCATATAGCGAGTTCTCGTTTGACGTGGAGGACAAGAGCCTCCCCCCTTGTTCAGCAGTGGATGTCTTTTGGCTAATGTCATGATGAGTATTAATGAGATTTACAACTCACCCTAAGACTCCTGCGTCTTCTAGGCGCGACCTCCGCCATTTTGTAGCTGGTGTCCATCGCCCAATAGGAGCCCTTCCCTGGATCGTCTTTACTGCGAGCCACTTTCATGAAGCATTTGTTCAGGGATAAGTTATGCCGTATTGAATTCTGTAAGGAAAAGTAATCCAATCAATTAGGTATCGCGACCTAAGGTTGATTATTCGCTATTATGAAAATTATGGAGGAAGGACAATGGAAAGCAGATAGTTGGTAGTTATTATTAGTTCAATACCAGGACAGCCAATGTATATTTTGGCTATTTTCGAAATTTCTACAATTGTCAGTAATAGCATGAAGTTGGTCTGGAATATGGCAATAGGCTCACTCTCTATTATATCGGAAACATAATTGGTGAAAAGTGGGTGCCAAAATGTACCATTGAGGATCAAATGGATTAACATTATGTAATTTTGAAATTGAATTAACTTGATTTAGAGATTGAAGTGGAAAGCATATGCTTGTGTACTTAATTTAAAAGTAAAACCTTCGTAATGAGGAAAAGTGTGTGTTTAGCTTACCATCCAACCTTTGCCAGCTTCTTTGTAATAGGGGAAGGCATTGCATATGTATGTGTAGATCTCGTTCAGTGTCATCTTGCCATTTGGGGAACTGCTGATCGCCAGTCTTATCATACTGGCATAACTGGAACACAAGAAATAATAGGATCAGGATTTTTTTTATAATATAATGATTCCTGTGTTTTATATGTTATTGACTCAATATCTGTATAGTTAATGAAAAGAAAAAAGTGTTATTTTGTTTCTTATCAATTGCTGAATGTCAATTACATTTTTTCATTGATATGTCACTTTGCTACTTCAGTCAAAGGTCAACATAATTGTAAGAGCAAACCAATTCTTAAAACAGTTTATATTCCGTTGTTCCAACAGACAACAATGAAACTTAAGTGACCAACTCTATGTCCTTTATTCATGAAATTAAAATAAGGAAAATTGAAGACACCTTGGTTACTAGAAACTTGAAAAATATTTTTCCCAATTGAGAATAAAATGCATTCATAAATACCCCAGTTTAGACAAAAGTGTACCTATTCTATAGCTAACAGAAAGGTCATAAAATCATGAAATATACAAACATTCTAATAAACAGAAAATTAGGTAATTAATTTATAAGCTGCCGGAACATTCCTAGCCCATTTACAGCACAATAAACTTGTCCTATCTGATAAAATTGTTTTAATCTTGCGGATAACACATATACGTCATCAAATAATCTCACATTATAGTTAGGTATATATTACAGTTATCTTACACTAGCTTGCAGATTTTGAAAAAAAATTATGTCAAGACAATACAATGGTGACATAAAATTAATTTTAAGGCTGTTGTACTCTTAATCTGTCAAACACCAAGCGGTCACCGGTGACCGCGACCTATTGTTCTTTAATTGTGTCTATAAAACCGGTACTCGACGAGTTAATTAAAGTATTTTTTTTATATTTTTGTAGCAGATTATAATCTTTACCTGTCTTTACCTCATTTCAGACAACTAGATAAGGTTTTTCTTTGTTTATTGGAATTTAAGAAGTTCTCAATCTAGGAATCTTTTTAATTTTATTATTAGGCAAGATTTTGAAGTAAAATTGTGCAATAACTTTCGAGTTCCTAATTTGAAAAACACAGATCTGCAATTTCTAAGGACACAAAGGGCTCACCTAAAATTAATTTATGTTCATTTATAGGTAGTCACCACAATATGAAATTATGAATATTATGAGTATTTGACATGTAGGGAACATTGTATATTAATTATTGTACTAAGAGGCAAAGGGATGTCAAAGGGCGATGACCTCACACTCCTAATAGTACATAATATTATTAATATTTTCCTCATTGCACATATAAAAAGTATGCAGGATCAAAGGAACAAATAACAATGATGTCGGCATGACATTACAAAATTGATGTAGAATTTACTTGCCTACCAATTCGTAATGTTGATAGGCTTGACAAAAATGTGAGATTAATTGGTGCTAAAATGTTGAGTAAAAACTTTTTTTCGTTTAAAGAAAATAATATCTTATATTGTAGAGATGTATATCCAATTGCTCTCATATTTTAAAGGTCAGGTCTCTGAATAGCTTATTAAATTCACATATTATGAACCTAATCCCAGCATTGTTTTTATAATAGTGATGTTCCATGCTTGTGTAAGTATAATAAGTGCGTGTTGGACATGTTTTTAGAACCACTTATAATAAAATTATGCTCTTTTACTTTGGATTGAATTACATGTTATTGTAAACCAAATAATGAGCTTGACTAGCATTAATACAGTAAATAGCATTGTTGCATATTTTTATGACTGGCTTAGGTAGAGCTGGTAGTAAATTATTAAAGTGACCCTAAAAAGCTTAGTTGAGAGAATTTGACCTGATGGCTCATAATCCAACAGTATACGAGATTCCATTTACTTTGAACATTGTTTCAATATTAATCAGTTATTTCAATTAAAATCCCTTGAAAGATAAGTTTAGGCTTTTATTACATGATTAACCTGACAAACATAATCCACTTGGTTACAAGTGATTGGACAGTAGGAACATGTTATCATTCACACATTTGCTACTAAACTGATAAGTCTCTTCTTGGAAATTCCTAATTACAAAAGTGCTTGATTTCAGTTCTTACATATTGTAAGACCTGATTTTATAATGCTTGTGTTAGCACTTCCAATAATAATGCCTGCCTCATGAAAAGCCTTCATAATGTCGCATTTCATTACTCATCACTTTAAGGGTCACTTACAAATGACTCATTCACACATATTAGGAACTCTTTAAGATTTACAACTACGAAAATCGTTTACCTGTACGCGGGCTTCGCGTGTTTGATTTTATTCGTATTCTCTTTCTGGTCGGCCTCTTTGTTATTGTTCTCTTGCTGCAAACCCAGAGGCTGCACATCTTCGTATAGAAACCGCGGGATGGGGCCTAGCGGACTGTGGCGTGGCGGGCCAGGGCTAAACGCAGGGAGCCACTCCACGCCTGGGGAATCGCTCATTGTCCCATCAATATACGCGCACTTTCACCACTCCTCGCGTTCTCATCACCATATGAACACAATAACATAGGTTTTATCTTCACGCTGTGGGCGTAACGCTTTTGCTACCTTTTATGAAGATGATCCTCATTGTAGGACATTGAGAATCCTTGAAATGACGACTAACTTGAACTTCTGTCACGAGACTAATGTACACGAACAAACCCAGAATGAAAACTTATAAACACATAAATACTTCGCAAAACACTTAAATTAATCTACTGAACAACTTAAAAAATCAAAGAAAATCCTATTTTACATGAAAATTGAAATTATTATGACATTTGAGGCACCTACAACAAGGAAAATGGCGGCGTTTTGGGTGTGCTCAGTTCAGAAATAAACATAAATTAATTCATATTTTTTTTAACAACTCAAGTTACATCTCAGCAAGAAATATAATTTTAATTTTCCTAAAATTCTTTAAAATATAGTACACCCTGACTAATTTATTATGCAAAAATATTAATACATAAACAAATCCTGTAAAAAAATCTTTCATATTTTACGTTATGGCAACATTAAACCGAGGTGACAGTACGAATTATTTAAAAAATGTCAGTTTGAACAAAGTGGTCGGGAGGAGGAGTTGTGTTTTTTGTTCTGTTATTTTTAACGGTTTGTTGACAATAATTTTATATTCGTTAAAGTTAAATAGTGTGTGAACTGTTATTTATTGTTGTGGTGGATTGTAAAGTGAATTAATAACAATGGCGACGCAGCCAGAAGTCGGTGTACCCGACTTCGTCCTGTTGGACAACTTGACCACCGATACCTTTATCCAAAATTTGCAATTGAGGTGAGTTGATTGTTGATATCGTCATCAAATTTACAATTTACGTATAGAAAGGTGCATCTGACTTGAAAATATGTAGATGACTGTAGAGTTTTGTGTTAGTTTTGATCGTAAATAGAAAAATGTCTTTAAAAATTTGGATGTTGCTAAATTCTCTCGCGTCGAAAAAAATGAAAATAAACATTATTCTAAAGGAAAACTAACTCATTGCTATGGTATGTTGTATTATCATAGTGGTTGACCTTGCATTTTTAGTTTACACCTGTACCAATAGGTAAATAAGACGATACTCGCTTCATAAAACAATACTTATTTAATTTCTTCCACATAAAATATTCTTCTATTAAGTTTTGAACCTGCACAATACTTTTTGTTTTTTAATTTTATTTATTAAACTTATCAAACTAGAATTAATACAATACAAACTAAGTATATGTAATTAAATGCAATATAAAAAATACAATTGACACTCATATATTTAATTTGCATTTTCAACTTATTTCTGACCACACATTTTATCAAGTTATTTATCTAAAAACATTTTGATTTAGAAAAACACATAAAAAAGTTTAAGTTGGTTTTAGTATTACATTTTTTAGTATAATATATTCTCATCAGAATTATAAGTTAAAAATATATACATGAAACTGACCATTTCAACAACAAAACTTTTAAACAAATACACCTACTCAGAAAACTATTTTATCAAAGTAGTAATAGCAAAATTAATTGCACAAAGTATACTTTTATTATAACAAACCAACAATTAATTACTTCAGTCTAATTAAGCTCTAATTACTAAACACATGTTACTATCTTGGACAAATTAGATTAAAAATTACAAATATCAAGTCAAGAAACGAATAATCTTTCTGGTTTGATGAGTTTCTAAGTATGCACCGCAGGCATGAAGCCAATACCCCTGTCCAGATAATTAACGGACACTGAACGAGATAAGTATGTAAAATTATCTTAAAGTAGGTATTATTTTTTGTTCCATTCATTAGTGCTCATTAAATGGTTGAACAGTTTTTCTTTAGTTAAATCATCATTATTTTGGCTGCTGACTGCACTGTGCACTGTATTTTTTTTTCTGCTCGACTTACTTAGATTTTTTTCCTTATTTATTTAGGTATGTGTTTGAGTGACACTGAATTGTGATTGATTTCAGCTGAATGAATTTGGTTGTTGTCAGTGTGTTGTCCAATTAGAAATTCTTGTCTATAGGTAGTTAGTTATAAAAAAAATCCAACACTGAACTACCCAGGTGACCACTCTCTTTTATAGACCTTATTTCCGATGTATAGAGACTACTTTTGTCCGAACAAATGTTGTGGATTTATCTTAAACAGGGATTAAGAAGTTGAGGACAATCTAGCTTCCCTTTAGACTATTTTCTAGCTAAATGTTCCGAAGTGCACCCCATTGGAGGTTTTAGTTTCTTGATTCAGTGGGTTTCTCTTAAACTTAGGAGTATAATTTGCTAAACAGCATTGTAACCTTTGCCTACTCAACATACAAAAGCAGGTGCAATAATCATGAAAAAAAAACAAGTCATGAAAACATCAAAATAAAAGCAAGCCATGATTCAATTGCTACAGGAATAAATGTATCAGTAATAAGCAGTGCTTGTTTCAGTAGTGGGAGTCATCTTCGAAATTATTTGCGTTTCGGATACGCGTCACGAAAATAAACAATGAAATAATGTGTACTTACTACATGGGTCATACAACACCTACCTACAATAAGTAATCTGTGTCATTGCTATTTTTGTTACTTGCAACTCGATTAAGACTGGTACTGAGGAAGATTGATTTAATTCACTAATTTAGAATTTATTTTGAAACACATATTGAGTGTTATATTACGTCTGTGTTTATTCATTTTTCTGCTCATTGCGATTGACGACTTACTTCTACGACATTTCTATTCTCGCTTTGTAGCTGATGGTAGATTTGTCACCACATTTACTATCCTCACACAGCGCGGCGAGCAAGTTTAACCGTTTCGGAAGTCTTGCTTCTAATTTAATAAATCAGGTTACTCGCGAATCGCCTCTAAAATCGCTTATTACGAGCGTATTAACCTCTAATCAAAATCATTTCAAGTGTAAAATAAAGAGGCAATAAAAAAATCTCTTAGGTCTAAGACAAAACTTCATAGTAACAACAAGATGCTTAGCAATCCACTCTCTTGTCACCGCTGTCTTCTTTTCGGTCTAATTGTGTATTCTAATCGCGTTGCATCAAGTGTCTTAACACCTTTATTTACACTCATTACGATAGAAGCCTATGTCCTAAGATGACACACAGGTCTGATGTCATCGCTCAAGCCTCAAGGTGCCGTCTGAGTGGCCTTTCATCAAGTTTCCTTGTATTATTGTTTGTTTAGTGTTATGTTATGAAACTGAGAACGCTTGTACCATTGATATTGATAGATATGTCTTAAGAAAGTAGATCCTATCTGTATGTACATCGTTTCTGTTATTATCGTGTTGTGTGAACACTTACGGACCTTACGGTACAATAACTGTTACAATATACTAGTAAAATGAATCCTAAAAGCCACCGCAAATGTAAGTAACCGTAACCTAGACTGACAATAGTGCAAAACTACACGAACAAATTAAACCTTCCTATTCACAAGACACAAGTTTAACCACATAAATTAAATCAGTAGCTATTCTAGTTCTGCTTACTGACGTCTCAATCAGTTTTGAGGTAGACCACAAAATTCTGTGCTTCGACCATAGACGGCATTCGAAGTTTGAATTTCAAATAAGTCCATAATGGTGCTGGTGAAGTTATGGATTTTATGACTCTCTTCGCAATGCTTCCGGGAACGAAATTAAAATGAAGTAAAAAGTTTTAGCCCTTTTAACTTTCTGCAATATTAGTTAAGTAAAGTTCTCGTCGGACTGGTGATGGAAAAGCAGTTGGTTGTTAAATCTTTGAAAGGAAAGCTTGTATCCGCATCATTTCTACCTGTATAGTGTCTACATTTTATCTAAATCTACCGTTATTTTACAAGACAACGTTAACTCGGAATCTACTTATACTTTAGTTTTGCAATAAGATATGTTAGATAGGAGACATCTACAGCATCACGAAAGGTAGAAAAGATAAAATTCTATCTTTGTAAAAAGTTATCCTAACTAGGTATAATAAAACCGTCCATTTTTAACCTTCTCCAAACTTAAATCGCGCTTAAATTCTACACGTTGCCATTATGATCCAAATAACATGCAAAATGTGTTTAAAGTTTGCATTGGTATCTTTCTCTACCTACAAAATATTTTTAATCTTAACTAATCTGGTTGTAATTACAAAGCAGCCAGCCAAATTAAAATTTTATTGTGATGATTCAATCAGCGATATATTTTAATTGATTATCTAAATAGACTGCTAATCTAAATGCAGAACTTTCGAACCGGTTGAAAATTATTTCGGTTCCATTATTCCATCAGACAGAATACATTAGACTAGTTTCATCTTTAACTTAACGAAATCTACCATATTATGGTCTAATACCTAAACAAACGTGGTATTCTGTGTCCGATTACGTAAAAGCAAATTCACTTTTCTGGTTATTGACTAAAATAATAAATTGTGTTTGTGTAAGCGCGTTTTTATGTATGATTCCAAGTAAGATACGGAAATACGGCAGCTATAATGATGTTGGAAGTTATTTGTTCAATTTACAGATTCGATGAGGTAGCAGTTTTAACTGTAAACGTGGATTTGATATTATCTGTACGAGATTTACTTCATTGAGTGTTTTCCGCTTCCCATGCTCAAATTCCAGTGCTAACATCCATAGTTCCCGTGGGAGCTTCAAAATTTCCCAGCGAAGCTCTTACAAAAAGAACACCTTCGTAGCACGTCTAGCCATTTTATAGCCGCTGAATGTGGTTCAACATAGACTTGTAACTGCCACTGCAATTGCAGCTACGATTGTTTGGTAATCGTTTTTCCAGTTGATGCATGAGAATTGCAATGTTTCGTGCATTATTTATGAGTTCACATTTAATTGTTGCATAAAAACTAGGACTAAACAATTACTACATTTCGTTTTAAATACTCATGCTACAAGCCGAGTCTATCTCAGCTTGTTACAGTTATCTTTGGCTCTCGTTACTCGCCCTTTAAACTGTACATGTATTTCAAATTAGGGGCACATTAAATACATGTTACTTAAATTCATTGTAAAAGTAGTCCACTGTTTAAGAAGTCACATCAACAGCACTTGTCAAATAGTCTGAAGCGTGCACATACGCACATTAAGGAAATAGGCCGCATCAGTTTAATGGTTTATTAATAACGTATTTGTTGCGCACATGAGGGAATGCAGTCGCCATTGCGGAATGGCTGGACCGTTCGTTTATTGGTATGTGCTAACACCAAAGGGTATATTTTCGTAATATCCTTTCAGAATAGTCTAATCGCAGATATTTGCATACTTGGTCGACAACCATCTGCAGGTGAGTATTTTTACCTTAGAATCGTTTTAAGACGGAACATTGTACACAACCTGAAAACCAGAAAAGATTGTAGTATCAGTGAACTCACACTCATTATTGGATAGTACAAAAGTCTTCAAAATACTTACGTCATTCAGTAATAATTAGACCAAAAAAGTATTCACATGCGAATCTAAACAGATCGAAACAAATCGGAACATCATGGGCTCATCTTCATGTTATGCATACTGGTCACTAATTGACCGGCTACTAATTAAGGACAATGGGTCCAGTGAGCCGTCTAACATGTGCAGATTGTGCAGTACTACATTTGCATATGACTGCACATTAGTGCACATAATGTTATATTTTATATCCGTTTCACGGTCTACTGCTGTTTAGTCCAATATTGTATTTCAGAGCATGTGCTGGCTGCTTAGGTTTCCATGTACTTACTTCCCTTAAACAGTGATCTGTTATTACTGCAATCATAACATTACTTTCTTGGGTGAATGCTTATAAGTACACGTTAGTAGTAAGTAGT